CTGTGTGTTTAACCACCACACAAATAATTATTTACTTAAAATTAATGCAAAAGAATTGTGTTTTGGGGGAATTGTTTTCTCTTCAACCTTTTCTATCCTTCTTGCATAACGCATGTGTGAACTCTAAAATAAAAATAACAAACCTACAAGAATCAGTTCAAGTCACCACTTGCTTCCTCCACCACAGAGGATTTGCTTTTCTTACAACAAAGCCTGCCACATTTGGGAATCTGTATATTGAGATGGGTATTTACCTGGTAATAGGAACAGTGTGCTCCTGAGTGCTTTCCTCACCGTCAGCTGTCTTTTCACTGGAAGGACTGGGAGTGGGCTTTGGCACACTCGGTTCTTCAGCTGGAATCTGCCTTTGTGCTTTGTCTGGCAGCAGAAATAGGGCAAGTTATACACATCATCTATGACAGCACACCTGAAACCCAGAGCAAACCTTTGGAGCCATGTCTAGCCTGCCTTGTGTCAGAACCACATCGGTCAGCTGACCACATTAAGCAAAGGGCTTGAATAACACCAGCGAGACTCAACAGTGGCACATTGCTGACTGGGAAAAACTAAATATTCTGTAAGGAAACACACAGAGACAAAAATAAGAAAGGCAGTCAGTAGGGACAAGAACAAATGGGATGACTGGAAGGATAGCATGAGCTCAATGCATCCTTTATAGGAGATAATTTAATGGTACTTGAGTTCCAGCTTATGACTATGATGAAATCATAGAATCATTTAGTTTGGAAAAGGCCCTTAAGATCATCAAATCAAACCCTTAACCCACCACTACCAAAGGCACCACATCTACACATCTTTCAAATACTTCCAGGGATGTCCAATGTTAGCTTCGTACACACGAATGCTTCAGTTAAACGATGCGTTCTTGACTCATTGGTGCAATCACAGACAGCATCAGTGAAATGAGTAGGGTTACATCAGTGTAAAACTGATGTGGTCATGGCGGGTCCTGGGTGGGGATACAACTAATACAGAGATAAGATGGAGGTTTGTTAATGTGGAAGATGTTAGATGTTAGAAAGTCAGCATTGGTGCACCTCTGCTGGGTTCTTTGAAAATACCCTCATACAACTCTTAAGTTACACTAGAACTAGGTTTGGCATTTGGAGCTTATAGGAACAAGAAAACAAAAGGGTGGTGCAGCTTGATGGTAGTTCAGGTATTGTTCTTCTTTTATTATTAATTATTTTATCAGATGTATCTTCAAAACCTGGTTTGTTCTTCCATTCCAGAAGTACCTGATTGTCTTATATTGTTCATTGTAGTTACTCTACAGGATAAAGTGCATCATCTCTTTTTTCATCTGAGGAGAAAAGGTTAAATCAAGAGGAGTCTTGTGCCCAGCAGGAAGGGCCTCTTTAAGTGGCACTTGAGGGATGTTTGGAGCTGTCTGGTTTTGGAAAAAGGGTATCAGTTTTCTAGAAATCATGGAAAACATGGTTATATAAGGCATTACTGGCAGGGTGAGAAATCCCAGGTTGGTGGGATTGTGCTTTTCTATTGCCAGCATGATCAAAATATTTGCCTTCTTTTTATTCAAAGCATGTGATGATAGGGACAATTGTCAAGTCTCCTTCTTATTAAAATAATTCTCCATGTTAATAATATGTTCAGTTTTCTCTAAAACTGAAAGGATGAAAGGACTGCAAAACCACCTCATTCATTGTCATACTATCTCTGTAGTTTTGACTAAGGAAATAATCTGATAGTAGACATATTAATTATGATTTTTGAGTCACCCCGTTTCACAAGAGGATTATTTTCATAGATGATTTCCTACTAGAAAGGAAAAAAGGTTTTAAAGCTCTGCTATTTTTTAATGTTGTTATTTTGTTCCTGATTCCACAAAATCTATTTCTACCCTTGTTAAGTTTTAGACAAGAATATATATATATTTTTTTTTTAAAGCAGCATCTGGAGTTTAAGGGCTGAAGGCTACTTGACATTGTCGTTTTAAGTCAACGCTGGTGAAGGACAGTTACTCTGACTTGACACAGAGACAGCTTAGACAAGTAGGTATGGCAGAAAAGGAGGAAAACTGGAAGGGTTGCTGCTCATTCATGTTTTAGTTTTGTTTTTTTTTTTTGTCAATAATGCCAAGACCAAAGACTTGTTCTGGCAACACAGTCACACGTAATGGCTTTAGTCACACAGAAACTGATGAGTCTACCAAGGCTCCAGAGCCAGTAACATGCAGGTGAACTTGATACATTCAACATCCTATAAAGTCTGAGAGTTGATATAGGAGTGTTAAACACATTTCCAGCTTGTTTATGGCAAACTATAAAAGAAAAGCAACCCCCTTTACCATGCCTACCAAATAAAAAAAACAAATGACTTCTATAAATGGAAAGGTGGAATCCCACCCCTTTTTCCCCCAAAAAAGTTTGAAGCAAGCCCTGGGTCAAAAGCCTAAATGTGGAAAAAAGTCCCCTATCCCTCCATTTTGGTCAGGTGATGAACCAAACTCTACTTCAGATGCAGTTTTCTGTTTCCAGAAAGATCTGCCCCAAACTTGTGTTCAACCTAACCCTAACCCACATTCCCATGTTTCTTTGGGTCTGAATGTCCTCTCTTTATCTTCAACTGCTCAAAACACAACAAAACAGAAAAATGAGGGGGAAAAAATCATTATTGTTTTTTTCTTTCTCTTGATTCCCATGAGACATTTTCCAGATTCATGCCAAACCTACCATGCCCTCCAGCAGTTTGGGTTTGGGTGCTGGCTTCATGAACTACCCCAGAGGGCCGAGCTGCTGTTTCTGAGTGGTCTGAAGGAATGTACCCAGGAAGGCCAAGGCCACCAGTTTCTTCTTGCATGCCTGGGGGAAGAGTCACCAGCATTGATGCTGTGTCCACGAGTTTCTTTAGAGCTTTCTTGATCTCCTTATCAGCACGCTGAAGTGAGGCCTGGACAGAGGTCTCCATCTCTGACTGTGGGGAAGTCATTCCTACAGACAAGAACAATAGCTTTTCTCTCTTTAGGGTAAAAAGAAAACAGCAGTATCATCTAACCAATGGAAATATTTGCAGAAGTATCATTTTCCCTTCCTGGAGCAAAGAGCTGATGCAGAAATGCTTAGTCCAGCAGGAGGGAACACAGCTAAGACTTAAAATAAGAAGGTTGGCACAACACGCTTCAGAAAGACATATCTCACCAGGCTGAGGACACTGCACACACACATACGCACACCCTCTCTCTGACAGCAGAACAAAGGATCCATCTTCTTCAGCACTATGTTGGCTGCTCTGTCAAAAATACCTTTATTAAGATCAATGAAATGAACCCAGCGGTGCCCCATTGCACTGATACATATCCCGTGTGCAAGGAGGATGTTATTCTCACAGGAAAGGAGAAGGAGTTAGCAAGTACCAGCCTCATCAATGACTTTGGAGAAGGGCAGAGCAAAGAAAGGAGGGCTATTCAGCTTTGTGAGCTTACATGTGAGAGAAATGCTACTCCTTGCTCTAATGTATTTTTCCTACTTTACAGTATCTGAATATTTTTGGTGGGATTTGCACTAGAAGGTACTTGGGACTTTGAAATTAGTACCAGACTATGCTTTTAGACTCATGTTGCAAAGTCACCTGGTTTGTACAGTAACTCACAGCAGTTTTGTATAAGGAAGCATGATACAGGGAAAGATATAACTCCTGCCTCAAGAAACTCACTATCTTGAAGGCAGAGAGAAGACAAAAGCTTCCCACACATCAAGATGGATCTTCAAGCATATGTCTTTTCATAATGGCCACCCAGGAGAGAAATACCATGGTCTCATCCCCAGTCAGTACTGGCAGAAGAACCTAGGCTAGGCTAGGATCATAGGAACTCAGGAGCTCATCTCATCTGATCTCCTGCCCAATACGCCTTCTGCAAGAGGCACTACAAAGGGTCAGACAATATCTAGGACAACCCTCAAGTGACCATTAAGACAGATAAATGCATGTCAAACTAAGACAATTTATCATGATCATGATGTGATTGCCTGACAAGAGTGCAAACTGGAGTCATCATGTGGTTCAAGAAGAAATAAGAGCACTTGCACACAAATGGCTCTGACTTAATGTTGTTCACACAGGAGCATGTCTTGTAGCTGTTTTGATTCTGCTGCTATACCAGCCTTAAGAAAGTAAATTCCTATGATATGTTTAGCACATAAAGTTGAAGGTACATTTGGATCAGCTCCCTTTGAAGATATCTCACTTGATTTTTGTTTTCAATGTCCTCCCCGTGAGCATAGTGGTTATGAAATATTTTGGTTCTGGGTTTGTTGATGGAAAAAGCAAGTTTTGCTCACATGATTTCCCAAGTGAGACTGCCCATCAGTGTTCATCAGCACTGGGCTGGGCAGAAGATCTTTAAATATTTTCCTAGATAACTACTTTCATTGTCTAGTGTTCCTGTTATGCTTGCTGTATATGTCCTATGCAGCTGGGCAGCTGCCAACATGTGAACTGTTTGGAAAGGTATAAAACACTCTTGGTATCTCTCAATGAGAAAATATATTCACAGGTATACGTATACAGGTTATACATAACCACGGGTCTCGCCCATGCTGTTTTCCTCCCTGTTTAGAGATGTTGCACACTATGAGTCAAGCTGCTGACCTGAGGAACTTTAAAACTAGCTGAGGTACATCAAAATAATGTCACAGTAATGACACACCTGTGATGGACAGTCTGTTTCCCAATTCTAAAAACCCCACTGACACATATTTTGAAGTTCCAATACAGCCTCAAAGAAGGACCCAAGAAGATGAGCATAGTTAAAAATTATTGACTCATAGATCTGAAAGTATGTCTAATACCAGGCTCTTTCATGTGAACACTTCTGAAGCAGTTAATAAAAAAAGGAACCAGAGCCCAAGTGCATTAATGTTCTTTAGTTTGCCACCCAGATCTTGCTGAAGTCAATGGGAGAAGAGGATGAGAGGACTATCAAGTGCCGTGGACAGAGAAGAACACAGAAACCCAGTGAATTCAGTGACAGCTGATGCAATATGTTTATTGACATAAACTCAGCATCTAACAGCATATTTGATTTTTTGTACGTGTTTTTCCTTTTGTATGTCAAGCAAACTGAAGTTTCCACTTTATCTATACCCATTTACCTGCAGGAATTTTAGTAAAACTGTATTAAAATTTTTAATACAGCTGCATGTTTTCATCTACAAGAAATAAACCCCCACACGTCTCATTAGTTATCTACACAGTTTAATCACTTACAAGCATAATTTTTAACCTCTAGGAAAACATTTTGAAAGTATATGTAATGAACTTTTCATAAGCCTTTCACTTTTTGAACAGTCCTGCATAGAATTTTAAAAATTCCTTTCGATTAAATTTCAACAGAAAATGTAAACAGATGTTAATTGCTTTGAGCTAACAGATGAAACTATAGTTATTTCTTTTAAAAACATCTGAACTGTAACCTTTTAACTTCTTTAGAGAAACCTGAGCATCAACCATAACAGGAGGAAACCGCCACATTCCTTTACACAACTTTATTATCTTTTGGATTAATACTATGTTTTCGAAGTCTATCATAGGGCAAATTCTTTCTCAGCAGTATCTCTAAATCTGAATGAAATCCACTTCCTTCTGTGAAATTATTCTAGATAGATACTGGAATAACTGAGATCAGAATTAGGCCCAATATAAAAGAAATAATTTTAGTTTTGAAAGTATTTCCCTGTTGTATGTCTGTTACTTTCCAATGTACAGTGCAATATACGAAAAAAGCACTAATATATATCCATCATATTGCTTAATTATAAAACAAACAGTATAAATCAAGGAGATGTTATAAAAAAACCAGGAGAGTAACATAAAAGAGGCTTGATTTCTTTCACCATATGTAATCACCGAAAAAGCATCCTTTATCATGAGGGCAGTGAACACGATATTACATGTAATATCTTATTTGGATATTGAAAGTAAAAGGCTGTGAAAGCAATATGTTCATTTTAGTCAACACATTATCAAGGTGCAGCCACAGAAGGAAAAGAAAAAACCCAACTTATTCTTTTCTGCAAGCACCTTTTGTAAATTCAGTCCCTGTTAGTGGGAATATTCCCCATAGGACTCTGTAACAAGCTCCACAGAATTACCTAGCTGGGAAACACTGAGACAACATCACGCATACATTTCCGAGACAGAAACTCACTCAATCCTTTCTCTTTATGCTATTTAGAAATTCAGCTGTGCCTGAGCATTTCTGGTTTCCCTACACCATCTAAATGAAAACATCTTCTATTGCAACAGTATACACAACTCAGCTGGGACAAGGTGTTGGGAATTTTCACCCCATATCTTTGTCAGATAAAGAGGGCCAATGCTTGGTCCTACTGAGATCAATGACAAACTCTTCAGCTGACTTCAACTGGGAGCGATATTTGGGTCTATGAGTTTGCTTCTTTCCAGGGCTGAGCAATTTGAATGTCTGTGCAACATCCATTTTTGGTGAAGCCAACAGGAACGGGCCATGCTCAGTGCATCTTAGCCTTCCCCTCAACCAGTGATCCCACTGAAAAGCTCCAGAGAAACTCAACAGAAGGAAGCACCTCTACAAGACGAGTCAGCCTACATGGTTACAGTAATACGATGCAATTGCAACTGGCAGTGCTTCCAAGCAACCAAATACATTTTGAACAGATGTATTTTTCAACAAGGCATTTATAGTAAAGAATTATTTTCTTTTTTATCTTATCTTTTTTTTTTTTTTTAACTGTCTTTGTGCTCCTGCTACTTTGCTGTAGCTCAGCAGTGAATTCCTCTTAGCATGTACAGCAGACATTATCCCTAAATCTGTTAACAGCAATATTTCACCACTGGCATGTACAGGAGACCAAATATTCTTCTGTTAATAGTTTTTGACAAAGACCGCTTCTGTGGTTCTTTGTGTTAGCATTTGATTACAGATGCAGAAGTAATTTTGTGCAGCACTTTAATCTTTTGCTGCACATTAAGTAAATTGGTATTTTAAGATATATGACTTATAAATCCACTACACTAGAATGCAGAATAATGAAACCTGCATCTTAGGCAACTGGGAAGTGGACTTGAAAATAGCAGTCATTTAAACAAGATAGACTTTCGTTTTTACTTGAAGTAGAAGAGAACAACAAAATCCTTGCTTCCTCAGTCAGTGGATCTTTCACCACTGACTTTAGTCAAATTAGGAATCCAACCAAAAGGTATGAGCAGCCCTTTGCATCCCGAGTAAATGCAGTATTTTCTGTATTTTTCATTCTGTGGCAGAAGCTTAAAATAATGTAACCTGACTATGTACATTGACAGGTTTATGAATAAAATTTGTTAGAGCTAATTGGTGTCAAAAATGCATAGCAGAGTCAAGACAGTGTGAAGCTTCATGTCCTTTGGGCACACACAGTGACAGGAGATTGTTTTAGCTGGAAACAGTCCTCCTATCCTGGGCTGCTGAAGGATGCTGAAAAGCTTAGATACTTTCACCTTCTTGACAAAATAATGTACAAATTGGCACTTGAAATGATTTCTTAGTTCATGGACAAAACCACACTTACTCATTTATATTTCTGTCATAGGCAGGAGAATCAGGCTTTCCCTAAACCTACCATCACTGCTCCACTATGGAATGATATATGTTCACCTTGACCAAAACTTTTAAAATTACAAACTGTTCTGACAGACATGTTCCCTTTAAGACTAGAAAAGCTCAACATGACGTATTTAAATATATTTCCCTCAAAGGTATTCCCTTGTACATGTTACCTTGTAATCTTTGCCATCAATTCCCCTCACCTACAACAATTTTGATCATTACTTTTTCTAAAACACTGCTTTCTTTTGTGTTGAAAATTATGCTTGCATCTGCTCAGCTTTGGGAGAGGTCTTCTGTGCTGATGTGCAAGGTAACTGGCTCGCCAACAGTCCCATAGCTGAGGGTTCTTGTGGAAACTTCAGTTTTAAAGCTTGACTGTCCATTGTCTGCTGAGAGTTGGACTTCAGTGCAGAAAGATGGTTTCACTGTGAAGGTGGGACCAGGAGAAGCTGCTGCTGTTGCTGCATGCACTCCGGGTGCCACTGACATGCAGGTATCACTCACATGGAAAGAGATGTTTGAGGCGCCTACAGACTGCACACCGGTTACTCTAGACGCTGACGTGAACATGCCCCCAGGAATGTGCTCCTCCAACTGGCTGAAAAACCTTTGCCTGGGCTTGGACACCACAGGTCTCCCCAGATTCAGCAGCACTGGCTTCCCAATTGTTGGCTCATTAATCTCTGTCTGGAGCACGGAGATCTCGCAGGGTTTCTCTGCCGTACGGTTCTTGTCATCACACCTGAAGGTCTCACCTTCTTCAGGAACATAATCTTCAAGATCCTCCAAAGTTAATAATTTTCCATTGTGGGTTAAGATTTTGCGGTCCCGGGTGCTAATGTCATCTGCCTGTAGTTCGTCTGGTTCATCTACTATAATGACATTATCCTCTTCTGGAAGGACATCTTGTATTACTTCAGGTACCTCCTCTTCAACAGGCCAAGATATGTCTAATTCATCTGCCTCTTCCTTAACCTCTGGACTTGCTAGTGAGAACAGAAGTTCATGCTGGTCTGCAGCAGTTGTCTTAAATCTGAAGATCAAAGGCTCACCCCCACAGGCAAGCAGTGGGGAAGCGACGTCTGACCTGCAGTGAGCACTTGTTTCCTGTGGGAAGCTCTTTCCTTCTGTTCCATAATCTATAAATGAATTATTCCCTAGTTGTTCGGACCCACAAGGGAAGCTTCTGTCCTCGTTGCTGACTTGAGGTTCTTCCTCTTCAGTTGCGTACACCAAGGGCTGGATATCAGCTTCAGAAAGGCTGTCACTAGGCAAAGATTTTGACTGCTCCACCAATTTATTGTTGGAATTGTTTGTGTTTGGATCATCTTCTGGGGAATGCCTGGGCCTTGAGCTAGGAAAAGTGAATGTTAACACTCCTGATTCATCTTTTTCTTGTTTTACTGGGGAAGAGCCTCTTTTCCTTGCAGGTTTTGGTGATTTTTTCACCTTGAATTCAATTATTTCTTCCACTTCAACCCATTTGGGCTTTTTCTCTTCTACCTTGGTCTCTTCAGTGAAATCTCTTGCTGCTGCTCCTTGCCTGTCCTCTGGTTCTGTGACAAAAAGCATGGGGACAGCAGACTTTGGTGTTGCCTCCTGTTCATATCTGTGAACAGGCTGCCTGATCTTTGAAACATAGACTGGCTCTGGAGTTGGCTCCGCTCTTGGGGAGCGGGAAGGCGAATGACCTGAAGAAGAACGTGCAGGAGAAACCCTTCCCCTTTGTCTTGGGCTCTTCACCACAGTGGTTATCGTTTCCTCTCTGATGACAGAAAGGGTTGGAATGGAGTTGGCAGGAAGATGAGACTTTTTGGGGAGCCACACTCCATCAGCACATGCTATTGTTGGTCAAGGCGCTACAGTGGGGTTAGTTTTGTGAGCACTATAGCTTTTGGTGAAGCACGTCATTTTTGGAAGGGATACACACGCAACACACACACATGCCCATCTCCACTTACTTTTTGATCCAGTGAAAACATCAGTGCCCTTACCCCAAAAGGAACTGTAGCTCCGTTAACCTCCTTTAGTGCATGAACACGCAATGAGTATGTCCATCTAAGGAATGTTCTTCTGGGTGTTACTATATTTCATGCGACTTCTGCTTACCACCCACTACACTACTTTGTACCCATATAGCAGTTTCAGTCAAAGATTTTAAACACTCAAAGAATTTAATCTTTTCCTGAGTATTCTTGGTTGAAATCCTGATTTCATCAAACTCAATGGCAAAATGGCCTTCATTACAGTAGGGTCAGCATCTTGTCTTTTTAATTAACGCAATGTATCTCTAATTTGTTTATTAAAGACTTTTGAGACTAGAGATCTGCATTTTCACATGAAGAACAGTTATATTTAAAGGGCATTCCTAAAAACAAGTCATCTATACCCAAATACACTTATTTTTCATCTTCATAATATCATTATTGCAGACACAGCCTGACCTATTACCGCTGATTGACATAGGAGTACCAAACCAACATGGGATGCACAATTATAATTTCTAAGTATATTTCTGCTGAGCTCACTTTAAATGTTTTGACATATTCAAAGCAGCTGGGGCTTCTCAGCATCCGTGTACACACATCTTGTGTCGAAACAATCTTCTGCTCCCATGGCAGGACAAACTTTGACTTTAAATGAGCTACAGATGAAGTTGGATCAAATAGCTTTAAAATATGGGGACAAGAACACCTCAGCTTAGACTTCAGTCCTTCTAATTTATATGTTTAACATTCAGTGTTTCCTGCAGGTTTTTCAGTGGCATTTCTTACATGGAAAAGCTTGAAGGTAAAGACAGTGTTTGCTTTGCAAGCACAAGTAAGCTCTACAGCATAGGTAGCTGGTTCAGTGAATCTAACAGGCAAAGCTGATTTTGTTTCCGTGTTGAGATTCTGTCGCTACCTTCAAGCAATAGGATTAGCTGAAGTGTAAAGACAATGAGCTAGGCTGGGATTATGAATCAAGAGAACAGCTTTTTCATTTCTCTCTTTCTCCTCACCAGCCTCTTATCACAGCACACAGAGCTGAAAGTCACCAGCTACCTCTGCTCTGCCTTTTGCACTGAGATACAGAGAAGGTGGAAGGAGTCCTTGTGCAAGGAAAGCCTGTTTCTCCTATTGCATTTGTCTAGCCATCATGGAAGACTAATCCTCTTAGATATATTGTAGCCTTTCTCATCTGTTGGTCTAATTTTTGACACTATTATTGTCTTCTCCTGTGGAGATCAGATTTCTTTACATCATCACTCTCTCCCTTTGAGGATGCAGTGAAGTTCAGGGCTGGAGCACCTACAGTCAGATTTTGTCCAGAGCACTCTCTCTGCCACTGCTCATTTCCACTGCTTTATTCTTCCCCCCAAGTTTTCTACAATTTTTCTATAGAGCTTTAATGTATATGCAGAGCCTTCATTATGCCCATGGTGCCTTTCTGAATTACACAAGTTAAACCATTTTAGATAAAGACAAGAATGAATCCATGTGTGCTTGCACTTGACTGCTCTACATTGCAAAATTACAGTGCATTTTGGGGTCTGGGATTTGCATATGTAGACACTGTTAAATCCCATCTCTAAATTATCCATTATTTTCTGCTAGTGGTTTCAAAGCTGCTTCTGTTTCTCAGCTCACTACATATTAAGGAGAACTGGGATGTGCCCTTAGAGAGTTATTCCCAAACTTTACCTCTACCACACCACTATGCTAATTCCAGCTGAGGTCCATTCTAATAAGTTCATGACCACATCCACTAGCAGAAGGAGGGGAATTTGTGTTGTTCTGAGATCCCACTCATAAATATACCAATCTCCTTTAAGACTGCAGCCTTCAATTTAGGAATTACTTCTTGAGCTGTCCAAAGCAATAGTCTGTGGTATTTATGTGTCAGAAATTTAAAAATCAGCTTAATTGATGATATTTTATATTAGTTTAATATTATTTCATCAACTGTAATGTCGCTGCTTGTTATTTGAAATCATGAAGCTGACCTGAGAAATGTAAAATAAAAGTATCTCTCCAGGTGACTTACAGGCACACGGATGTAGATAGATGAGATTCACTAAGCTTTAGACATGGTCTGACTCTGAGCGATCCGTTGACTTTCTCAGGATGTTTCTGAATGTTGCATCAAAGAACATTTTTCTGTTTAGCTACCCCACTGGTATCTGAATCCTGATCCTTGAGACAGTAGAGACAGTACAGAAACACCTTTATTTTCTGGTCTTTGCAAGGTCAAAAAAGTCTAATGACTAGAGATGTTAACTGAAATGAGGTGGAAAGGAGAGGGGCAAAGGCAGAACCCCTTCCTGCCTCTCCTGTCTGCTTAGGAGAGGGCAATATGTCTTCTTATAAGCCACTGGCTCCAAATGGGTTAAGTGTATGTATCATAAGAAATAGTCATAATAGAGAATTAGATAAAAGTTAAGCAACTCTTAACCACATTATAGTTGTCATTTTACACATCCTCTTCACCATCCAAAAGGAGTTAATTTTAGCATCGTGTCCAAGTCAAGGACTGATCTTAGCAACAGTACAACTCTTGAGGGAGTGCATTGCCCCAAAATATCTGTTTATAGTCACCCGCTACCATTTGGTCATGATTTGAATAGCTTAGAGGTGCTCTGAAGGCCTGCCACAGAAGGACAATGTCCCCTTTCCAGCACATGAAATAATTTTGTTATGTATTTGTCTATGATACTTAAGAAGATGCATAAAGATTTTCATGGCTGATCAGCTGTTGGTCTACATATGGCTGAGAAAGTACTGCTCTTTGCTGAAATTAATCTTTCTATGTTATAGGCACCCACCCAATATAAACCAGGCTCAAAGTATGCAAGAAGAAGAAGGAGTCATTATCAGGGCAAAATTTCATATTAGAAATACAGAGGCAGAAGGAGATAAAAATATATATCTTCCTTCTGCTTCATCATAAAAAGCTTTCCTCAAGAATTAAAAATAGAAAGCCAGAAGAAATTGCTGTATATTATGATATACTTATTAAATTTGTACAGTTTTTCAAGTAGCCACTTCTCAAAGCTAGTTTTTTTCAACATTGAGAATCAGACTCTACTTCTTGAAGTCTTGTGCAACTCTTATCAGCATTCTGTGTACTTTTTCCACGTGTACTATCATAAAAAACCTGACCCAGACTGTATCTAACACCAGTGCTGCTGTGTTTTAAAAGGGATAGCAAGATTTTTTTCAGGTGGTCACTTTGCATAGCATAGAATACCATGAGATCTGGTGGGATGGGAATGAACACACTTGCATGGCCAATAAACACAAGCTTGTTATTGGATCATGCATAGGCAGCAAGGCAAAACACAAATGTTACAAAAAAAAAAAAAATAATTAGCACTTACATGATGATGGTTTTCTTGGGCACTTTAGTCTCTTGTTCAGTGACTACAAAGAAAACAGTATGAACAGCATGGGGTTAAAGAAAGGCAAAAGCTGAAATGATTAAATTAACTTTGCTCAGTTAATCAAAACAAACTGGAGTGAAAAAAAACTCAACTGTACCATCCCATCCATGCTTTCTGTGGTTACTTCCAGCATCGTCTTAGTGTTTCTGACCAAGAATGAAAACTGCTTTCTGAACAGTGAATGATTTTAGCTTTGAAATCAAGTATTTTGTGGAGAACAATATTGCTAAGTCTGTTTATTGTACCATGAGATTCTGACATTTTTGTTTCACAGGTCAAAGCTATTTTTTTCTCTAATAATGTAGTGATGGTGTGAGAAACTTGGAAGTGCATTAATTTGGATAATCCTGGAGAGCTGAAATACTTTAAACTGTGATTTCACTTACTAGAAAAACAGTTTCCCCAAACACAGAACAGTTTCCAAGCTTTTGTGGACTAGATGCAAAATCCAAGCTGATAATATGAAAACTAAAATCATTATCATCAGTACAGAAAATCAATATAAAAAAAAACCAACAACTAGGAAGCCCAGGAGAGCCCTGTAATATATCTATGTCTACTCCTTCTCTTTTTTGCTATAATTTGCAATTTTTTCTGACCCTTGCCCAATAGCAAACTAGAAGCTGTTGATGCATATCAAGATCATAAGAAAAGTAATAATTTCATGATTTTTTTAAAATAGTTCTTAAAATTAACATTTAAAAAAAATAAGAAAGATACCATTTGAAGAGCTAATAGATATTTTTGACAGGTTCCCATCCTATCTGCTGAAATAAAATTGAGACACCGCTTAAACCAGACTGCTTTGAACACACTCTAAGCTGCTGAACCTATCTGAGATCTAGAAAAAACAGCAACAAGCCCCACTTTTTATTTAATAAACTCGTGAAGTTTAAAAATACCCCTGAATTTAATCTTAAAGTAATTTGTCGAACATTAGGTTTTCAGTCTTCCAGCCTATCTTTCTATAATAAATAAGCTTTGGTAATTTTCAGTTGGTAAGTGAACGGCAACTTAAAAATGTATCTATAAAATCACAAACAGTTCTTGCCCAGGGAACTTGTAGGATCTGTATTATTTGTTAAATAACTCATGATTAGTGTTTATGTTTTCAACAGTGCTCCAAAACTGCACTGACTGAAAATTAAAAACACATTTACAATATTAGATGGAATAATTTAACCTAATTTTCTTTCCACTTAACTTCCAAGGGCTCTCTTCTGTTGCTAGGCATAACAACAAATCCCAACATAATGAAAACTAATTTTGTGCAAATGTAGATGTTAATATCTGATGTAGAGCAACACGTTTTCTTTGCAGGGCCTTGTCTCATTTATGTATGTAAAAATCTTGAATAATTTCTAATAGAGTCAAAGGAATTACTGTAGAATTAGGTGGTTTTAAACAAAGTCTCTTTTGAAATTAGAGTTTATAGCTTACTGGCAAAGTCAAGGGCATGTTTATTCTTGAACACAATTACAAGTGTTTACATATCCTTACCATTTTTTAAATAATTCAAAACCATTTTAAATGGTACAATAATAATTATACAATGATGGAAGATGAACTGAGTGCTTGAACAATTTAATGCACCCAGGTTAGAAATTTTTACTAAATTTTTAAACTCTTAATATAGAGACATTTTTAGAAAATATCATCAAATAATATCATAGGATTCAGCCATAAGCAGCAAGAGTATCAGTTCTGATGTAAATAAGAATGAATTTGATTAGGCACATAAACATAGGCGTTTTGTACAATTATATTAACAGCAACTGTATTTAGATGAGAGTGAAATATGTATTTAATGAAATATGTTTTGAATTAAATCTCCCAACCATCTTTAATGTTTACTCAATGTTCTGAACTCCTCTCAAATGACATGGATCAAAATATTTCTATATGTAGCACATGTCAAAGGGGTTCAGTATACAAAAGTTCAGCTGGCATGGGATTACAAAGCCATAAATGGCATATAGTGAATGGGTCCTGATGACTTGCAATTTAGTGCATGACAGATACATTTTATATGTGCTATCCAAAGTGTGAGGGAGGATTTAAACGATCCTATATGAAGGATAGAACCACATGAAAGTAGGATGAGAGAATTTGGGTTTCTTTTTCTTTTTTATTTTTTTTTTCCCCTGATAGGAAAATATTCTGCATCTGTTTTAACACTGGATTTATCATTTCAACTTGTTTGGTAGCATTTTAGGAAAACAGCTTTGCAAAGCAGGAGCCCCTGATAAGCAGGTTAAAAGCTATAAGCATTAGGATCAGCCAGTGCTTCTGTAGGACCTGACTCCGTTTTGGTTAATACATAAAATCATTCACTTACAAGTGATTAAACATTTAGGGTAGGTCAGTTCTTGGAGCCCTGAAGGATGAAGGGTGATTTATGGCCTTTATTACAAAATTAAAGTCTGCTTTCTCCACTCGGAGAAGCATAAACCTGTTTTTCCTGCCCAGCACATGCTGCTGGCATAAGCAATGGGAACACTGCTCTGCTTTCACCCATCTTCTGCTATGCTCTGGAGGTTAATCTTCAACAGGGGATGCACAAATCTGATGTGAATTGCTAAAGCTGCTCTTAAGATGAGCAAGTCATGGCCAGAATGCAGTTTGCTAAATTGTGTGAATGAAATTTGCAATTTGTGTGAAAGTGGTTTGTGTGAAAGTGGTTTGCACTCTCTCTAAATAAAAGGCTCCACTCCTGCAGCCACTGAGATGGTTTTAATGGCAGATTGTGCTCTCTTAAATTTGCACTGAAAACCAAATGGCCAGGACAAAAATAAGACTAACCGATGATGACAACAGAAAAAAAAAAAACCAAGATAAATATCCTAATTATCAACCTAGCCAGGGATCTTCAAGGACAGAAATGTAATGTTCCTCTGTGTTTTAAAGAATCTTCCATTTGAAAGCCTCAAAATATTTGAGAGCTCTGTAATGCTTAGCTTTTCCCTGAAACGTGGATATCACCAAACAAGGCAACTAAAGTTGCCCAAAGCTCTGAATGAGATCTAAGTTAAACTGTGAAGAGACTTCTCTTCTGCAATTGCATGTGCTCTTTTTCTTTGTAAGTTTTGCTTATCTCCCATTGTGGAGCTGACTTCTTGCTCTACTGTTGACTGTCTCATGCTATGTCCTGGATCTGCCCAACAAATGAAAATGCAACAGTTTTCAAAAACACTGGGCTTTATTTTTCTTAAAAAAAAATGAGCAAGTTAGTGAGCCTGGGATGAATGAATGACAACAGCAACATGTTAAAAAGGGATGCCAGAGCACATCAACCCAGATCTGCCATGTGTATGTTAAGCAGCGAGGAGCAAAGCAGTCAAGACAACTTCAAGTCAAAGAAGAAGATCTTCTTTCAGTTACATTTTTTAAAAACATCTAAAATATTTCCAATGTCCATAAAAAGGGATTTTTAAAGCAACCCTCCATTGACTTCAGTGCAGCGACAGTATAGCTGAAGGCAGATCTCAGCATTTCAGGCTGGCAGCTCAGGCTGCAGCTGCTCACAAGGAGACCCCTTAGTCCAGTGATTTCCGTCCTTTTCAGATTTGGTCCTTCCAGTGGATCTGCAAATTCCATAGTGTGAATTTCATAGAATCACCTAGGTTGGAAAAGACCTTTAAGATCATCAAGTCCAACCACTTAAACATAATGACAAGCAGTTCGGTTTTGAGACCCATGGTGCTGGACTGTGGACCACCACTAACTGCAGGTCAGGGCTCGAAAACCACTGTACTAATGGTATCCCCAGATCGTGACAGTAGGTTTGGTTCAGCATAATAAAGAGTACAGAAAGGCAGGATGACAAACACTAAAATAGTTGCAAGTAGAGCCACTTGGGTGCTTCAGAAGACTGACAATAGAGAGCCAGTGATAAACCAGGTAAAACTTGGACACACCAGATTGGTGAACTAGGAAAAAGACACAGTATCAATTTCCTGTTGTAATTACACCACAGCAGTAACGTTGTCCTCTTGGTGAAGTTACAAATAATCCCATTTTCACAAATGGAAAGGTTTGTAAGGATGGAAAGAGAAAGCCTGCATGAGATCCATCCGTCCTCCAGTTCTTTGTCAGATGAATCTGATTTTTCCATAGGTAGTCAAGGTTGGTTACTGATTCTCAAGAAAGCAATGAATTCCCTCCTTGGCCAAGTGTATTATGCTGAATGCATCCCTGGTGTGATTCTGCTCAGAACAATCGTCTTGCTCCATGGATAAGCCTGCTCTCTGCTCCATTGGCTTGAAACAGCTTTCCCCCTGTTCCTCCCTGGAGGTAACTCTATTTCCTTCCCTATTATCACATTCAAGTAACTGCACATCATGGAACAAAAATGATTTCATAACATTTCTGAAGCTTCCAGGCAAACTCCAATTGTATTTCTTCAAACAAGCTCACTTTTTTTTTTTTTTTAATTTATGATAGTAGAAGAGTAATTTGGGGCTGAACATATACACATTTGCAACCCCAAGAGCTGAACAATGCTCCTAACACTGTTTTACAGTCCTTGTTGATTTTATAACCTCTTCCACCTTGGTACAAGGGAACTTCATCAAGATATGCCACCCTAACAGTGATTTGCATTCCTCTGCATCCTGAATGCCACATATATTTTGTCTATTTATGGCATAGCAGGGACAAAGTATTTAAGTACTTCAAGGTTTAAGCTGCTGAAACAATTATAGTGTTGCTATACTAATACCATTCTCCCTCTAGTGTTTCTGAATGATTTGATGGTACTCTGGGAAAGGACTGAAAGGAAAGCAAGTATAAGAGGATGACAAGCGAGTACATAGAACTGGATGCTAATCTGATAGCCTAATTGTGCCTGAATACTCTTAATGCAATAATATAACATTAATGTCTCAGACAGGGCCAGGAGAGAAGGCCCACAGAAAATGATGAATTAAAATATGAGTGGATCACCATTTCCCCTGAATACTTTTCCAGACTTCAGTCAGAGTGCCTTTATATTTGATGGCTTTTACTGAATGTTGGTAGTAACACTTATCCACTGTCAAAAGCACACCTGAAAGCCTGTTGTTATCACAAGACAATGTAAAAATACTGAAGATGACAAAGAAGGTTCTACAGCCGTTTTCAAACCTCTGGCTTTTTTGGCCATGTCTCCACTAACCACGTCTGGCACCAAGTTTTTCTGGCATAGAATAGCCTCTGCCTATCCTAGGCCTCTCTCTTACCCTCCAAAATGGTAAGCTATCTATTATCTGTTATAAGATAGTCCCTTGGCTGTATTATCTCCTGAACTGCTGCTGGAACTTTTCGAGAGAGACAGTGCTGGCTGGCCCATCCTCAGCCAGCCAAGGACACTTCCAAGATGTACGAAGAACCAATTTCCTATGCCAACAAATGTGCCTTATGCAGCTGTAGCCACTGATTTAAATTTGGTTTTGATGGGTTTATAGCAAGCATGTCTAACACTGCTTGCGGAAATCCCTTTGATAAGGAGGTAACTTTAGACAGTCGCATCCTAAAGGTGTGAAGAAAGAGATGCGTTGTTGGATGGATGTTCATATCACTCTACCAATTCAGGTGAAACATGCAGAGAAAAAAGGAATAGACTATAGCTATGTGGTGTGTAATACCTGAACAGGACTTAACAGTCCTAGGTTCAGTGGATGAACTAATATTACTCTGGACATACTGCTGTCAGTTCTGCTTTCTCAGTCATTCCAGATAGTCTTCAGTAGTATTTCAGAAATGGTCACAATATGCCTGCAGCTTCACTTACTGGCCCCTGCTTTGTCTCAGCAGTACATAACTCATGTTCTGTGAGGCTGACACGCATTTTCAAGTGTTCAAACAGGAATAGAAACATTTTATTTGCACTGTTTGTGGTATGACATACCCTTCATACCTGCTCCTCCTTTTTCATATAATGCATTTATGAGCATTATATGATGAAGTTGATTTGCCAGGTTTGCAAATCAACAGATGGTGATGGGTATAGAGCTGAGCTGCACTATACCCATGCACATCTTGATAGACATACAGATACGTATACACCAACAATTAACATGGATAAGATGGCAAATATATTTGATCCTCAATGAGGTGGTTTTAGAGTAATTCACTGACATACTTACAGAGCTGGTCAAGGTTCATACCTTCTATAGTAATGGCTTGGTCTCCTCTCCTCTCCTGGGTCAGGGCTGCAGCACTGTGATGATAAAGTTCTGCCCCACTTTTTGCAGACCCTAACCTGTTCACCAGCTGAAGAGAATCATGCAGTACCAAATGAAATGCAGGATGTTTGGGTGGTTTTTATATAATAAAAACTTCCTATACTACATTATAAATTCATTACAATTACATGGCAGCTGAAATGGATGAAGATGTGACCCCAAACCTAAGCTAGAGTCTGAATGAATGCACTGCTGCTCAGTGGAGTTCATGATAATGCTTTACCAGAAACGATTCACAAGGAGAAATTACAGCACATTAGCTACCTTACAGTTACTTGCAGTTTGCTCTGTGGCCTATAACATGGTCCTGAGGCAGCTCTGTCTCTACCAACAGGTACAGATTGCTGCTGGATGCCATTTAGATGGTCATTAAAGAGGAATTTTTTATTTATCTTCTGTTAATCTACTGAGTCTTACTCAGCCAAGGGAATGGGATCATCCTGGACCATGGGACCTTATCCAATGGCACATGCAAGATAACCTGGTTTTGCTAAAATTCTAGTAGAAATTTTTAAATGCTATCAAACGTCCTAAACATTTCTGTGGAATAACTGTGAAGCCACAGCGAGCTGAGCCATTTACCATGAACAGCGACCCATGCTAATTTCCTAAACAAGGAATACTGCTGACCTGTTTTATTACAATGAATGCATAGACTATGGCTATTTTTTATAAAATATTTTACAGTACATTTATTATAATTTCTTGGATGCTTCCACATATGTTTGCTAAACAAACAGGAATTTCAGTGGTTTATACTTCTGTTCAGATTTAATTTCTCTCTTTTGGCTTTGGATGATTTTTATTTATGTTTTTTTTTAGTAGCATGAATCTGTCCTAATTTAAAGACAGTCCAGAAAAAAAAAAGATCACACCAAAACGGCCTCAGACTTTGTAAAAGGTACCTCTAGAGATCTGAATGTGAATTTAAAGTATAGAACAAGCTCACTCAATTACAATTTGAACCACCAAACTCTCAAATCAGAATATTATGAAGCTTTTGATGTCCACAATCCAGATCTGGTTCAGAAGAACTTGACTTTTGACTTCTATACAACAGGAAGCAGCAATTACTCAGCCACTAATCTCATGCAACAAAACTCTCCCAGTAAAATTAATTCTACCCATGTCATGTCAGACAGCAGATCTTTAAATCTTTCCATACTTACCTCACATTCATAGTGTCCCATGTCTTCATTGGAAGGGTTCTTGACCACCAGGACTACCACTCCACTCCGTGGTTCACTGAAAGTCTGGTATTTACTTGTGTCCTTCAACAATACACCATCTTTGTACCACCTGCATGTTGAAAACACTGAGTATAAGCCAAGAAACAATATGCAGTGTCAAGAAGTATCCTCAGTAATCTGCCTATCAGACCAGTTGGCAAGCAACTCAAGAGTTAATCATTAGACAGACTTCTGGATCCTGGAAGATAGGTCTGCGGGTGGGTAGATCACACATGGATACTAAACTGCACAGGTTTATGAGATTTTTCTTGTAAGTCAATGCAGGAAAACGGGCTTCAAATCATGAGAAGATATACTGAACTTTTTGTCTGAACACCCTAGACTAATTGCTGATAAAATCAATCCAGGTGTAAAGCAGGGAGGATGAAGAAATGATAAAATGTTGTCAGCGTGTTAGATCTCATACAGTCTCATGTCAGGGATTATCTGTAGGCACTTCTTTTTGGATGTTTGCCAGAATAAATTGTTAAGAATCTCAAGAATGTTTGGATTGGGAAAAGCTAGCATTGGGTTGGGATTAAGGTGGAAGACACAGAGCAAAAAGGGTCAAAACCTTGAAATAAAGGGTAGGAGACCCTCCTGACCATGCAAGATGGGAAAATGGGATTTGTTCTAGTGTGACTTGAAGTACTGACCTGATTTGAGGCCTAGGTGCTCCTTCAAAGGTACAGGTAAACTGAGCATCTTCACCCTCAATCAGATAAGCATTTCTAACCTTGTTCACAAACCGTGGTGGCACTGCAAGGCAAAGATAGATGTAGCTAGTAGCTGAAAATATGACCAGAGATGAAGGATGTGTCCCTGACCAGGTAATTCTCATGATGTCTGCACACAAGACACTAAAGACCAAACTTTTTGACATAAGACTAATTGATGGCACCTGTACATCAAATGATTATTTTTAAGTATTATTCAGCATATGTTATATAGAACTTCTGGAACGTCATATTATTTATGCTCGAGGCATTTTATAGCACACCCCTTTAAAATAATGCATCTATGATGAACTTTACCTTGAACAAGGATCTTTCCTAAGGTACTGGCATTTCCAGCAGGACTGGAAGCAAAGCACATGTACTGTCCTGAGTCAATGCCTGTTAGGTTGTCCAAGATCAATGTGCAGGAGCCGTCAGGATCTTCTATTATAATGTGATGGGGATCCACCTCTACAGGCTTTCCATCTTAAAGACAAAGGGAAATTTTTTTTTAATCACTTTGGTATTGATTATGCTTTCTCCTTGGAAATTCCATCCAGCTTTTCAACTTGAAAGGTCCAAGAGTATAGAGCTTGCTTTATTGCCGCTGATGTTGGTAGTTAAGGAATGAGCTCTTCAACTTTGTCCAGGTCTCTACAAAACATCCTCTGGGCAAAGCACTGCTGAGGGACCTCATCAGTCCTCATTTAAAACTGAAATTCTCTCAAAGTATCTGCCATCCAGTTATAGCTCTGATTTGCTAGCCAAAGGAACACTTCCAAAGTGACTGTAAACATGCAGAACACATCTTTACAAGATGTGAACTTCTAGCAAAGCTGGTTCCTCTGTAATACAGTAATATTTGTCTGCACAGCTGCCTGTGCTATGACATAGAAACATCTGAGCTAGTTAAAAGAAGTTGTTCATTTACTAGAAGTTGTCTAACTGCCACGAGATGTGGCTTACTAGAGGTTAATCGGCAAACCTGAAAACGAAGGGCATATTAGCTCGTAGGTATATGTACGTTACTTGGGTTGCTTAGTAGCTAGCTTTCAGACTAGATTTGGGTATCTCTAAGTGGTCAACTTTTAGGTTAGCCACTAACCAATTAGTAGAAAGCAATATAAATTTGAAGGATGCATTTCAAGACTTGCTGTTCATACCTTTGTACCAGCTGACAGATGGCTTGGGAGCTCCTGTAACTTTGCAGGCCAGCTTGACTGTCTCTCCCAGCTCAGCTGTACAGTCTGCTAGCTCTTCCTCAAAGTCTGGAGGTACTGAAACATCAGAACAAACATGTTAGTCTAGAAGAAGGGAGATCTGTCCATGAGATGGCTGCTACAAAGTAGAAGAATAGATTTACTTTTTGGAAAACTGTAAGGTTCACAATGGAAAGCTGAACAGAAAATTTTAGCAGCTAATAGTAAGCAGCTGATAATAAGCGATAATAAGCGACATGCTGTCCTTGCTTATCTGAAACTAAGTTCAGTCCATCAAATGCCTGTTGTTGGTTATAAAGTTAGGCCATAAGAAAAAAAAAAAAACAAACAGATTTGTTGCTGATTTGGAAGTATTTTAGGCCATGATTTTAATAAGCGCATCCACACATCCATTATTCACACACCATAGAGCTATCACAGTTAAAACAATTCCCCAATTAAAATGCATATCCAAACTAGTATCCTGTTGGTCTCCCTAAAATAAAATCCTTCCTCCTTTGCTGAATTCCTTCCTGAATTAAGGAACTTTAACTTATTATTACCATATGAAACTATACAAAATTATTCTCATAATCTTTCTCATTAGAACACCTCACTAAAACCACAAAAATAAAATGTCCAGGCTTGTCTTCAGTGCATTTACACTAAACCCAATTCCGTTCTGGCATTTCAGGGTGCTAAACTCTCTTATTCTGTAAAGGACACCATTTGTATCCTATGCCTGAACAATAAAGATGTAATATTCCTGCAGATAAATTTTGTCAATAAAAACTTGGTGGAATCTCTAATGACAGTGTAGACAAAGCAGCCAGAATGACATGATAAAAATCCAAAGCAAACACATGCGCCCAGATGCAGCAACATAAGCCAGAGGACAAAGGGAGGATTTGGTACTCAACAGAGTCATAGGAGCCTTTATACAAGCATAAGTACAACTCTGGTCAGGTCCGGAGACTACTTTTCCCTCTGGCTTCTTATGCTCTTTACACAGTGGGCCAGGGCCTTTACCACCAAGCTCTGTGGTCATCTATCTATCTGCAATCCCTACCAGACCAAACACATAGAGTCATAGAATAGTTAGGGTTGAAAAGGACCTTAAGATCATCAAATTCCAACCCCTCTGCCATGGACAGGGATGCCTCATACTAAACCATGTCACCCAAGGCTCTGTCCAACCCAGCCTTGAACACTGCCAGGGATGGAGCATTCACAACTTCCTTGGGCAGCCTGTACCAGTGCCTCACCATCCTCACAGTAAAGAACTTCCTCCTTATATCTAATCTAAACTCCTCTGTTTAAGTTTGAACCTGTTACCCCTTGTCCTATCACTACAGCCCCTAAGTGCCATCTCTGAAATTTGTTTAGAAGCTTCAGTAACGTGTTTGCCTTCCCCAGTGACACACATTTTCTGGGCTATTTTGCTGGAAAACATCATCCTCTGCTCATTGACAAAAATGTACAAATACGAAGACAGGGAATAGAGCAACTCCATGAGTCTCTGATTAATCCTCCATCAAAAGCAATCCACATAAGGTGAAATAGCCAGGGATAGCCAGCTCATCAGTTTGTGTTTTCCACACTTTTGTTATGGACATTGAAGAGTAATTAGAGAGCTACTCATGTGCTCTGCTATTGTTTAATAACTCGTACAGATCCTGTAGGACCTCTGTCACATGAACATAATCAGTTCAGTGATACACTGTCTTGGTTCCCTTGATAATAAATGGGAAGTCAAACACCACCATCCCATTCTGATAAAGATGCCTTCCCCAGCTCAGGTGGAGGACCTGCTATAACCATTCCAGTTAAGCTTACTGCTTGCTGTCAAGTCCTGTCAGTTATTTACAGCAGTCTGTGATATAATTAAAGGAAAACCTCCAACCCAAGTTCAGCTTAAGAGGTGGCAGATGGTCCTAAATGTTTTTCTTCCTCCTTTGCTAAATTCCTTCCTGAATCAGGGAGACTAGCCAAGAAACAACAAGAAGGTTTGGGCTATCTCAGGGCATACTCACTCCAGAGAGGCTCACTGATCCGCTGCTGTATGCCACAGATCTCCTTCACCCAGGAGTTCTTGATATTCACTGTACGTGCCTGAAGAAGGTACTTGCGGACCAAATCTTCCCGTTCATGCCAGATCTCAAATGCCCGGTCATCCCCTTCCACAAGGTCATTCACATCTATGTTGTTCAGCTGCATGACAGAAGGACAACTAAGTCAATACACATCTCATGTTCCTAGGATTTTCAGCCAGAACCTTTCCACAGCTGAAATCCCAGAGTTTAAGGCAGTTCAGATCTGGACCTAGCTTTTGTGAACCAGAACCATCTTAAAACAAGGTTTGAAATGGAAACAGCTATTAAACACTAGCAAGTCTCCTGCTGTCAGCATGTACCCTCTCCAGTGGACAACAGCAAAAAGGGAGGGTAATTTACACTGTTTTTAAAGATTTTTCAGATTGCATGAGCGACACAATGTGGCTTTGGCTGAACAGCAATTAGGGTCGTTTGGCAATCCTTTCACCAGTATACTTGATTGTCTGGTTGCCAAACGCATATTTCCCTGGGAGTAATTCTGATTTCAGGAAAATAACATCCAGCAAGAAAAGGTATCCCAAGGGTGGGGCACACTGTCCCTGCAATGCAGCATTGTTGGGCCAAGGATCTGCACAATTAGGGATACATGAAAAGGCATTACAGAGCAGGCACTCCCCAGACAAGTAATCAATATTTTTTTTTTGGGGGGGAGAAATGAACTCTGCCTATGAATGCCGCAGAGGACAGAGATAAAGACTTTCAGAAGGTCCTGACTGGGCTTGGTCAGGAACTCCTTGGTGGGTTTTGTTGGTTGGCTGTTTTTTACTGGAGTTAAGCATCTACTGCCTTGGGAGAACTCTTTCTTCAACTTCCTGCATTTTTAATCTCAGCCTTGAATGTTCGAAGGTGAGCTGGTCAAATCCTCTCAATTTTTCTTTTCTAAACAGGAATTAGTGTCAGGAAAAGACATAACCCACAGAGAGAATCACTAGGAATTAGTTTATGACTAAAACATCATTTCCTCCAGTTTATTACCAAAGTTACAGCCTGCCAGAACCAAAGATCTACAAATGCTAGCAAATATTATAGACAGAAAAATTCACATCAATATTTCATACTTATGCAATTAGCTGAATGAGGTAACAGAGATGAATAAACACTTGTACATGTAATCCCATTGCACTGTAAAACTCCACCCATGCTTCTATCAGAAGTTTCTGACATGTTTCTGACAGGTTTAGAAGAGAGATTTTGGGATAGACATAGATCTTACTTGTGCTTCAAATACTTTTGGAAACAAAGGAATAGCTCAAAAGAATAGTAAAATGTCCAAACTGGATATAAGCATGAAGTTCTAAATGCTCTAGGTGAGGATAAAGTCATCAGACCTTCATGATGTTCTTGAAGATGTAACTGTAGGTGTCTGTCCTTGTGTCCCGTTTTGGTTTGCAGATCACAATGTAGTTTTTGAAGAGGAAGACATGTCTTTTGTGTCCTTTCCAGGCCATTCTAGCTCCTGGAGCTCCTTCCCACACAATGAAGTGGCCCTGATAGGAAAAAGAAGGAAGCATACATAGCAATAAACCTGGAATGATGTCTCACTGTCATTTTTCAGTGAACATATAGCAAATGTTTACTGTTATATTGTCACCTTATGTGCCTCTGTTTTATTGCAGCACAGCAGATTGCTTCTAATGCTAAAGGTGATGCATCAGACTGACAGCACCAACAGAGGTGCACACGGTGCTTGTCATTATGTTGTCCTTTTGAATGGCATTATTTGTTGCCAGAAAAACAGAGAGCTCCTGTTGGGTAGGCACACTCTTGGAAATGGAAATGCTAATGAAAATTGTCTTTTGTGTGTTAGGCGGACACTTTGTATGCTCACTCGTTTTCCTTTACCAGAGCAGGACATTCATGCTACACACCACAGACATATACAGCTCAGTTAGTGACATGGGCTTCCCCTTGACATCATTAGGCAGAAGTAAGCAGTCTGGGGGTGGGATTGGACTCTGTTTCACATGTCTAAATGTGGATAGATGAATGCACACCGAAGAATTACTGTAATTTAGCCTTTCTAAAGGAGTTTCTTGTAGGACCTAAGGCTACTTAGAAACTAGTGAGGGCTTGCATAGCACTAACACCAGCTGAGAAATTCCAATTACCTGTCGGATGGGTTCACCAAGGCTTTCCAGGGTGCCTGGATAATTCTCAATGAGTGAGACATGGAGGTTGTTTTCTGCTCTTCGGGTGAGTGCAGACACAATGGCATAAGCCTGCTCCAGCAAAGTGCAGTTTTGGCTGTTTCTTGCTTTGTTTCGGATTAATTCCTGTAGATGAATATGAAAATGTTACCAGGCAGTCAGAAAAAAAAGAATAAATTTCATTGAGTTTCTCCATATCTGTTCCAGGTCTTTCATCTGAGCAACTTTTATCCCATTCTTTCACCATGTGCTGCTTAGCTATTGAAGTCTCTTCTTTCCTACCCATTCTGCAGCCTTAATGATTAACCAGTCTGGCTTTTCCTCATATCAGCTGATATTAGTCAAAGTTGAAGCAACTACCAGATATGCTTCAGTGACTGAGAACCAAAAAACCTCCAAAACAATCCTAAATGTATCCATTGCATTTCTCTGGTGCTTACCCTGATGACACCAGGAGGCAAGCAATGTGGCAGTTGGCTGTGCTAAATGAAAAGTCAATACTAGATTAATAAAGAGGGGGTGGAAAAAATACAACATGGCAGTTATCTCGTTCTTCTTGCATTTGTTCCTATTCCTCTCTTTTAGCTCATGGAAAGTCATGGAAAAGTCATGGAAAGTGCCCATGCTTGCTCTCTCTTCTAAGAGACCCTTTAAAATGTTGGTGTTTGTGTGCAGGCATGTGCTCAAAATTGGAAAGTTAATGTACTTTGAACTATTCAGATGTCTCACTCAGGTCACACTAGAATACAGAAATACATTGGCATGACTGTCTTCTTCCTGGATATCCTAGCTCTGTTTCCCATTAAAAATACTATTTTAAAGGCTACTTTTAAATATTTGTTTGTGGCCTGGGTTAGAACCTGAGATAACAGGACAGATGAAAGCTTGAACGATGAAACATTTCAGGATGGTGGAATGAAGCAAAACTTGTCACAAAACAAAAATTTCATCTTACTATAATATCAGTATAAACCAAAAGGAAATAAAATGGCAAGTCAGTATCTTACACATTGGAAACTGCTTATTTTTATAACATACCTATTACTGTGTGCGAAGCAAATTCATACTTGTTATGGATATAGGCATACACGTACTCATATACAGATGTAAACAGGCATATATTTTTATATATGTATATGCATATATTTACTCATATAGAACTTGCTAAACTTTATGGAGTTGGAGACCATGAACTTCTATCTGGTTTCACATTTGAAAAACTGTTTAGAGAGCACCATCACTGGCAGCGATTACTGTCTTTCTTACTCAAGCAGCTTTCAGTTGTAGTTGCATCAGAAGAAAGCTAATAAATACGAAATAAAAATGAAGTCTTTTTCTACACAAGGTGCACAAACCAGAACATAAACCTATCAGATATACACGCGTAACAAAAGGTCTTCACCTTGATTATAGTCTGATACTGCTGAATTCTGGTTATGGGTTTTTCCAGGTAGTGCTGCAGTGGTGGGATAAGTGGCTGTGAAGGATCTTCATTAGTTAAAATTTCATCTGTGTATCTCTGAAAAAATACATAGAAGAATGAGGAAATGCTGTCATAAAGAACAGTGGAAAAGATTACTCCCTGGAAAATACTCATATATGCTATACCTAAAAGTCAAAGTTGGATAGCTCTACCAGACCTTACTACCACATATTTTGGAAACCTCTAGCCCTCCCCCATCTTTTCTCAGCTAGTTGTCATTTTACATTGCAAGAAGGCTGCAATTCTGATTTTTTCTGGTTTTCCCGTGCAGGATTGACACCGGGGATATGTGATCCAAAGCTTGCAGAACTAGATAGTGTGATGTGAAAGATGAGTGCTTTCAGCAGGTGGGAGGGCAGGAGTGAGAGAATTCGGTGCCAGAAACTGGTGCCAGACCTCAGTTGAGGGTGGTCTGTGTGTTTGTAGTGCCAGCAACTGGAGAGATGAGGGTCTTGGCACCAGCACCTAGAATGGGAAGCACAGGTCACGGGGTCCATGTGCTGGGATGTCAGGCACTTAGCTGGATGCTTATCCTTTCCCACTGACCTGGTGTGTGTGGATGCAAATGTGTGAAATTCACCAGCAACCTTCAAGCTGAACTAGACGCAAGTACAGGACGCAGGGTCCAGCATGGGCATTAGGGAGGTTGGGAGTTTGTGCTGATAATTTGAAGGATCTGCGAATGTGGGGGGAATGTGAACACATGCATGTGTTTTCTAGCAAGCATAAAGCTGGACCAGGCGCTGAGCAGGAGCCACATGGAGAAGGTAAAAGCCCTGAAGATATGGACATGAGTATTGGACGGACAGAGGGGCAATGCTTGCTGCTCAGGAGACCCATAAACATGCATGTATTCTTGGATCTGGATTATTGTGTGTGTGTTTTCACTAGTGAACTCCAATCTTGGAGCAGAGAAACAGGATTTGCCTATCCTTCTGATTTGTGTGAGTTTGCTTGGTTTTATAATGTGCTTGTCCTTAAAATATCCCTTAATTACAATTACATGTTCACAGCCACATTCGTGCCTGTATACTTCTTATAATATCCATAAATACATAAGTATACATAAACATGTTCCCATATTGATTGTACCCACCAGGAAAACCTAGACAGTGAACATGGAATTATTATATTTAAGAAAGATTTCCCACCAAAAAGAAAAATCCTTTTCAGGATCACATTTGTGATTAATAGCTACGTTTCTTGTTGAAATGGATTATAGGATGCATGCTCTGCAGGTACTTTCGCTATCGTTTACCCTGTAGAAATCCTGGACAGCTTTGCTGACAACAATTGACTCAGCCTGTACCCTTCCCACCAGGTACTGGATGTACTTATTAAACTCTGCTTCACGCTTGATAAAGCACATGGCCACATCATCATCAGTGTCACATTTCTGCAAGCCTCGGAGAAAGACACTGTGGAGACAAAGGAAAAAGGACATCTAAGGAGAAGGGGATGGAATGAGACTAGAGCACAGCCCCAGCAGACAGACTTAAATCAGGTTAACACAGACTAAAAGAGGTGACTGGGGAACATGAGAGACATGACACATTAAACTCCTCAATGCCTCTTCATCCATCATGATGCTGTTCCTCTTAGCTTGAATGTATGAAATGCCCTGCAAGGAAGGCAAGGATAACTTTCTAGGGCTCAGTTCAAGTTCTGAATTAAGTCCTCCCTAGACCCTTATGCCTCAGTTTAAGGAGCAATGAGCCATCCACGTGAATGAAGACAGATATCCCCACTCTGTTTTACAAAGGATGTTGAAACAGATTCACATGCACAAACATTTTCAGCACTGTCAGCTGGTAACATGCAACACCACTCACAGTTGAAGTTGCTTTGGGGGGAAAACCAAAAGGATGGGGAAAGAGGAGAGAGTGAGGAAAGAGAAGGGAAATCTATTCTCATGGCCCAGGCAGGAAGAGTGCCAGTGTCTCACATAAGAGTCCTCCACATTACGTTTTTCCCAGAGTAACTATATACTTTTCATTGTAACATGCTTAAACTCCTTATTGGTTGCTCTTGCTTACGGTGCTATCAATACTGATCAGAGCACACGCTGACTGAGGAAGACACTTTGTGCGTGTATGTTATTGACCCTTTCCCCAAGGTAAACCAAAAGCGATTCTCATGCTGTTGGCAGGGACTTCCCATGAGAACAATTATCTCCTATGAGATAGGTGCAAAAGGAAGCCCCTCAGCAAAAGCCAAACTCACATAGGACATTGCACACCACCTCCTCTCTCCGCAAATAAAAGTATTTCAGCCTGGATGTTGGCAAGTCATTTTTTGAATAGCAGATCTTCATTAAACCTTTCTTGGAGTAAGCAGAGGCATTGTGCCATGGCACTGTGCCTGGGCAGCCTGCTACAGCTGGATGTGTTTCGAATGCATGGACACTAGCATCAGTTTTGGATGAATGTGTGTCTCTATGAAGATACCACTAAAGTGACTATAAGACCATGATGCCTTTTAAAACTAATTCATTGCTTTTTAAATTAATTCACTTAAAAGGGTAAGAAATAAGCTGGACGTATGAAACCTTGAAGCGCTGTAAGATATTATAGGAGTCCCAATCCTGACATAAACCATGCTATCCTATCACCTATCATCCCAAAAGGACTGTCAATTCCCTTGCACCTCAGCACTGCCAGTGCTCCACATCCTTCATAGTAGTAATATTTACTGTGGCTCTGTATGTGAGACACTCTTTGGTCTCAAATAAAGGCACATGGGAATGCCCACCTGGAATGGAAGTGAGCAATGTCATCAATATTTCTGAAGATGGTGGATTTCTGACTAGCAACAGCTCCTGGGACATTGGAACAGGTCTCAGTGTACTTAAGGTGATGAGTCAGGAGGAACTGTAGATCTTGAATGTAATCCTCTTCTGAGATCAACAGTTCTTGAATAAGAACACTGAAGGGAAAACAAATAGGCAAAAAGAAATCACAGAAAAATCATCATCATTATCCTTGACATGCTGACAGATTTTGAGGTTCTAAAGTAGAGATGCATGATCAGAGAAACAGACTCCCTGGAGTGTGTTGACTAGATATCCTCTGACCATAAGAAGAACTTAGACACCCTGCTCCCTCTACCTTACAGGTTGCTACTATTAGGGCAGATAAAAGAGAGAGTGAGCAACAGAAGGATCTATGTAAAGTAGATGGTAGCAACTTTGATGCCACTTTATGCAATCAAGAAGCAAGTATCTCCATGAGAGCACACTGAAATAGTGTGTTGCACTGCAAGGGAGTAACATCGGGTTGAATGCTTTCACACCCTCTTTAGACATCATTTTCAGATGTAAGGCATCCCAAAGCACTGAAATTCAGGATGTGGTAAAATCAGAGAGCTTCAGAATTGCATAATGTAAACTCCTCCTTTCAAGTCATCCAGTCTGGTTTAGATTGCCTGGAATATTCTTTGATGAAATCAATGGCAAAACACAATAAAAGACCACAAATTACAAGTCTGAGAGAATCAAGGGTTTGCTTGATTCTGGAAAAGGGGAGGTGGCAGGGCTCAGAAGAACAAAAGCAGTGACTCTGATAGGAGGGACCTAGATGCCAACATTTGTGTTAGTTCAATAGGTGGGAAAACTCAAAGGCACAAATACCAAATGACATGAGCCCACCTTAGCTTCCTTTTATATTCGTCTTCAGAAACAAATTCTCCAGGGAACTCAGGAGCTTCTGTTGTTCCCCACTCTGGTGACAACTAAAATACAAGAAAAAAGAAACCTTATGCTTTGAAGTTAACAGTGCTTTTATGAATGCACATTAAGGAATATCCTTTCTGCGTTCACTGTCCCTTTCAAGAATTCCTAAGCCAGAGTGAAATTTATTTTTTGCTGGAGGATGATTAGGTCTTTCAAACCCAGCACTGCTGCAAACATATGGAAATTGTCTAGTCAAAACATGGAAGAGACCAGTCATGTTACAGACCCTTTCAACACCTCTTGACATATATATCACTCCTGGCGAAAGGGATGGCTCTAAACTGCATCACAAAAATTAAACACAGCATGATCAGTTACCTTTAACTTCTTGTCCAGGTAAGCTGGAGATACCCAACCCTGTCGAGAGGGGCTAGATTTTGTGGGTTTGGTCCTGACCAGCCATTTCAGAGGATGAGCTGAATCGAGGACTTCTACGTATTGGCCTTCCTTCAAAGTGATGGCCTCCTTGTCAGGTGCAGCAGGTGAATAGTCAGCTGTGACCATGTAGACATCAAAGATCTGCAAGCACAAAAGGACAGTTATTTTGTGCTCTGAATATAGAATACAGTAACACCAGCGGAACATAAGTGCTTACTGGTGCTTAATGTTTTATTCTACAGCCCTTGTACGGCAGAGAAAATCACTGTTCACTTTGGCTCAGACCATATTTTCAAGTCTGTCTCTCTGAGGTGTTTTGGATTTATACAATAAAACAGTACTGCCTTTCTCTCAAGGCAAAACAGTCATCCTGAAAATGACAAAATTAATTAACATTTCCAAATTCTTAACTTTTTTTTACCTTTTTTTTAAGGAAATGTTTGAAATTACATCCCCCAAAATTTCTAATTCTCACAAAATTCTCATTTTTCTCAAGAAGAAATTCTTAACAAAATTCTTCTGACCAACTATCCAAGGCCACAAGGCCACAGAAAATCAGGCTCTGACTTTCTTAGGATCAGCCATGAAAGCAAAAGATGCCAAATAAGGGATATGTTGCCTTGAACAACTTGTTCAAGATCACACAGTGAGCATCAGAATTTGATTCTCTGTGCTCTGTATCACAGACCCAATATTTACTAAATATAGCTACTGAAGTGAAGTACATCTCTAAAGGTGGTGGAAATCCTTAAGCCATAGGAGACTGGTCATTCTAAGTAAAGTTTTCTCCTTGTGAAAAATTGTCAATAAGGATACCATACCTCTCCTCTGGAATCTCCATCTTCAGATTCAGAGGAGGACTCCTGAACAATAGAGGAAGGTCTGGATCGTCCATGGCGAGGTGATGCAGAGGGTGTTTTTGACTCATCATCACTTTCTGCACCAGGCACTCGAAGCTTAGCTGAAAAGCAGAGTAAGAACAGTGCATGAAATAAAGATATCCTATTTTAACATGAACTAAATCTATAATAATTTTCAATTTCATACAAACAAATATTCCCTAGGAAGAGCATTTGTAATATTTAGTGTGAAATCCTATTTGTATTTAGGATTAAACAAATATTTGAAATGTTTTAATATGTTAGGCTGCATCCCTACTGCATGTATTGCCACTGCATTGCAAGAATGTTCATAGGAGACTTAAGGCCTCTCTTTTTTGCTTGAAGATAAAACATTACTACAAGATAATAAGTATATGGTACACAAACCAGGATTTTTCATTTAATTCAACACATCATTGGATTACTGCCCAGCTGTGAACAGAGTTTTCTGCCTTAACTTGATTTTAAAACCCTATTGTGAGATAAAACTTGAAGATGGGGGAAGTCTTCAAAATAGGATTGCTTTCAGACTCAGGAGTGATGAATTTCTGAAAAACTTAAAATACCTTAGAGGTTCAAAATACACTACCATTTTTACAACTTGCCCTCCACTCTAAAGCTTACAGTTATTCCTGCTTATTTAAACAAACACTGCATGCATAAAATTTCATTTTTAGCCATCAGCCATCTTCATTTACTGTAATAGGTTTTTTCTATCTCAAAACTGTAGACTAAGACATGCAGTTTAGATGGACTTTTACTAAAAGTCCTTAGTCCTAACTACTTACAAATACTCATATACTTACGAAGCAGTTTTGAGACAGTCACCCTGCTCACTGATATTTAAAGCCCAAATGATACTTAAAAAAAAAGACTGTATATTTTTCTGCACTAATTAAATTGTGTTTGACAGGTTCCTTACCTTGATTTAGTTTTGCAGATACCATTTCTGAGATGTGTGAGGTGAGTTTCTGAAAGAACTCTTCTGAGCCAACATCAGCTAATGAAATAGGGCTTTTGGGTACACCTTCAAAGTCTCCTGAAAAGAGAGAATTTGCTATTAAGCAGGAAATGCCACTGGAAAGTCATCTTTTTTGAGTAACAAAAGTGTCTGTGGAAGGAAGGTTTAATTTTCTTCACTTTCCATGTTTTTAAAGCTGTGCTTGCTCACATTTCATCCAAATAATTCACCTTGAACAGAGACCAGTCCTGAAAAGTTCCAACATTTCAGACAGTTTTAAGAAAACAGGATGAAAGTAGGTGGTAATTATGAAATATATAGATGATCTCAACCGTAGATGTGAAGGGCAGGAGTAGGAGAGAGAAAATAGCCTCTTACCTTCTCTTGTTTCAGAGGATTGAATATCTCTGAAAGAATAAAACAGAGTTAAAAGTTAACATAAAATCTGTAGCAAAGAGAGATAAATAAGAAACATCCCCTCCTTCTAACACATTGTATGTGAAGTCTGGGAATATGTAAATTAGGACTCTGCACTTGACTGCAGGTGTTAGTAGTCAATACTCATTAGGGCCACTGTGACAAAGGAGAACTGGGGCATGTGGCTCTTAAGGGCACAGAACCCCTCATGTGTCTTAGTCTTTCAGGCAAATGCCATCTGAGAATTCTCCTTATTCCTGACTTTTATTACAAACTGTTGCTTGGCAAGATCTGGCTGCTCAGGGAGTGGATTGTAGAACCAAGTAACCTCCACCTCCGTGGTACTACTGGACTTTATTCCCAGCTGACTCTGAAATAAAGCTATTACAGTTGAAGACATTATGTCAAGTGGGATCTGTAGTCTTAGTCAGTTTTCAGTGAACTAATACTTAACAATTTGCAGTGGTTTCATCAGGAAACCAAGGATCAGAGAACATGTAGATGCTGTGGTTGCCCAAGAGATCTGCTCCCGTCACATCAGGATGCCTGTGTGTTGGGAAACAAGCTGGCTACTCGTACTGCAGTAGTTCTGGGGTCCAAAGAGACCCTTGCTACACTGACAGCTTTTACCAGGTTCAAATTAATTCATGCTAGCAGGAAAGGGGCAAGAGCCTGTATTGTTAACACTGAGTGAAAATGACTTCATCAGCGTGAAAAAATACCAGCATTGTTTCCATCTGATGAAGAGTGTTTGTGTTGTTTCCTAAGACTACAGCTCTGCCAAAACACTAAAATATTGAAGTCAACATCTCTGCTTTCCTCCTGTTTTTGGAGGCAGGATATAAACTTTCATTGCACAGGCTGATCTCCCCTAATTCTCTATTAGTACACAGGAGGCAATCCACTTGATATGTGATGAACTATATACCACTAAGTATGCCTAACAGAGCCTGGACACAACCTTGGGAGAGGCTGCAGTGGAACAGCTGAATTCACACTGTGGCTTTCTTCACACTTCAGAGGAAGACTGGTCAAGGGTTTTAAGCTAGACATATTCTAGAAGTTAACATGTGCTCAGGTGGATACTGCTTTTCAAACTCTCTCTGCCTAGTATCCAAGCCAAGGATGGTGAACTGAAGAGGTTATTCTTCAGATGCGTTTGTAAACAAGAAGTTTGTGAGCAGACCCTTTTCAGTTTCTTTTTCTGTGAAGCATCGATGTTGGCAAGTAACAGTCAGAAAAACTTGACCCTTAAATTTGGGGTTTTTTTACATTCTGCTTAGGAGATGAAATAGTAGCAAGAGTTTTATATGACCCACCCATTTCTTCTCTTTCCTTTCCTTGTCCCTATCATCCCTGATAATCAAGCATAAATGACTGCCACTAATATTATATGTATAATATACAGTACTAGATATAGTATATAGTATTCATAGCATTTCCCATCCTAGGAACTCAAACTATCTTAATGCTGGTGCCAAGACATGAATATGAGATGTCCAAAGTGAACACAGCCTAAAAGTGACTCATGGGAACTGGTACCTGCACTGCTCCACTGCACCACAGGTGACCAACCACTTACCCTAGTGTGGTCATGATGGCTTCTGACACCATCACACGCTCCTGAGTCAGAACTTCAGCCTCTTTCACTGCAAGATCAGGGTTTATCATTAGAGGACGGAAGGCAGAGAATGTTTTATTTTTGTGTGTGTGTGTGTGTATTTAATGCAGATATGTTTTCTAGACGTGGATTACTGGGAACACTGAAATAATGGATCTGCCCTATTAGCAGCTCCTGACCTGGAAGACATACTCCCACTCAATATGATGCAAATAGTTTGCTTCTCTCCCTGTTCATGTAGATGTATGAATGCCTTATTTGTCTACATTGCTCAAACTATGCTCCTGTAGCTCTTGGTACAGTAAAAATGTGGGATGCAAGGAAGGATAACAGAAAAACAGAGTCCTTCACAGTGCTGTCCCTACTCCCAGTCTGTATTTGCTTGTCTCCTGTCTTACCAAATGAATTGTGACAGGAGAGGATCTGAAAAGGTCTGTAAAAGGGGAATCAAATAACTCTAGCTGCCTTAAGACAGCTCTACAATGCAAAATACCCTAGCAGAGAAACATTTTAAGTGATTTTTCAAATTATGACTTTTGCTAGTTACTTTGCATTGTCTTTCTTCCTTTCTTTTTCCTTTGTGCTTAATTTGGTTGTTTCTTGGAACTTGCCTTCTGTTTATATAGAAAATATATTGCTGTTAATCCAAGATAGGGTCAGAAATCTTAAATAGAAAAAAAAGAGTGTAATCCTTTGCAAGGCATGCAAAGCCATGGCTAATCTTAGGAGAATGCTTTTTTTTTTTTTTTCAAGTTGTAATTTGGTTAATTTCCTTACCAGTGACACTTGCTCTTCTCTTAGGGACTGTATAAAACATCAAATAGAGAATGTGTTTGTATTGTAACAAAGATTTACCATCTGAAACTTCCACGGTGGCTGTGCAGATGGACTGGCCAGCCTTGTTAGTAGCAATGCATGTATAAGCTCCACTGTACTTCCTTTTGACATCCAACAGGATCAGACTGTGATGCATATTTGAACTGGCAAGTTTATACCCAGGAGTTTCTGGTTTGATCCACAGAATATCTTCCCGAGACTCTTCCTTCAGCCAAGTAATGGTTGGTGGTGGATGTCCTAAGAAAAAAACAATGCAAAGAGCTTTAATTTTCATAGTGGTGTTCCTGCATTACAACTATAAGCCATGCTGTGAATAAATGCTATTTTGATCTGTTCCCTGACTCTTTTCCAACAAAAAAAGGCATAACATATATTAAAGGATGTCTTTAGAAAATTATCTTTCTACAACACACTCAAAAGTACATCAAACCTTTTTCTAAAATCAAAACTGCTAATCAACACATCTTCAGAAGACCAGTAAGTGCTGTTATCCCTGATTTTACACACAGGAAAATGGAAGTGAAGATGTATAAGATGCTTTTTTGTAAAGCACATAAAAGTATTTTACATATCTGGGAGTAGAGTCCCAGTCTTCAGATACAAGAGACAAGGTTACAATGACTTGGGCCAGAGAGAGTCTAGAACGTGCTGTGAAGTTATGCAATTTGTTATGCAGAGAGGCAAGGTATGTATCCACTTACCTTCAACTTTTACAGATAATGTGATGCTTGCACCTTTTTTCACCTTTTTATTAGTAAATCTTTCAAGGAACCGTGGTGGTATCAGCTGCTCATGGGAATCTGAAAATGACATTATTGATGAAACATGGCGAGTTTAGATGACTGAAAAATTCGTAGGGGTTCTGTTATCACCTGCTACAGCTTCTCTCACCTGTTTCTGATGGCTCTTCTTTCTCATTAGGACCTGTAACACAAGGAGGAAAAAACAAAATGAGAAACACAAATATCTTTCTGCCCATGAGTTTAATTAAAAAACAACAACAACAAAAAAGTGACTGCAGAGGATTACTCTTTGCAGAAGATGCTACACAGAAATGTCAGTATAATTTACGAGAGGCCCTCAGTTTTAATAAAATGAACAATTAAATTTGCTGAAGTTGGGCAGGAATAAAATGCATGTTTATGAGATGACAGGCCCTAGAGAAGCAAAATCTTTGGGACACAGAATTTATAGGTGAACCAAAATTAAAGCATATATTTTTTTATCTACAGACTTCCCACTTTACTTGACTTTCTTTCTCAAGAAAAATAACTTTACAAAATAGAAAAAAAAACTGGAAGAGAGGAAAGCAGATGCCAAAATCAGTGCCCTACCTACCTTTGACTACCAGTCTTGCTGATGAATATGCGGAACCGGCAGAGTTGATGACAAACGTTGAGTACTGACCAGCATCTGCCCTAGTGACATTGCGAATTTCCAGTGAGTGGAATTCCTGTTTATCAGTCTTCAGGATGCGATCTGAGGCCTTTAATGGCTGTCCATTTTTGAACCAATACAGACGAGGCTGTGGGTACCCTGCAAGAAGCAGTTGCAGACATGGAGGACAGAATGCATTGGCAATATTGATTTGGTAGCATCTCCAAAGAGGCAGGTCCTTCTGAGCAAGAGCCAAGGGATTCTCAGCTCTGCCCATGGCTGCAATTTCAAGGATTTACCTAGTTAAGAATGTCTGCAAATTCATTAAATTCTATTGATCTGTTAAAGTTCTTTCCTGTCTTTTCAGTTTCTGGCACTCCCCATTATTGACTGCATGTGCAAGTACCTTTCAGGTTGGACGGGTAACACTTAGGTCTGACTTGCAATGTACACAAAGAGAAAAGTTGAAGCCAAAAGAGTTCTCACCATTTATGGAGAGAACAGGAAAATCCCTACCTCTCCCTACCACAGCCCACACCAGGAGGGTGTTTTTGCAGTTTTAAATTGTAGCAGCAACCCCCTCATAGAGTAAGGCAAGTCCAGGACTGTTCATTTACTAAAGAGAATAAAGGACACCCTTGCTATGTTGTTTTGGTTTTTTTTATTCCTTATTGCTCCTCCATAACTAACATGCTCAGAGAATTACAGGACTTAGTTTTCAGGAGTAAATGCCTGTAATTGTGTCTGGAGACATGGACACAGAATGAGACACTTGATCTTTCTAACTCTGCTACAAAAGCCAATGTTCATCAGCATGAGCATCTTCTTCTAGCTGTGTGGTGTAAATGTGATGCAAGATCCATGGGCTGGGGGCACAGCTGCGGAAAAGCACATTGGAAAACCTTGTCCAGCACTTCAATCTGGCAGCAAACTTGGAATAACTGACAGTGCTGTGAGCTTCCCTCACCTTTCACCTTCAAGTGAAATTTAGCCAGTGATGCTCCAGGTGCCACATGAATATCATGAAGCTCATCAAAGATCTGGGGCAATTGCTCCTCCTCAGTGGTAGATTCCTCCTGTTCTCGGCTAAGAAGCAATTAGATTCAGAAAGAAGAAAGTCAGCAAGCAAGAAAAGAGTCAGGAATCAGAATTAACTAGTTTAAGTTAATTTGGTCTGTGGGCTTTCTCATCATGGCAACAGATTCAGCACCATATGACATTAAAAGTAATAGAATGATACTGTGAAGAAATATTCAGGCTAGCCTGAAAGCAGCCAGAGCAAGTGGTAATGATAAATGATAAATTATGATAAAAGACATGATAAATGTCCAGCTGTTGCAGTTACTGCATCTCAGCTGGTCTGGCTGTTCCTTTATGACATTAAACTGGCCCTGCTAAATACAGCAAAACCATAAACATACATATTGATCTTACCAAGTCAGAATTTAAAAAGAGGTAGAGTTCTATATTTTACCTTGAAATATATTCTTTGGCACTGTAGTAAGAAGATGTCTCTGTTGCATCTGCTGCTGTCTCATAGTCAGTGCTGGTCACTGTTAAATGGAAAAGGATGTGTTTTCTATAATCTGTGCTTTGAAACTATTTTTCTTACTATAATTATCTTTCCCTACTAATTTGAGTGACAACAGATTAATTTCACACTGCTACTGCAGCAGGACCCCATACACCCCTAGATTACAGGAAACATCTGTTTATCTGAAAAGTTTTGCTCCGAGCCTTGCCTTGGAGTTGGCAAAACCTAACTGAACCCAAGAGGTTTGCAAGTGAAACATTTCGTGGACAATGCATATATTTTCTTGATGTAAATGGTGCTTTCCTTGGGGAAAAAGCAAACAACCCAGCAAACTAAAAAATATCCCCCACTCCGCGGGACCCCTTCCCTTGTTTCTTCTACAGTGATTTTGAGACTTACAGTCCACTCGAAGCTCAGCCTTGGTTGAAGCAACTCCCATGTTGTTTTCAGCAAGGCAACGGTAAACACCCATGTCTGTGGGGACTACAGCTGTGATAATCAGCTGATGGCACCCCTCCTGGTCCTCGTTGATCATGTAATGATCATTTTCTTCAATAGCTTTCCCATCCTTGAACCAGCGAACTGTGGGAAGCGGTTTGCCAACGACAATGCAGTCAAAGCTGACTGGATATCCATCTTGTACCTCTTGGTTTTGGAGCTCAGTCAGAAACATGGGAGCTAGAGTCAGGGTTGTTAGGAAAGAAGATAGGAAAAACTTGGTTGTGATAAAAGATATATTTTAAAAGCACTGCTGCTCAGTGCCTGAAGACTTGTTTCTACTTTTTTTCTTTATTGCAGTGTTATCTTTTCTCTATGAAAATACTCAAGTACAAACTACATCTAAGTAGAAATAAACACTATGAAGATATTCCATAACACCATAAGCATTGCAATACCACAGCTGCAAACTATACATTGTCTCTGTTCCTCTCTCTGCCAAAATATCTTGTTTCCCTCAGGAAGTTTTGAAAACTGTGTCATTTATTTGAGTATACTAATCATAGCATAGCCATATTATTGTAGTAGGGGACATTTTTATTGTGGAAAGCAGCTTTGTAGATAAAGCAATACTTTGCACCCTCCTCCTTCATCATTAACCTCCTTCTCCCTCAAAACTAGAAAGAATAAAAAAATCGATCAGTTTTTGCCGAAGTGCAAAGTTTCCAGGAAAATATCTGCTCCAAATGAAAAAAAAAGGCTTTTTGGGAGCTATTTGTGAGTGAAAAGGTAACACTGTGACCTGCTCTAGCTGTCTTTTTCAAAGAATAAACTGGTTTGCTTCACCTACCTGTATCAGAAGTCAGCAAAGGTGGTGGAGGTCTGGCTAATGGTGGTGCAAACTTCCCATGGGTAGGTGGTGTTGCTTTCCCGATGCGTAATTCAACTTTTTTAGGGCTTTGTTCCAAAATGTCAATCTCCACAGGAATTCCCAGAGCACCAAACATCTCTCTGAATCGAGTGGCAGCAGTTTTTGCCTCAGACAAGATTTCAAACTTAATGTAGATGTACTGGTCATCCTCACGATACGTCTGATGGTCAATCACATCTATGTCCCCTTCATCTGCACTGACAAAGAGCTCTTCCTCCACATCAGATATCTCAGTTGAGATCTTGGCCCTGAAGAGTCTATTAAGTCTCCTTGCTGCTTTACGGAAAGCATCATCCAACTCACTGCCGGAGGAGCTCTCTGTCTCACTGTCAGTGCTGTGTTTAGCCTGCTCCTCCTTATGAAGAAAGTGAGGTTCTTGAGTGCCAATAACCACCTTAGCACTGTGTGAAACCCTGCCAAATTTATTGGATGCTTCACAGGTGTATTTACCTGCATCTTTCCTGTCCAGGCCAGTGATAATCAAAGAGCAGGTCCCATCAGTGTAATTGTCTATGTGATAGTAGCGACCATCTGAAAGCTCTTCCCCATCTTTCAGCCAACGGACTTTCATGTCAGTTTTGCTGTGGGCCACACACTCAAGATGAAGAGTACTTCCAGGCTCACCAGAGAAATCTTTGAAGGTCTCAGTAAACACTGGGCACTCTTGTTGTTTGATCTCTTTCCTGACTTTGTAGCCTTTGAAAGCAGCTTGGATCTTCACAGCGGCCTTGTTCATGGAAGGGTCATCTAAATCTGGCATTTCTGGTTCAGATGGCTTAGCAGCTGGGGCAGGCAGAACAGCCTCCACGCTGGATTCCTCCCACTGCTTCCATAATTTGCCTGTGGAGATGGACTGAACCTTGCTAGTAACACTAATACTTGTCTTCCCTGCCTTCTTGAGGTAGTTTACTAGTGAAGGAGTTCCAGCTCTAGATTCATCATCTGAGCTTGTGAAAGAGAAATCTGCTTCTCCTGTCCTAGCCAGCTCATCACATGTGGAGTACTCCTCTGAGTAATAGTGAGACATCTCTGCCTCCTCCTTCCTCAACTTCTGAAGCTTCTCATCCTCTTCAGGCACCTCGCTGATGGAATCCAAGGTGGGTTCCCGGCTCATCCGTCGTTTCTTAGCCAGGGCTTCCCACAGAAGGTGAAGATCTCCCTCCTGAGCAGCCTCAGGGGGCAAGCTGGGCTGGACATGACCATCCACCAGCTCTTCTGGTTGATTTGCAGGGGGTGCTTCCTTGGCAATCTCTTTAAGCATTGATGCTGTGGGAACTGAGGAGAATTAAATTGTTAAGATGTTAAAAGACAAAGGTTGTGAGTAAGCTTTGAGAACACACATAGAAAGCTTATTCTAACACCTGGGAAGGAGAGTATCAGTGGCATTTAACTATGCATTCTGTTGAGAACAAAGTGTAAATTTGATACATCTGGACATGGTCATGGGCAACTTGCTCTAGGTGACCTTGTTTGAGCAGGAGGGTGGACTACACTATATTCAAAGTCCTTTCCAACCTCAATTATCCCATGATTCTTTGCAGGTACTTAAAACATGGCCAAACAACCTTTTTATTCTTCACAGGTTTGAACCCAATAAATAAATTTCTGCCCTTTTAAAATGGTGCAGTTGACGAATATCTAGTTAAGCCTATCAGTGCAGTGTGGAAAACTATTCAGCCTCATCCTGTTTTACAGGTAGATAGGGCTTCACTGAGTGTCTTGAATAGATCTCCACTGGCTATAACAGGAGCCAAGACTCCCACTTGAGATGGAGACACCTGCCTGTTCAGGTGTGTCTAAGTCTGAAGGTTGTAACTCACTCCCCGGGACACACTGACTTGTTACTGCATAGTGCCCAGTGCTTTTTGAGATGTTCCAGGCTTCTGAGACATCCATGTGTGGCTGTTAGATACAACACAGGACCCATGGGTGCTCTAGGTTCCTTTGGAGAAAGAGATGGAGGCCAAGGGTGATATCCTGAAGTGCCTCAGTGGCACCAGATGCTTGTGTGTAGGCCACTAAATCCCACCACAGGGGCAAAATTCAGCTTCCTAAGCACTATGAGCCAAAGGCATTTGGGATACCTAGGACAGGGGGCTGGCAGATACCATGCAGAATATACAAAAGAGCCCTCACTTTCTGAAATGGCATCTGAAGGCCAGGCAGAATACCCTGGTGTCAAACGACACCAGAAACCCATGTAGAAACAACTGCCTTGCAACTTCAATATATGACTCAGTAAAATCTTATCCAAGTAGATTCAGAAATGTACTGGGCAATACTGAACAGAAAGACAACAATTCTTTGTGGACTGCTATCACAGCTTGTAAAAGAAAACTAATTCCAGTCCAAGCTGTGGAGATGCCCTGGGATGTCTGTAAACAGAACTATTTAACATCACAGAAATGCATGCTCCATACCATCAAGACACAAGGTGGCAACAGATTTGACTTCTGGAGAAACCATGCAGGTATATGTGTCCTGGTCTTCAGGTTTAAATGCATGAATAATGAGTATCTGCTTTTTCCCATCAGAGAGGATCTCATATCTCCCCCCAGCTCGTATTTGTTCTTTTCCTTTGAACCATGTAACTTTCATTTCAGTTTCACTTGATAATTTGCACTCCAAGCGAGCCGCCTCTCCTTCTGAGACTGATCCTCCCACTAAAGGATGGGTGACTGTAACTGGAGGCTCTGTAATTACAAAAAAATAAATTAGCAGAAAGAACATACAGTAATTTGGCCTTAAGACACTCAAGATCACTCTATAAAATATCCAAGCACCCCATCCTCCATTTATAGATTCTTTAGTTCTTGTAGACAACCAAAAGGAGAAAAAAAAAATATGGTAACGTTCAAAATTTGCACTTCCAAAGATAACAGCGACATAACTTTACAAGATTGCCCAGCGGGTAAACCAGCTCCATTTAAATATATACATGCAAATTGGTTGCATTTTTCGCATTCCTGTGTTTATTTGCTGATCTTCATTTACCCATCACCAGTATTCAAGCAGTTCTACAGATTCTAGAAGATCTTAAAGTTTAGAAGTGAAGCAGTTCTGAAGACAATAAAGAAACAATAAAAAAGAATTAAAAAAGACATTATTAAAAGCATTCATCCCACTCTTGAAAATAAAAAGTAATAAAAAGAAATTACACTAGCTTAGGAAGAGTAAAAATTCTCAAAAAGCATAAACAATTTAAAAATTCTCTCTATATCTTTTGTCCTTTGGAAGGAGGCCTGCCAGCGGCATGCTGCTTGCACAACTGTGATACTCAGAATGAAGTCAAGACAAATGCATGAAATGTGGAGATGTGGCCTGGGATGTAAAGTACACAGATAAATTACCAAAAGCAGCACACTCCTGAGTGTGATCTGCCCCTTTGCACATTTCACCAGTGTGAGGGGGGCCGCTGCTGAAAATGCTTTGGGTTTTTTGTAGGCAGTCAGCATACACAGATTTATCAGGGTACAGCACTGGCAGCTGTCATATTGTGAAAACGTCATTGTCTGAGCCTTAAGAAAAATATTTATTTATTATTATTCTCAGTTTGAGGAATTTTTTGTGCACTCTGTTATCACAGAAAGAGTTGCAGGAAAAGAAAGATTGAGGAAGTGGTTCTCTGTCCCACTGTGGCTTCCAGAGTTCCACCAACAGACCGCAGAACTGCATCCTCCATCATTTCTTTGTGGGAGTTATTGAAAAAGATACACAAATAATAAAACAAAAGAGAAAGATGGGTGAAGAAGTCAACACTGTACACCCACAGCTTTTGTACCAGGGTCTTGGTACCCCTGAATGCATCCCAACATGCTCCTTTTGACTCATACCATCCTAACTCCACCTGAAAAGACCAGGCAACATATGGATGCAGACAGCCTGTTGCAGGTTGGAGAAAATAAGTGTTGATTACTAATAACGCAGCCGGTTTTGTTCATGGCAGCCCAGAACAATTTTTCCAAGCTCTTTCTCCTCTATTGTGTTGGTAGCAAAGCACTGAAAGATGTTGCAGACTGAACTCTTCCAGGAGATGCCTGGAATGGATGAAGCAGGCATGCCATGCAAAACACAAGGTCTACAGCCACTTGCAGTCCTCCATGGGTGCATCTCTCTGTTCTCACCTAGCTGCACCATCTGAGGGAAGTGCACCGGCTCACTGGCCCCAACTTTGTTTATAGCTGAAACGCGGAATCTGTAGGGTTCACCTGGGGTGAGATTGTCCACCATAAACTCCGTGTTCTGAATAATGCCCTTGCTGCATGACTGCCAGCCAATACCTGGGATTTTCTTCTCCACATTGTAGCCTAGGATGTCACAACCACCATCGCTCAACGGCTTGTACCAAGACAGAGTTACAGAGTGGCTGTTCTTACTTAAAACTTCTGGTTCTTCAGGTGGATCGGGGTGGGCTGAAGGCACAACAGAAGTCCCGAAATATATGACATGAGCAATAATGCTTTATACTGAAACAACCAAGAGCCTTCTACAGGCAATGAGAAGGAAGCAAACAGTCAGTATTTGTCTTATTGTAAAATTGAGTGGGTACATGCCCATAACCATGAGACATACATGTGCACGACTGAGTTTTCCTTTGATCTACGTTGCTAATGACAAACATCCATTTTCCAGCTGTCATCTCACATACTTAATGTCACATATTGTGAATTTTTCCTGATGCTTTGTCCCACCTAGCTCAAAATAAAGATAACCCTATCCTGTCCATATTATCAAGGAATTTAGCTGAAAACTTCAATTACATTTGGGCCTTGATCATATTAATTTCATGTTTGGCCTTAATGGAATTCAAGTTATTATTTGACTACAGAGTAACTTAATAGCAAGTCACTCAATTTCTGTGTACTTGCTATATAAGTCACAGCATCAGGCACTAACAAATAAATACATAATGGGAATGGTCTGCTGTCCTACTAGACTGGCTACTGATGGTCATACTCAGTACACTGGAAAATGTTCCTCACTTAATTTATGCTTTGGCTTAGAAGACAGAATAATTCTTTCGGTCTCCAAGTTCAAGGCATTTACCAAGTAAGTAACCTGCCTCAATGTACCAATCCAAGAAGTTAACAGCAAGTAAGGTCAACAGCAAGTTCTTAAATTCTGGACACCACAAACATAACATAAAAGGTTCTTTTTCTGTATTTTTTGCCAAATTTCATACAGAAAAAGTGTCAACAGGAGGAATTTGTGAAGGGAGTATTTTGCAGCTCCTAAATGGTGGTGTCCAAAATAAAACAACACTGCTTTAAATCTGTCAGCAATCCTTTTTTGTTTGTTTGTTTGGTTGGTTGGTTGGGTTTTTTTTGTTTTTTTTTGTTTTGTTTTTTTTTTTGTTGAAATGACTGGAATATACCAGAGACCTCTCAAGTCTCAGAAATCTTTGGACAGAAGGACTACCCATAATGATTTAAAGAATGGATGGTCAGTCAGTGGCTCTTGAGCATCTCAGCTGCAGTGTGCAGCTAAAACACATTGCAATTGTCTTACAACTATCGCTGGAGCTGTGCTGGAGTGACCACTGGAGGATGACCCACCTATACCACCATGGGAAACAGCCAGACTGTGGGTGCAGGAATGGACATGGATGAATCATCGGTATAAACTGCACCATGATGGAATTAGGGAACTATCATTTTTTTTTTAATTGTGAAGTACTTCAAGAGCTATTAACTCTTATATCTCTGAAGTATAAAGTACATGTTTAATGACTCTCACCCACATGAAGACTTTAATATGCAGCTCATTAATCTGGAAAACTAGTTGTCCTTCACTTGCTAAGATTAGCATATTTCAAGGGGTTCTCTGCCTTCTGGATAGTTTTTCCACATGTGCTCTAGTTCAGATCCCTCGCTGAGGGTGACAAACTGAGTAAATTGATTTCCATCAGACTCTACATTTTACAAAAGACCGCAGCTAAAGAAAGTTGGTGAACATCTTTACCAACACTATAGCCTGATGTAATTTTCTTCTGATGAGGTGGACTACTTCTGGTCAAAGAACAAGTTACCCAGCAGCATCTTCTCTGACTAAGAACACTAGCTGAGGATGCAAGGCAAAGATTAAAGAATCAGCAGAAAGATTAGAAAAATCAATGTTGTAGCTCAATAAAGTCTGAGATTTCAAGCGCCATTGGTCTTGAACAACAGACACTCACCTATCACAGATAATTTGGCTGATGCAATTGCTTCCCTCGAAGCAAAAGTCACCTCTCCAGAATGATGCGGTTGGGCATTTTTCAGAACAAGTTTGTATTTGTTTCCATCTGCTTGTACCTCCCAGTCCTCATCTGACTGGATCTCTACATCATTACTGTACCAGGCAACTTCAGTAACTGGCACAGCTTCACTTAGAACGCAACTAAATGTAGCTTTCTCCCCCAGAGGGACTTCTACATCTGTGAGAGGCTGCAAGATCTGTAGGCGCCATTCTGCAGATAAAAACAGGTGATCAAGCCCTCAGTTAGAGAAACAAATAAAAGCAAGAGATTTTGTGAATATTTATGCTGAAGCTCTGGACAGTCAGGCCTTGAAAACCAATGTATCATTTAAAGAGAGGTTATGTAGGTATGACTAGGACAGAAGGTATCACTGGGGACTGAAACTTCCCAAAATTTACAGGAGCAAAACCCAACCTAGCAATGTATTTCCTTCCCAAGCAGTAGAAAACCACAATGAAGATACTATGCTATGACTAAGGATGGCTGTTCTTGTACTCTGAAGGGATTCTAATCTCCACAGGGGTCTCCAGTAATGGCACAGAAGACAATCATGCAGAGATAATGTTGTTACTGATATAACTTTCACCTTTAAAGTCCTCAAGTACTTACAAACACAACCCAACTCAACAGAATAATGACAACTGTAAGGCAGTCCTTTGCTGCTAACTCATGACCAGCTGATGCTGCTTATATCTATGTCATAGCATTTGGAACAAGGGGAAAAAAAGGAAATTGTAAAACATCATCTATGTATTGTGTGGGAAGAAGATTTAGGTAAGAAGCAAGTAATAAATGCAGTTTTTCCTCTCTGCTACTCATCATGTTTTCCTGTTTCATTTGCTCTTTCCAACTGGAAATTAAGATTCCCTGTGCATGAACACTTCAGTTACCTTTCACTGTCAGGAAGGCTGAGGTCACTGCGTCGCTGCACATAAAAGTCACCCTGCAACTGTCCCGGGGAGTTAGGTTCTTCAGCAGCAGAAGATGCCTGAGCCCATTTTCAAAGTAAACCATTTCAGTGTTTTCTGTAGTTTTGGCAGGTTCATCATCAATCAACCAGTTGTAATTGTAGCACTCAGGCTTGGAAAGATAGCATTCAAACAGGGCTTCCCCTCCTTCCACAGTTTCCACATTCTCCAAGCCCTGGACAATGCTGTTCTTAGCTAGCAAAGAAGGACAATGAACGGTATTAATTGTTTGGCCATGCATATTTGAATTTAACAAGCCTTGGAGCACTGGATGACTCCCACTGCTGGAAAGCTGACAGAAAGGATGTAGATGTGATAACCTGTGCTTGTAGGTTTAATTACTGATTTCAAACACTCTCTAACACAGTACTGTATTTAAAGGCATCTTAATGATAAACCTTTAGAATGTCTAGTATTTAATCTAGGCTTCCACCTGAAACCTGACTTCTGTTTTTACAAGTGAAGAACAAAAGGGTGGTATTTATATGAATCAGGCCAATAGTCAATAGGAATGGATAGCTCAGGAAGATGAAGTATAATCAAACTTTCTGTCCCACAGTAGGAAACACTTCCCACATATGTGCCAGGGAGCACAATACTCATCATAACTGGGGATATTTCAATCCACTGACAGCTCATGATGAAATCTTTCTACCTTTCTTGCAAAGCAAGTATGAAAGAATATTACAGCTGGCTAAGCCATAGTGATGGTAATCTGCATTAACAAGTCTGCCTCTAGGAAACTCACAGGAAGCTAAAACCTGTATTAACAGTATTTTGCATGGTAGATTTCTGAATTATTACAAAGGCTCTGTGATAATGTATTAGGTTCATTTTCACATGCGTGTGTAGTGAATTGTGTGGTCAGAGACATGCATGTATCTCCATAACCATTTGCATGCATTGGTTGTCATTTCTATCAGACTGATACAAAATTAAATGTGGGCTGGTGCATGCCGATATCATTTATGTCAGACCAGCTACATGGACAAACACATGCACAACAGTGGGAACACACGCTTGAGTAAATACAGTTTACACAAATACCAATGCCATACAATGGTCAGCATGATCTATGATATAAACCAGTGCCCTGAGACATTCCTTTTTAGATTTCTGTAATTATTATGTGAAATTATTCTAATCAAAAAGGAAAGAAAAAAAAAACCTGAACAATTTATTTAATAGGAAAAAAAATCATTAATTATTTTTAAAAAATCTGTATTTTATAATAATAATAGTTATGGATAGCAATGAGGGGTTTGTAAATCCTTGAAGGAAGTATAAGCTTTTTAAAACAAATCTAAGCTGCTTATTTGTGCACTTTTTGAGTGCTGGTTTCCCTAATCACAAAAAGCAGCAAATTGTAAATCCTGCCTCCTCTGGGATGCTTTTAGATTACATTCATTAACATCTGTTAAAATTCCTAAAATGAAAAGTGCCTGTCAATGTAGAAAATATTATAATAAACAGTACTCTTCTCTTCTGTACTAACAACTCTGGTTAAGCAAGAAGAATGAATAATTGTCACAAATATTCAGAAATGAAATAAAAAATATTGCTTCATTGGTTACATTGACCCACCTGCTGAACAAAACTAATTATTCCATAAACAGCAGGGAAAGAAAAAACAATAAATATATAAAACCATTATCTTATTGTTAGTATTTTTATTTACTGTTTCTCAGGGCCCTCACAAATGTTGATGCCAAGTGAGAAGGAAGGTAATTCCTGAGTGATCAGTATTTGAAATGAGTAAAATATTAAGCTACTTTAGCTTAATTGAAAAGAAAATGAGTGTACACACTACCCATTACTGTGTGTAAAGGGCACTCTGGAACAGCAAAAAGTACTCTGATCATTCTTTTGGACCAACATTAATCTGTGATTTTGCAATAATTCAGCAGGACACATCCCATTGAACTGATGTTCCAGTTCATTGTAGAAGAGGCATAATGTGCAACTGCTGTAGTGAGTGTTAATTAGAGCTAAGCTTCAGTCAAATGCTGCAGTTTCATGTTCAGTTCCTATTGACTCCCAGCTTTCATCACTGTTACCAGTACTGGAGTGGACACCAAAGAGCAGGTGTCTTATGTGTCACTTATTGAGAGGTGCTGACATGATTTTTCCACCTCTTTTATTTGGAACCCATGATAGTCTTCCTCTTTGGCTGGAAGACCTCACCTTGAACATCAAGTGTAGCCATCACTTTAATGCCTTCAGCTTCACATGAATAGATGCCAGTGTCTTCTGGTACCGTAGGTTTAATTTTTAGCATGCTTACATTCCAGTCCTGATCGATAATCACTCGCTGCCCATCTGCATGTATTTCCTGATCATTTTTCTTCCATATGGCGTGTACTGGCCTAGAATATTGGCATATGAACTCTGCTGTGCCATCTTCATCAACAGTTATATCCTGCATGGGACTGACCACTTCAATGGTTGGATCTGTTAACCAACACGTCAGGAAGGACATGCATTAGTGGATCCTCATGGAAATTGCAACTTAATGGTTTTTGACAAGCACAGAGCCTGTGAGGAGCAAGCAGAATGACAGTGCAAGCAGGAAGCTGACTGGGCACACTGGGGATTAGCAGTTTAGTCTGTGCTTGTGTCAGCCTCAAGCAGGATTGAAGCAAAACTGGTACATTAGAATATAACAATCACACTGGAAAATGGGCCACCAACAACTAAGGCTTGTGCTTTAACAGTCCTGAATATGAACTTCTGTGCATAACATCAGCTGAGTTCCCTTATTTTTTCTCCCACCATTGCTGAAATCCTCTAGACGGGAAGCACTGTATGTGAAACACTTCTGCTTCCCAGAATGTGGCAGGAGCTCATGTGTGAGACAGAGGACTGCAATGAATGGGCTGCTGTGAATGGTTCCTGCAACTCTCAACCTCACATAGCAATAGGAAAATGCCACAAACTCTACTGGAGGCCCTGTGTAGGAGCAAACTACAACCACTCACTGGAAAGAAATGCAGTACTCAAATGCAAATACTCATTCCTGCCCTGTGCTGGCTATATATCAGGAGTCACTGGCAGCATGAAGAGCAAAGATCCAAGACAACTGTAACAAAAAAGAGCACTTCAGGAGACGGGTACTTATTGCTTTGGTTAACCATGTGTTCCTCTGCAGCAGAGACATAGTTTGGGGAAAAAGTAATACAATTTTATTTACAGCAGCTGAAAGTAGAGTTGTGGCATAAACCATTTCAATCCCAGAGAGCCTATAAAATGCCAAAAGCAGCAGGATATGCAGCTCCTCTGAAAAGGTGAGATCCATGAGGCTGCTTTTAAGCATGCAGTCTTTCTCTTAAAATACTAGTTCTGCTTCTTGGGAGGTAGCTGTAGGGCACAGCAGATATATCTAACCTCAAAATATTGTGAAAGCACCCAAGGAGTTCCTCCTGAGAAATCAAACTGAACCATCCACATACAACTACAATACATATGCTAAGAGAAAAATCTCAGGGAAATATGAAAACAGAATTCTCCTTGCAACATCCTTCTCAGGAACCTATGTCAACTTGGCCTCCAAATTGATAGGGCTATAATGGGTCATAAAAAGATGACAGAGAAACCTGATCTACATCCTTATCTTTCAAATAGTTGTTCTGATCATAAGCAGCTATAATAAACTATACCGGACCTCTGTCTGGAATGCTCCTCTTGAGACTGATGCATCAGGCTGAGGATTTGGGATGCTACTAGCAGACTTTGGGAAGCAAAGATGGTGTTGCAAATGTCTTTTGTAAACTTGCTGCAAGGTTTGATCCTGCTCCCTAATGCTTCCTCTGCCACTTTTCTGCCGTTTGTGTTCATGGAAATGAGGTATCAGTGGCAGATTGTGGGTATGTTTTGATTACACCAGGACTGAAGGAGCCAGGAGGTATCCGTGCAGCTGGGGAGTAAAATACCATCTCCTTTCATAAGATGCAGATGTGCTCCTCACAGCAAATGTCACCTGTGGTCTTGGAGAAGGAAGGTGTCCTGGTTCCATTGTCCCATTCTCTTTGCCACCACTAGACTAAGACCCAGGTGGTTCACTGATGCAGAATGGCAGAAAGCTCTTTGGGATTTGGAAGCCGGCATGTACACTGGAGCCTGCAATTCCCACACTGCCCAAAAGGGTCAGAAGGCAGCGGCAGCTCCTTCAACCTTTTCCATTTTCCCCACCCACACATGAAGATGCCATCATGCTGTGCTACTGAATGAATGCAGTTGTAAGGCGATGATATTGTGAAGGCCCAATAGGGAAAGCTGTCATGAGGTCTCACGATAGAATACATCCAGTTATAAGTATGCTTTACACCAGGAGAATGGGGCACATGAAGTAGAGAGAAAAACAGCTTGTTCCTTGATGAAGAAAAAGGCATGGATAGCTAGACAGACTGGAATATACCTAGGTCAGTCAAAGACAGATCTACTTTTAAACTTCAGGACAAAATAAAGTGCATTAAATTGGCTGTTAACACAAACACAAATTTTACTTTCCTATTAATTCAGGTGTTACTGAGCACAGTGTAACTGGGTTGTTATTTAAGTATCTTTCACATTCTTATCCATTTATAGTCACATACTACTGTGATTCATGTTTACATTAATGCAATCCTGCTTAAATAGAAGTACAAAATATCCACATACGAGTACTTGCATGAACTATGGGATTGGCCTAAATGACATTCAGAAGTCATTTCCAACATCAATAATGCTGTGATTCTGTGAAATGAAAACTTCTCAGGAGCCCTAACGATACCTAATGATGCATTTATTTTTAATTTATGTTTTAAGCCCAGTGGAGTTCTTTGCCTGGATAGCTCAGAACCAGGTTCTGTCTCTGAAAATGTGAAATTCGAAATTGATACAAATGGACATGGGATGTGTGGGGTTTGCACTCTATGTTGCTGCTGCTTCATTCTGTTATTAGGAAGAAGTGAATTTGGCATTTTATCTGACAGCTAAGTATAGAGGGCATATACAGAGAAGGAAACATCAACCACCAAGTACAATCCCATGCTGTGGATCATTCATATTATGGTAGACCAAATTATGGTCTACCATATTACGGTAGTCCAAAACCAGGACAGACAGTCATAGCATTGGTGTAGATTCCAATAAAGAACTCTTAACCCTTCATATCTCCATTATATATAAATCCATTTTCCAAGCTAGGAATAAGTATTACTTTTGTCTGAAAAATAAAACCTTTTCCTGATGGCTATAAAAGGACTGGATGTGAAGGAGCTTGCTTTGTCAAGTCTGGAGCTCAGTGTTATTTGCAGCTTGTGGCTACCCTTACCAAATGAGAAGAATATTTATCCAACAGACCAGAAAGCTTTACTAGTGCAATGATGACCATTACTATTCTGGCAGTCAGCAAACAAGGCTCATTTTATCAGTGTTACCACAATGTCCTATACTCTTTGTTTTCCAAGAAGAGCTCTGGAGCCATCAATATAACAGCCTTGTTTTAGGACCATGCTGAGCACAGCACCAGGAGCCTAGTCACGGAGCAGCACAGTGGTAATTTTGTGAACTTCCAGCTACATAATATTTGTGGTATTAGAGAAACAGTTGCAGGGGGAATAAAAGAAATCAGGTGTTATCACAGTGATTTATGTTCATCTCTACTTAGAAGTCAGGTGAAAGCAGCAGCCCTGATCCTGCAACCCTTCCTCGCCTGAACCACTATAAAAATCGATGTGGTTGTACCTCTAAGACTTCTGGCATAAGTATGGGTGACTTGCAGAAGCAGAGGGTTGCAGGACACAGAAGAACTATTAAGGGATTTGGTAAGGGTAGCCTGGAAGGCAGAAGCACTAGTGCACTGAGCAAGTCCAGAGGTGGCCATGTGTTTCTCTCTATGAAATACCTTTGACTAATAATTTAGCTGTAGATATAAGGGACCCAGCTCTGAAGGTGACAGTGCCGGAGTCATGGCACGCCACATCATTTAGGGTTAAAGTGTGGATTATCCCGTCCTGCTCAGAGATTTCAGTCACAAAGTTGTTGTGAAGGGGAGATCCATCGAGCCACCACTGCACGTTCTTCACGCCCGGGTGCGAGAGCTCACAGGTGAACGTGGCTGACTCACCCACAAAGACGTCTGTGTTCTTTAAACCAGAAACTATGACTGCTGCTTCTTCTGTATAACAGAGCAAGAGAAGGTGCCAAAGGAAAACAAAAACATAAACATAATGTTGCTTCCAGCAGACTAGCCCAAGCAACAGTGCAAGTTATCTGGAAGAATTAAACTTGTAATCCTGTTCCAGGGAAAAAAGGAGCTAAAACTTTCTTTAAAGGATTTAGAAACCACCTTCCATTCTTCACCTTCTTGCAAGCGCAGCGTGTGTGTCTGCAAACACTGTTTCATTGGGAGGAAAATCCACTCCATGATCATCTGCAACCATCTGCATTGACATTGTATGAGGTTGGAGGCAGAGAGGTAGCTCAAGATTTAAATATTTACTTGCAGTACTTTAAAAGAGTACTAAGAATATCAGTGATAGAAGCTGTAATCAGTAATAATAATAATTCCATGACTTTTTATGACCACTGCTCGAGCAAATAGTTTTTCAGCAGTACCACCATCTACTATGGTACATGGTACGGTCAGTACTTTGAACTATTTTAACTTGAGGTTGGTCCAACCTCAGCCTGGAGGTAAGAGTTTATATCATCACTGAAATCAGGAAAGGAAAGGACTGCCAACTCTTTGCATCTGAGACAAGTTTGGCCAGTTACTGTCAAAGATTTTGGAACAAGAAATCCAGACAGCAAAATCAGAACATTTCCACCACATTTCACCTTACCTTGCACATACACAGAAGCTGTAGTGATCTCGTATCCAGTGCTACAGGTATAATCCCCACAGTCATCAGGCTCTACACCATGGATGATCAGCTCAGCAATTCTGCCTTTCAGCTTCATCTCATACTTGTCACTGGGCTGAATGACCACCCCTCCTTTTCTCCACTCAACAGGGGCATCAGGCTTGGAGATCTCACAGCGTAAGACAGCTGTTCCCCCTTCTTCAGACTCTACGTTTTTCAGCTCTTCGTTAAACAGCACAGGTAGTACTGTAGTAGAGAAGCAGCTTCATTAGTAACACTGCTCAGAGGTGAGAAACTTGCTTACAACTTCTCCAGCTTCACAGTTCCCCTCTTTCTGAACCACAATTTGCCTGTTGGTAATGTCAAGCTCAGAGCAGGATTTTAAGCTGTGCCATAGCCAGACACTCATGGGATCAGCTGCTGATATTATAAGGGTGTCCACTGCTGCTCCATAAAGGATTGCCATAGGTCACAGGACCTCTAAGGAGGTTCACATGGGCAAACCCACAGTTTTCAGTGTGAGCAGGTAGGGGCACAACAGTAACAATCACAACATTTCCTACCTTTGACTTGCAATGATGCAGTGGTCTGCTGATCCCCTGAGTCGCATGTATAATCGCCAGCATCCTGAGCCTCAGCATCATAGATGATGAGCTCAACACGTGTCCCCTCTTGCCGGATCTCATACTTGTCACTTGACTGCAGCACCCTATCTCCTTTCCTCCACTCCACGGGTGCATTGGGTTTTGTCAGCTCACAGTGTAGCATGACTGTACCACCTTCTTCCACCTCCTCGTTTTTCAGCCAGCGTTTGAAAAGCACAGGCAGGGCTTGAAAGGAGAGATGGTGCAAAGAGAAAAAAAAAAACAAAACAGGTGAAGAAAAAACAGAGGAATGTTTTACTTTTAAGGTACTGATAATGCCATTCATTAAGTTCATGCACAATTCTGGTTGCATTTACCTAAGGAGATTGAGGCATCCCTGCTACTGTCAGCATTAAGCCAGAGAAAGGAGGAGGAGGGAGAAGAGTTAACCAGCATGAAATATTTCAGTTCTACAGGAGCTGCATTTCTTCCCCTGAAGTTTAGGCTTCTTTTCACAAAGAATTCCCAAATAACTTCAGTAATAATTTCTGAAGCCCAGATGGTTTTTCCTCCCCAAAATATAACAATGGAACAGGATGAAAGCACACAAAGAATACATAACTGCAAACTTAAGGCTTCAGATCATGAAGCTAGGGATGAATTCCGAAATAATTAAGGCTGACAGGGCCTTCAGTGGTCTTCCATGGATTCCTCCACCCCTGTGGATCCCAGTTCCACAGTCTGACCACCCCTTCATTGTGAAAGGTTGGGTTTTTTTCCCCAGTCTGGATTTCTCTTGAACTTGTTGCCTCTCATCTGTTTTCTGAGCAAGGAAAATCTGTCTCTCTCCTCTGTAGACCCCTATTAGGAAGCCATAAACAACAGCAACTAGGTCCCCCCTCAACCTTCTCTTCCCTGGACTGAACAAACCCAGATGCCCTGTCCTCTCCTTATATATCATGTGCAGCCCCCTGATAAACTTGGTGGCCTCTACTGCATTTGCTCCACTGCCTCAATGTCTGTTTTGTAGCACAGAGCTCCAAAAACAGACATACACATCTCTCACCACCGCTGAGCAAAGAGGAAAACATACCTTTAACCTCCAGCCTGGCAGTAGTCTTCCCATCAGCTGTGTGGCAGCTATACTCCCCTGAGTCTGCATGGTTCAAATCATGAATGACTAGTGTGTGCACATTCCCCTCCTGCTTGATGCTGCACTTCTGGCTGGAGCGGATCACTGATGTGCCTTTCTTCCACTCCACTGGGACATCAGGCTTGGACACTTCACAGGACAACTGAGCTGTGCCACCCTCCTGTAGCTCCAAGCTGTGGAGTGCCTTCACAAACGTGACTGCAGCAACTGTGGGGAAGAGGATACCAACACTGCTGCAACCGCTTAATCCAGCATTGTCCCCACATCAGAACTGGGTACCTATTTGTAAGAGCAAGTAGTGATAGGACAAGGTGGAATGGCTTTAAACTGAAAGAGGGTAGAGAGGGTAGGAAGAAATTCTTCACTATGAGGGTGGTGAGGCCCTGGCACAGGTTGCCCAGAGAAGCTGTGGCTGCCCCATCCCTGGCAGTGTTCAAGGCCAAGTTGGACAGGGCTTGGAACAACCTGCTCTAGTGGAAGGTGCCCCTGCTCGTGGCAAGGAGATTGGAACTTCATGGTCTTTAAGGTCCCTTCCAACCCAAACCATTCTGTGATTCTATAGTTACATTTTGAACCAGATTAAAAAGGAGAAAACAACATAAGATACTGACATGGCTCATCTTTCAAAACATTCTACATAACTTAATGGAAAGGTTTTTCAGAGTTTTCACATGGGTTTTGGAGTAAGTATGATCTAAACCCACAATAAGTAGGAGATTAATTCAGTGACATTCTTGACATTCTTTAGATTCTAACATATCTCAGCTGCTTGTTTCAGGATAACTTGGAAGGTCTTCCAAGGATGTTTGCTTTACTCCATGGACTATAAGAAGGACTGAAATGACTGTCTCAGATGAATATCTCTGACTGTTTAATGCCTAAATTAGGTTATCAGAATCTCCCAAAATATCCAAGACCTCTCCTCCCAAATGCACCTCTCCAGAAACTAAAGTTATGTTGACAGTGCTTATGAGTACCTGCTCAGCCCCTCTTCCTAGGAGGGTTCCTCACCTTGGACTGTTAGCTGTGCTGTTGAGGTATGCTGCCCCACTTTGAAACTGATGGGCCCACAGTCTTCTAGTGTCACCTTCCTCAGGATCAAAGTGTGACGTGTTCCTTGGACTCTGATCTCATTCATTTCATTGGACTGCAGGGGAACATCTCCCAGGAACCACTGGGCCTCTTGAGTTGTTTCCCGGGACAGCCTGCATTCAAACACTGCGTCTTCTCCTTCACGCGAAGTGACATCCTTCAGCATCTCCACTATGGTGGCTGCTGGTTCTTTATGGAAAGGTCAACAGAGTTTGATATCTACTTTCAAGTGATGCTTCTTAGGTTAAACATTTTGTTATGCTCTTTCTTGGCAGTACTATATTATTTGAAAGAAAACCACAAAGCACTAAGCACTAAATGCATAGAAATGGAAATGTACTTACACGGATATGTAGTAACATGTTACATTCTTACAGATGCATAATGCATGTGTGTGTATATATTACACACATATATATGATAGTCTATAGAATATGCATGTTCTACTGCATTGTGCGCATAATAAATATAAAATACATATTTATAATGCAACCTATGTATTGTGAAAAGAGTGTAAACAGATTTTAGTGGGTGACATTAACATTAAACCACAGAATCATTGAATAAAGACTCATTTCAGATCTCTAGAGATAACTGACCCAGTTCTTATCCCTTTGAAATCACTCTTGTGTCTGAGATCTACATGATTCAGTTTGGGCATAAGACAATGTCTGGCTGCCAGATTGCTTAATCATGTTCCCGATGACTGGGAAAAGGGAAATATAACCCCCATTTTCAAGAAGGGGAAAATGGATGACCCGGGGAATTACAGACCAGTCAGTCTCACCTCTGTGCCTGGCAAAATCTTGGAGCAGATTCTCCTGGAAGGCATGCTAAAGCACATGAAAATCAACAAGGTGTTTGGTGACAGCCAGCATGGCTTCACTAAGGGGAAATCCTGCCTGACCAATTTGGTGGCCTTCTATGATGGGGCTACAGAACTGATGGACAGGGGTAGAGCAGTTGACGTCATCTACCTGGACTTGTACAAAGCGTTCGACACTGTCCCACATGACATCCTTGTCTCTAAATTGGAGAGACATCAATTTGATGGATGGACCACTCGGTGGATAAAGAACTGGCTGGATGGCCTCACACAAAGAATTGTGGTCAATGGCTCAATGTCCAGCTGGAGACCAGTAAAGAGTGGTGACCCTCAGGGATCAATGTTGGGACTGGTCTTGTTCAACATCTTTGTCGCTGACATGGACGGTGGGATTGAGTGTGCCCTCAGAAAGCTTGCCAATGACACCAAGCTGTGTGGTTTGGTTGATACGCTGGAGGGAAGGAATGCCATCCAGAGGGACCTTGACACACTTGTGAGGTGGGCTGATGCCAACCTCATGAAGTTTAACCATGCCAAGTGCAAGGTCCTACACCTGGGTCGGAGCAATCCCAGGCACAGCTACAGGTTGGGCAGAGAAGAGATTCAGAGCAGCCCTGCGGAGGAGGACTTCGGGGTGGTGGTCGATAAGAAAATGAACATGAGCCGGCTTCAGTGTGTGCTTGCAGCCCAGAACGCCAACAGCATCCTGGGCTGCATCAAAAGGAGTGTGACCAGCAGGTCGAAGGAGGTGATCCTGCCCCTTTACTCTGCTCTTGTGAGACCTCACCTGGAGTATTGTGTGCAGTTCTGGTGTCCTCAACATAAAAAGGACATGGAACTGTTGGAACAAGTCCAGAGAAGGGCCACGAGGATGATCAGGGGACTGGAGCACCTCCCGTATGAAGATAGGCTGAGGAAGTTGGGGCTGTTCAGCTTGGAGAAGAGAAGGCTGCATGGAGACCTCATAGCAGCTTTCCAGTACCTGAAGGGAGCCTACAGGGATGCTGGGGAGGGACTCTTCATTAGGGACTGCAGTGCTAGGACAAGGGGTAACAGGTTAAAACTTAAACAGGGGAAGTTTAGATTGGATATAAGGAAGAAGCTCTTTCCTGTTAGGGTGGTGAGGCACTGGAATAGGTTGCCCAGGGAGGTTGTGAATGCTCCATCCCTGGCAGTGTTCAAGGCCAGGTTGGACAGAGCCTTGGGTGACATGGCGTAGTGTGGGGTATCCCTGCCCATGACGGGGGGGTTGGAACTAGATGATCTTAAGGTCCTTTCCAATCCTAACCATTCTATGATTCTATGTGCCCATGCCAGAGTATCAAACTGTTCAGCCCTTCCCCATGCAAAGCCCCACCTTTCACAAGTACAGATGCAGTAGTTTGCTGGTCCCCTGTGTCACACATGTATTCCCCAGAATCAGCTTCACTCAGGTTGTGAATTGTCAGCTCAGCCATAGATCCAGCTTGATGCATCTTGTATTTGTTGCTTGGTCGCAGCACTGTCCCGGCCTTCTTCCACTGCACAGTGATATTTGATTTTGAGATTTCACAGCTCAAAGTGATGGTGCCACCTGCTTCAGCTTGCTGGTTCTGGAGTGGTTGTGTGAAGGTTACTGGCAAAGCTATACCAAGATACATCGGAGGAAAAAAAAACATATGTTTCGTTGGTGGCTGTGTCACTAAGTCTTGTGTTTAATGAAACTGTGGTGCTATTACAAAGTAAGTCCAAACTCAACTCCAAAAGCCCAAACAAGTAATAACAAAAAGTGCTGGGTTTCCAGAAGCACTAAGCACTCTGCACTCCCCAGGAGTCACTGTACACCTCTCAGAATGTGTTTCTTCTTACACAAAAGCAGTCATGGATATGAACTCTTGAGCATCTAAGTACAGGTATCTCCGAATGTCCAAAGGTACAACTCAAAAGCCTATGCCTGATATTGAAGCTCTTGGGTATCTGGAAGGGTGCATGGGGAAACATATGATGACAGCTGGACCAAGAAGAGAGTTGGACTCTGGAAATCTCTGCACTGATGGGTATCACTGATGGTTAAGATGATAGGGTTTTGATGGGTTGACTTACAATGTGCCACATACAGAAGTTTAGTTCCTCTTGGGTTAGGACAGCACATAGAGACACAAACAGACAGCCACCACCAAAGAATCTGCTTACAGTACAACTGTTCTGGTATCATTGAATCCTGGAGTTAGTATGATAGTAGGCAGGTGCGTGCCCTTCATGGGAGAGCCCTTAAAGTATATTTGAAAAGATGGCAGTTCTCAAAAACATCCTGGCTGCTCTTTATATTTACTGATCTTATAGCTCAGAAAAAGTTGCCCGAGTATTGTATTGGTACCAGAGTAAATTTTAAATAATTGACAGATTGGCACATTAAACCTATTTTTAAGACCCTAAGGACTGGAATTATTTAGATCCCTTTCTCATCAGTTGGAGTTGAGTGCCCAAGTAAGCTTGAGCACTTTACTCTTGTGCACCATTTGCCCAGGTGGAACTTAAAGGTTGATTAAACATCAGAAATGGACTTATGCTAATTTCAGTTCCAGCCTTGGTTTTCTGAGTTACCAGAAAGAGGCCCTTGGGTCTAGGATTCTGGAAGCGGTTACTGCATTTGGATCTCTTCATGTTCATTGCTGAGGACACCACAGTACATAACTTCTCAAAGCAAAAGCACTTAGCTGCTTTATGCCACCAAAGTACACGTGAAATCAAGGACAGTAGATAGCACTCTCTTGCTAGTACTAAGCTACGGAAGTGGAACAAGTTTCTCATCTTAAAAAAACCCACAACAACCTACCTTTAACAGTTAAAGTGGCTGTTGTTTGTTCATTTCCATTATCACAGGTATATTTGCCAGAGTCTTCTGGGTTTAAGTGATAAATCTTTAAAGTATGGATTGTTCCTTCTTGTCTGATTTCATACTTGGAGCTCGGTGAAATCACCTGAGTGCCCTTCTTCCACACCACACCAGCGTTAGCCTGGGAGACCTCACAACAGAGGATGGCTGTTTCTTCTTCCTGCAGTTCTAAGCTCTGTAATTTCTCCTTAAAGACTGGAGGTGGCACTGAAATTACAGGCACAGCAAAGGTATTTACAGTCACCTTTATCTAGTGCTAAAGCTACAGTTTGTGTATTAACCCCTCTTTAATTTCTGTATTACATACTGTGGGGTTAAAACAAACTTCAAAGAGAGATGGAGAAGGATGCTTGACTAAGAATTTCTTCAAAACAGTGTTTAGAGAAAAGAAGTTTTTCTTCCAAAAAAAAAGGGGGGGGTGGAGAGGGAGCAATTAAAAATAGAGATCTATCCATCCAACTACTTGAGCGGATCTTTAGAAACCAGTTAGCTTTGAGACCTTGGTGACATATCCACTGTCTATCCATGGGGATGACAGTCTATGAGACCATATGAGTATATCATGCATACTCTGAAGCACAAGCACCCTACTCACATGAGTTAACAAGGGGTGAATAATGACCTTGAATTATATTAGCATAAGCAAAAATTCACCTTTTCTCATCAATCCTGTTCCTTTCCCACAACACAGAGGGTCTTACCTTTTACCATGAGCTCTGCTGTTGACATGTGGGGTCCCACTCGGAAAGTGACAGTGCCAATGTCCTGCTCAGTCACCTTCCTTAATGTTAGAGTGTGGATCTTTCCTTTTTCCACTGAGATCTCATTCATTTCATTATCTTGCAGAGCAACATCCTGTAGCTTCCATTCAACATCCCTTGCGTTCTCATGAGAAACTTGACACCGAAATGTTACATCATCCCCCTCGAACACCACCATGTCCTTTAGGCCACTCACGATGGTTACGTCAGGCTCTGTAAAGAGTCCATCAGTCAAGCCATGAAAGGGCAAACACAGATCAATTGACAGAATCATTTAATAATATAGGTTGGAATGGACTTCTGGAGGTCATTAGTCCTGCCACTGCTCAAAGCAGGACCAGCCTACAACAGGTTGCTCAGCACCTTATCCAGTTGAGCTCTACTTCCAAGGATGGAGATAGCTCAGCCTCTCAAATCATATTTCAAATTCTACTGGCTCACTACTTTCAGTGTAGCTGGTAACATGGCCAATATTCTTCAGTCAGTGCTTTTATCACTTGCCCTTTCTCAGAGATACATTGCATATTGATTTTTATTTTACTTTTAATTAGATGTTTCATACTGTAATTGGGTGATTAAAGCACAAATACCAGATGCCAAAATCAAGATTTTGAAATTTGTTACATTTGCATTTAGGTATCTTCAGAGAATAACATTAAAACCTGATCACCTCTACTGTCTTTTCAGAAACAAAATTGCATATACTCTGTGCTGATGCTCCAAACTGGCTGTCTCTGTGCTCTCAGCAGGTCTTACTGGATTAGCGTGAGCACATTTGCACTTCACTTAGTTTGAGTCCATCTTCCAGGACAGCTGGGCCCCTGCAGATCTGTGCAAAGATCATACAGAGTGCAACAGGCAGAAGCTGTGTGTACCCTGAGTCTGCTGGAGAACACCAGAGGAAAAACAGTGCAACATTCATCTGAGAAAACACAGTGCATATTCATGCAACTGAGGTCACCATCTGCATGAAAAATGGTGCAGCTGGGCATGATGTTTTTACAACATCGAGTAGCCTGTAGAGATGCTGGTGGTGGTTGTTCCACACTTGTGGTCCAAACTGAAAGCAAGCTCTGTCTGTAACAACACTAAGGCCAGATGCAGTTGCCATGTGACTGGAAGCTGGGAGTGAACCATCTGTTCCTTCACATGCATGTAATGTCAAACAAATATTTCAAGCGAGTCAAAAATTACAGTTGCGTTATCCACTCCTGTCCACAAAGCAAATTTTTGCTTTGGTCCATTCACTAATCATGTCTTTTTTTTGTGATACCCTTCCTATGTTCTGTGTTATTTACCACAATTGGTAACAATTATGTTGCAAAATCTTAGCATCCAACTGTGAAAACCCCCTTGCCCCAATAAACGGGTCTTGCCTTTCACAGTCAGTTTTGCAGAGCTTGTCTCATCTCCAGCCTTGCAAGAATACTCTCCAGCATCACCAGGCTCCAGGCGGTGAACACGCAGCTCACGGAGGGTGCCGTCCTGCCACATTTCATACTTGGAGCTTGAGTGAAGGAGGACTCCATCTTTCCTCCACTCCACTTCTGCTTTGCCAATAGAAATCTCACAGCGCAGCCTGGCCGTTCCTCCCACTTCCACTTCTTCGTTCTTCAGCTGCTGCTTCAGACGGGGTTTGATGGCTGCAAAGCAAAAATTAATACGTGATGCATTAGTTTGAATGCCAGGTCTGCACAACTCAGCATGAGGCACCTGGGGCCTGATGCTGCAGACCAAATTTTGTATTAAGTGGTTATATGGTAACAACCCTTTTTGCTCTATAAACAGATCTACATTCTGTATATGCGTACAAGGAGAAGAAACACCAAATATGTTTGTTTCCCACAAAGTCAAGGGCATCCACGTGACACCCTTTATGCATCTGCTCTGAATACTGGAAATGCCAACACGTATAAAGACCTAAGCAAAACCTGGTACTTTCTGATTAAAACTAGATAAAATCTATTAATTTTTATAGAAATGCTCAACACTGTAAAGATTTTAAAGCTTCAAACATATTTCTGATTTCTCTGCTATCTTTTCATGACCCTAGATGATCAACAGTGAGTCCTTCCAGATGACGCACAAATAAATGGACCACATTTATTCAAGCACTGCATGGAACAGCTCAGACAACAGCTTGTCACTAATGAAAACAAGAAGGGAATATTCATCACATATGCGTGCCAGCAGTTGTGAGAACAAGAATCTCAGTGCTTGTGGTTCCTCTGGCTAAATTCTATCATGATACATGTAAGGCAATCACAGGGCTCTCACTTGCAGTTGACCCAGTGGTTGCTGATGTAGTCTGAAAGGCTGTGGCTTAGACCATAGCCACAAGTTCCATCCAGCAGTTTGAGATGACCACAGACTTTTCACGGACAGTATTCCTGATTTGTGTAAACACAGTGTCCTCTGGATCTTCATGGGAAGACATTACAGAAATTGAAAACAGTAGATTTTTAACTGCTTTTGTAAATTACTTATGATTAGTTATTGATTCAACTGAGCCAGCAATGAATGCAAACTGCCAAAAATAAAGATCAATTAGAATTTCAAAATCCCCGTGACGCAGAGTTTTTGCTTTTGTCACATAAGAGGAAATGGCCAATACACTGTACACTGTGCTTTACAGGCTTGAATAGCCATTCTACAAATCCTGTCCCACAAGATCCACTGTTCTGTTTTATTCTGGTTTATGACTGGGCACCTGCTTTCCTCGTTATCTTAACTTTTGGAGAGGCTTAGTTACCAATAAAGAAAAGAATATAATTCACACAGTTTCACAAATCCCTTTTATCCTCTCTTTCATCTTGATGCAATGCTAACCATTCACTCTGAGGACCGCTGAGCTCTGCTGGTCTCCAGTATCACATGTGTAATCAGAGGCATCTTCTGGTTCTACATTATGAATCACAAGTTCAGCTTTGCGACCACTTAATTTAATGTCATATTTGGCACATGGGAAGAGCTCCATGGTGCCTTTCCTCCACTCCACTGTTGCATTATCCTTTGTCAGCTCACACTGGAATTTCACCACAGCTCCTTCTTCTGCCTCCTTGTCTTTCAGCTTCTTTTTGAAAAGAACTGGCAGAGCTGAAGGGGATAAAAAAAAAAAAAAAGAAGTAACAGGAGCTTTTATTGAAGCCTGAGTCAAGTCCTGGTTAACACAGTTAGAATGACACTCTGGAGAACAAAATACTGTGCTTCAAGTGCTATGTTCCTAGGCAGGATCCATGTTTTCTAATTTGCCTTGAGTCTTCAGGAGATCTTGCTGTGTTAGAGGCAGCCCTCTGAATTTACAACATTTATTTTCTTTGCTCCTTGGCTCACATAAACTTGCCAGGGTGGGATTTCTGAATTTATCCTTCAGTTGGCCTAACAATGCTCTCAAGACAAAGAAGTTCAAAATTTCATGAACAGCCTTGGTATATCAGGAATGTCGTTGTCAGTCTTCTTCCAGGATTTGGAAGAAAATCTTTTTTAAAACACTTAAACCATGTCATGTAATGTCCAGATGTTATGTTAAAGCATTGCGCTTTCTTTAATTTCTCCCCAGCCATAAAGCAAGAAACTATTTCTCCTTAGAAACCAAAACTCAAATCCAGTACTAGAAGGACAAAGTATCATTCTCTTCCATTCTCATACAACCTACCTTTCACATTTAAAGATGCCTTGGTTTCCTGATCCCCAGTATCACAGCTGTATTCTCCTGTATCTTCTAATTTGAGATTATGTATTAAGAGCTCTACCAGACATTCCCTCTGCCTCATTTCATATTTCTGGCTGGGCTGCAGCCCCACTCCTCCTTTCCTCCATTCCACTGCAGCACTGGGTTTTGACAGCTCACAGCAGAACGTAGCTGTGCTTCCTTCCTCTGATTCTTTATTTTGTAGGGGTTGCTTAAATGTGACAGGCAGTTCTGCAAAATTTGAGAGGGAAATGTTTTAAGAGTGATTTAGTCTGCAAAGGACCCAGTCCTACCATCATTCTTCAAAAATGGGCTATCCTAATGATTTCATAATCCTTGGGCTGCAACCTTCTGCCTTGGAAGCATCCTACTTGAACCATTATGTGAACAAGAGCTCAGGACAGATGGTGAAGTTAAGAAAGATCGGGTCTTAGAATGCTCCATAGAATGATCTGGTTTGCAGTCTGCAGGAATCAGGGTTTCCTAAAGAAGTGTCTCCATGCCAGCTACAGATGCTTTACTTAAAGATCACTGGGATATGCTCTCTCTTACACGGACCCTTACTCCTTAATAAAAGTCTGCAAGTTTGAAATACTAAGTGAGAGTATTTCCTCCCCTTCCACCCCCCCCCCCCCCAAGCTTCTATCAACATATAAAAGGTCAAGTTATCACGCAAAACAAAAGAAGAGGCAATATAGTAAAAGATGACAATAAAGTGATAAATGGGAGAGGAAATTCAGATTTCCAGCGAGGTCTTGCCCTTGCATGGTAGAAGGGGTGGAGGAAAACAGATGTGGATGCAACTGAATGCAGCCAGAGTTTATACCTGAGGCTCAAAACTTCAAGTAATAATACAGAACATTCACATATTATAGAAATCTTTTATCCACCAATTATTGCATCTCATATCATCCCAATCAGGCACTATGCCCAATTTGGGTACTGAAGCAATCAACAACCCCAAAATAACCATCAGCCTGCCTGGCTTATTTTGTTATTTATTTCATATGCAGCCACACTCCCTTCACTCAGAGGGCAGGGGGGTTCATCACATCTTGACATCATGATAACATTTAATTGCTTTGATGATGATTAATCACTCCAGATACTTCAAGAAGAACCTTTCTAACTTGGTCATGTGTCATGCTCAAGTAGAATATGTATTCTGGCATGGACCGGCAGCAAGGTCATAAATGGCTGTAGACAACACTAAGATGCTCCTTTCACTTCATCTTGTAGAGCCAAAGGTCAATACCCCACCTACCATGTACGGTTACCACGGCTGTTGTCTGCTGATGTCCAGAGTTGCAGGTGTACTTTCCTGAATCATCCAGTTCTAAGTCATGAATGACCAATTCAGCAGCAGAGCCCTGCTGCTTCATCTCATATTTCAAACCAGGGTAGAGAGTAATATCTCCTTTCCTCCACTCTACTGGAGTGTTGGGTTTGGTAAGCTCACACCTCAGTGATGCTGTACCACCTTCTTCTGCCTCAGTATTCTGAAGCTCTTGTTTAAAAAGTGCTGGTAGGGCTATAAAATAGAAACATATCTTACAATATACTGTAGATGGGGCTTGGGAAAGAAAACATAGAAGAACAAAGCACCAGAAGAGCTTTTTTTGCAAACATCTCTAAACCTCAATGCTCTAGATTCAAACCAAAAGGCTATTTCCCCAGAGAAGTAAATAAAAATATCTGCAGAACAAGAAGAAATCAATGTCAAGAAGTTATATTTGCCTTGAAGTATGTAGAAGCTTAATCAAATCTATGATCTAAAACTGGCAGAATATTTTTCTTACTATAGAAATAGCCAACATGTTTTCCTGATCACTGAAGAGGTATGCTGAAGATCAGCAGGGAGTTGTAAGAGTTCAGATTTCTTCTTAAGACAGACCACTTGCAAGAGAAATTACAATTGACCTGACCATAACATACTGACTAAACGCATTTAGTTCTGCGTTGCTATTCCCATTTTCCTCCTGGTCACTCTATTAGGCTGTACAGACTATGCTGTACTGCATGCCTTCTGAACTGCAGTGAGCTCTTCTCTGTAAGCGACACTAAACCACAGGTTTTACTTTTAATAATACAAACTTTTCCTATTGTTTTTTTCTTTTTTTACCATTGACTGTCAGAGTGGCAGTTGTCTGCTGATCTCCACACACACAAGTGTAAACTCCAGTGTCCTCCACATCCAGCTCATGGATAATCAGCTTTGCAACAGCACCATCTTGACTCATTTTATATTTCCTGCTTGCTTTGAGCACCTCCTGCCCTTTCTTCCACTCCACCACAGCAGGCTTAGTCAGCTCACAGAGCAGAGTAGCTGTCCCACTTTCTACAGCTTCTAAGTCCTTCAGTTCTTTCTTGAATTCTGGAGGCAGAGCTGAAGAGTAAAAGAGTTACTACAGAGAGAGTGAATATCCCTTGAAAAGCAACTAGGTGAGGTCCTGGCGGAGAGGATGCATGATACACTACTGAGCCCTGATCCAGGTCAGTGGAGCACATGGGGAAAATTTTCCACAGCTTCCCTGATCGCTGCATCAGGGCAAGGAAAGTGAGAAGAACCAGCACAGCTGAGGAGGACAAACACCAGCAGGCACCTCTCTTCCCTATTCTAACACAAGGAGGAAGCACACAAGCAAAGTCCAGAAGAACACAAAAGCCCAAGCAAACAGAAAGGGAACAGGACAGACCATAGCAATAGAGACTGGGGTAGGTCTAAGGTTTGGAGGACCTTAATCCCAAGGATTACTTTACCATGCACTGTTAAGGCAGCTGTGGTGCTCTTGTCTCCACACACACAGGTATAATCTCCAGTATCATTCAAGTCTAAATTGTGAACTACCAGCTCCACAACACAGCCTTCCTGTCTCATGCTGTACTTGGTGTCCGAAGTGAGGACGCAATGGCCCTTCTTCCACTGAACACGGGCAGATGTCTTGCTGACCTCACACTGCAAAGTGGCCATTCCACCTTCTACCGCTTCCTTGCTGGTCATTTCTTCTTGGAAAAAGGGAGGCACAGCTGAAGGATGCAGGTGAAAAGTATTACAAACTAAGGATATCTCCAGGGATGGGTGAGAGTAGGAAGTGACAGGGGAAAGTTGTGATGGTTATGGAAGGACAAGGATAAGCAACAAAGAGAGGCAAGAGAAATAACATCCTAGTGGGAATATACATATATAATATTAGGTGGTTTTATGCTGTCCTTCTATTAGCAAAATTGCACAGTCCTCAAGAGATTTACATCTGCTTTCTACCAGATGAAATTGTAACTAACACAGCTTTGCTCTGGATACTGCTTTTTATGCTATATTAAAGTGGTAAGCATTGAGAATGCCAGAAAGGAATGGCAAAGAATAAACAGATTTGTGGTATAGAACATAAATGCAAGAAAGGAAAGACAAAAGATTAGTGGGTTTAAATGATAGGAAAGGAATGACAGAAAGGAAAGATGAAAGGATAGCAGGTCCATGTTTAAGGAAAGAAAAGGCAAAAGGATGGCACAGAAAAATGCAGACTGGTATTTTCCAGTAAACACAACCTACGGGTCATTAAAGGAAGGGAATACCTTCAAATGAATGGGATTTCAGTTAATAAGGTTGAAAAACAGACATGGAAAACTGAACACCTTGTAGTAAAGGACAGATGTTTCCAGTTAGAAAGTAGGAGGGTCAAGATAGTTTTTACCCTGTACTGTTAAGACAGCCGTAGTCTGGTGCTCTCCACACACACAGGTGTAGTCTCCTGCATCCTCCTCAGCTAATTCATGAATCACCAGCTCTGCCTTTGTCCCTTCCTGCCTCATTTTGCATTTCTCACTTGCTTTGAGAACCCTCTGGTCCTTCCGCCACTCCACTGGAGCAGCCTTGGTGAGCTCACAACGCAGGGCAACTTTTCCACCTTCTTCTGCTTCCTTGTCCTTTAGCTCTTCCTTAAAGAGGGGTGGCAGAGCTGAAGGATGTAACATGGGCAAATGGTCACCAGAAAACCAAAATTAAAATCTTAATTTCTTTTTCATGCTTGGGATTATTTCCCCTCATGCCTCCTTTTTTCAAACTGTAATAGACGTGCATGGCTACAGCCAAGTTCTGGAACTCTGAAAGCATTCTTCTTCTAGTGTATTGTGGTTTCACTTGATATAAGACATCAGTTCCCTGGGTGTCTGTCATTTTTCATGGTGAAAAAAAAACAATACAGAAAGATCCAGATCTCAAGTAAACATCTCTCACGAATAACACTGCTGGATACAGTACTATTTTACCTATACAGGCATAATTTCTTGGAGGCTGGCATTGATATTTTCTGTTTTGTTTTCACTAGAAATTCATAACCCCACCTACATGAAAGCAGTTGGATTTCAAAATAAAAATGCTTTTAGTTCTAAATAGAAGTTTGAAGGGCCATTACATGCAATAAGAATTACAGATTCTTACTACTTCCCTATTTGGAAATCGCAACCCAAAGACAGAATAACCTACAGGAAACAACCTGCAGGAAAACAAATTATTAATATTTACCCACAAAACTGCCTTGTGCACAACTGCTGTAAGCAGGTACAGAATACAAATAGTACTCCCCAAATGCCTCAGAAAAAGTCCAGGCCTCAGGACAGCCCAGGGGATGGTCAGAAGATTTTGGGGAAAAAGCTGGATGAAACAGAACTGGATATCTGACCAAGTTCCTCAGAGCCAAGGACTGTTACTTCATTAAAAAGAATACTCATTAATTAAATGACAGCAGAACATGAGATAATGAGATCATTATCATAACTCAAGGATTTCTTTATGGGTTGGTTTATTGGTTTATGGAGTGGTTTATAGGATAAAGAACATTATAGCTCCTAATAATTTCTGTTGAATTTGTCCCTAACTATTAAGGTAGACCTGATCCCCACATAGAGGTGTAAACCCCTGCATCCTTCAAACCTAAGTAAGAAGCTCTGAAATGGTAACTCATATCTCATTCTGCATGTCTGACTCACTTAAAGAGTCTGGTACCCCCAAGAGCAACTATGTCCAGGTCACCCAGCAGCACAACATCTCCTCCTCCTGCTCCCTCAACCCTCACTTCTCCTTTGAGCAGTGCTTGGAGAGCAGAGGACCTGACCACCTATACATGCATGTTTGGGCAAAAACTGTGGTTGGATCAAATGAACCATGGGGATGAGGGAGGGAAAAGAGATGGGAAATATAAATGTCCAAGAAGAGCAGACCTGAACAGAAAGAAACATTCAATTTTCTCCTTTTCAAGGGTGACAGAGTAATAATGACCCAAAAATTCGTTCTGACCCATTTTTAATCTGTAAGAAATGAGCTATACACAGAATGAAGGAAAAGAAAGGGATAAAACCACAGACAAGTTACTGACCCAGGGCAGAAACAGATGAATTTCAGAGTAATGTCTATCTATAGAGCTATTTATCAATTTCAATAAGGTCTTTTTACCATGAACTGTTAAGGCTGCTGTTGTCTTCTGGTCACCACACACACAGGTATAATCTCCAGCATCTTCTACTTCTAGATCGTGAATGACCAGCTCTGCGGTGGTGCCAGATTGTCTCATTTGAAATTTGTCACTTGCTTTGAGCACTCTGGACCCTATTTTCCACTGCACTGGAGCTGCTTTGGTTAATTCACAATGCAGGGAGACTGATGTTCCTTCTTGGACTTCTTCATTCTTCAGCTCTTCCTTGAAAAGCACTGGCAGGGCTGGAGATGAAAAGTCAATAGAGAGTGCATTTAATCTAAGACCTCTTAATTTGTTATTCATGATCAACATCATGAAATATCAACAGAAGCTCAAATCTGGAGGAGTAAGGGTCTTTGGCCATTGAGGATGAGGTTACAACTATGATGATCTGGAAAACTAAATCCAGCAGTGACACAATAAGAGAAGGAAGTGTTGAGCTGACAGGTCAAAGTACAACAGGCTGGATGAGTTTGAGGCAACCTAAGTAATTTATCATAGGGTCACCCTCCATCAGAAGGCAGGACATCTCAGTTGGTCCAACAGGAGCATTTCCTAGCTTCTATTCCCTTAAACTTAAAACATAAGTTTGTCCGCATGGAGAAATGGTCATGTCCTCAGCTTCTTTTTCAGGAACACGAGACTAAAATTAAATGCCAGAATAAGCTGTTCTCCTTTCCTGAACACAAATTAATTCCTAGGAAAAAGCTGAAAGGTGAACACTTTGTACAGCAAAAGGACGCCTCAGAGAAACAAGAAATGAGCAGTCATCTGCAAGATGAATTTACCATTCACTGTCAGAGAAGCCATGGTGTGTTGGTCTCCACACACACAGGTGTAATCTCCTGCATCCTGCAGCTCCAGATCACAAATTTCCAACTCAGCAAGGACATTATCCTGCCGCATGATATATTTTTCACTTGCCCTGATTATTGTGTTTCCTTTCTTCCATTGGACATCTGCAGCCTTGGTCAGCTCACAGCTCAGAGTGACTGTTTGCCTTTCCATGGCTCGCAGGTCCTTCAGTTCCTCTTTGAAAAGTGCAGGCAGGGCTGAAGGTCACAAAACAGACACAGGACATTAAAAATGACACGTGGCACATGTATGAAGGGAAGGATGAGGTGGTATAGAGGCAGGCAGGCGACATTTTAGGGTGGAAAGAGTTTGCTTTTCTCATTATTACAGGATAATGGACAAAATAATAGACAGAAACAGAAAAGTGGCCTGGATGCAAGCAGACAAGCAGATCTTAGAGACAGCTTGGAAATTTAAACAAATTCAACCAAAAGTGAAAACACAATCAATAGTAATGAGCTGATAGAGAAACACACAATAACACAGATAAACGTGTATGTTTTTTACCATGCACTATCAAGGCAGCTGTAGTCTCCTGTTCTCCACACACACAAGTGTATTCTCCAGCATCTTTCATTTCTACATCATGGATAAGCAGCTTCATGACTGTGCCCTCCTGCCTCATTTTGTATTTGTCGCTGACTTTGAGCAAACTATTTCCCTTTCTCCATTCCACTTGAGCAACCTTGGTCAGCTTGCAGCGCAGAGTGGCTGCTTGACCTTCTGTTACCTCCTCATCCTTCAGGCTCTCCTTGATGCGTGCAGGCAACGCTGAGGATGTAATGGACACAGGGTTAAAACAGAGCAGCAAACACAGCCTGCTGGTGAAGGGTAGGGGTGGAGGAAGGAAAGGCAAGGCCATCAGTGGGGAGCTGTCTCCAGGACTGGTCTCACATCTACTTTAAGGAGCAAGTGCTAAAACCACTTTGTATATGGAATTGGGGTGTGAGTTTTTCCCTTTTATCACAAAAAGCAAATTAATTCTCATGACTATGACATGCAAAGTCAGACTCAGAGGAACTATGCAGAGATAACAATGAGCATGAAGAAAAGCTGAATTCATACCATAAATTCGATAATGAGGACATCTAGATGAAATTGGTTATTACCATGTACTGCTAAGGAAGCTGTGGACTGCACGTCTCCACACACGCAGGTATAATCACCAGCATCACTCTCATTTAGATTATGGATCACCAGTTCTGCAGTGACATCCTTCTGCCTCATTTTGTATTTCTCGCTAGGTTTGAGTACTGTGTCCCCCTTTTTCCACTCCACTGAAGCAGTCTTGGTCAGCTCACAGCGCAAAGTGACTATTTTACCCTCCATGGCTTCCTCATTTCTTAACTCTTCTTTGAAGAGAGCAGGAAGGGCTGGGAAACAGAGGAGGAAATGTTTTCATGACAAACAGTTCTTGGCCACCAAAAAAAATGAACTTGATATTTACCATTATCTATCCATGCCTAGTTATTGATATGAGGATCATCTCACAGAAGAAGGAAACTAATGTGCATCATACAGTGGCCATTTTTTGCTGATTGATTTAGAGATGTATGGAGAATAAAGAGTGGGGGGGGGGGGGGGGATTCACATACAGGCAAAAATGTAACTTTCTCTGTAAAATTAAGCCTGGGAAATTGATATAGCAGGTTACACCATGATCAGGAAAAATAGCTAAAGGAAAAACTAAAAAGGTTTTACCTCACATATTAAGGATATCTATAGACAGCCTGAGAGTTAGAATGAGGCTGAAGAGCAGAATCAGAGAGACCTCTTGAAAGTGTTTTGATAATAATAGAATGAAAAAAGAAGGAGGATGCCTCCATTGTGGAAATCTGATATAAGACCCTCACCTAACACCCTATCCCTTTTGGAACAACTAATAGTATCATTCAAATCATAAACTGAAACCAGAACAGACTGGATAGCACCATGGAGCAGTAGGATGGGACAAAACCTCCTGTCTTTGTAATGGGGTGGGAACCACTTTTGGATATAGAATAGATATGAAAAAACATGAGGATCTCCAGGTCCTGACTCTGACCAGCAAGAAATAAATGTATTAGAATATGGATGAGGAGCATAATTGGGAGACACTGATTATGAAGCAGGAGCTCTTGGATTTTAAGACAAGTAGTGATGGAGAAGAGCAAAAGGGAATTCTGTGGGCAGCAAGAAAGTAAGCTTCAGTAATTCAAGAATTGTTACTTAACATCAAGCAGATGCAAACTTAAAGGACAAGGTAGTTTAAGAGAGTGGAAAAATTCTCAAAGAAAGGTCATAATTATAGAGACTACCTCACTCCAAGGACCATCAGGAATAGTCTGACTAAATCACAAATATTTTAATGTCCTGAAGCTCAAAATACCTATAAAATACAGGGGGTTGATGTGAGTAGGGAGAAAAAAACAACTGCAGAATGTAGAGGGAAAACCAGAAAGGAGGGGTTCTCTGCATATCTCAGGAAGGTCAAGGGCAGTTCTGCATTCCTGGACTCTGTCATCTCATGGACAAAGAAATCAACATGAAAGAGGGGCTGAAAGGTAATTGCAAAATTATGCCAATATCAAATGTCTCCAGAGAGAGATGTGTGCTGTATGTAGCTGTGTCCAGCAACTGGGTGGCAAGATCACTACTCCAGGAGTTTTCTGTGTCCTCAACTCACAGTTCAACTTGTGGCTCTTGGCTTTATCAAAATATTAGCATACAAATTCTAGGAAATCTGGCCAGCCTGAACTAGAAAGAAACAGAAATAATACTACAACATTAGGTAAGTAGATTAGAAGGAAGAAAAACAACAAGGGAGTATTTGGTTTAGCTCTTTTTCAGGAAAGTAAATTGATGGTGGGTGACACAGGGAAAGTTGAAGTGTTTACTTTGATTTTCTTCTTTAATATAAAAGATAATGATAGCTAAGAAGGTAAAAGGAATTCTGTCTAGGAAAATCAAAAAAGGGTTAGAGAACATTTAAATAAACCAAATATTCTCAAAGCACCCTGGTATGATGAAATTTATCCTGGAATACTTAACCTACAAGCTCAACCAATATCAGACATTACACTGGAGGAATCAAAGAGAATGGGTGATGCTTCACAAGTACAGAAAAAATAGCAACTCAGTGGTAAAAAAGGAATTACAGATTGAAATAGACACATTTAGTTCTTAACATGTAAACCAAGAGTCTGAGCTGCCAGACAATCAAGAAAGATCCAGGCAAAGTCAGCAGAGCCAATAGAACTATCTGCTGACCAAATGTAAAGGTCTGCTATAAGGGGAACTGGATGCCTCCCTGAGTTCCATCAGCTGTGTTGACTAGATCTCCATTGACAAAAATGCAAATTTAGGAGTACTTACCAGTCCTGATTTACAAGCTGAATCCCATTCACAGTGCTTGTCTTGGAAAAAGACTGAAGAAGGGGGTGGCAGAGGGAGGATCCAAGAAATTATGGCTATTATTTCAGCTTACCTTTAATTCTTTGAAAAACATTGTAGCAATATACATGGACTTGACAAAAACTTTTCTCTTAGTGAAGGAGTGGACCAGTGTAATTTTTCTTGGCATAGATTAATAACCTCCACTGATAGAAAGACACAGTATATGCTGTACACTTTTATTTTAGTAAAGCTCTTACTTGAACTTAGGTATAGGTGGAATTGCAGTAGGGAGCACTATTAATTTGAAAAACACAGTCAAATAATATTCAACTGTGATTTAAACTCACAATGAAAGAACAAGCTGAGCAGACTTCCTCAGTGCTCTGGAGTCCACTGTTATTCAGCATTCTCTTTAGTGATTTAGACAATGAAATACAGAGCTGTCATTAACTTTGGAGATGATCTTAAGGTGGGAAGGGAGAGAAGGTGAAAGCACTTTGTTAAACTGAGTTAGGATAATAAGATCTTGATGAAGCAGCAATGAAAATAAAAAGCCTGCAATTTAGCAAGAGCAGGTGCAAAATACCCTATTTAGGAACAGTAAACACAAATACAAGGTGGAGAACAAAAGTTGGCAGCAGATCTGCAGAGAGGGATTTGGGGTTACAAGAGATCATGGAGCAAATGCAAGTCAAAAAAATGCAACTCTGATTTGAACAAAGCCATCATCATAAGAGGGATGTATAAAATCAAGTGTCACATGCAAGACACATGAAGTCCTTCCACCCTACTCCACTCTGGCAAAGCCCTGGATGGAGCACTGTAGCCTGCTTTTGGTCACCACATTTCTACAAGGATGTGGATTAAAAGAAGATTGTCCAGAAAGCAACAAAGATGATCTGAAGTCTAGCAAACATGACCTATAAAGAAAGAGTAAAAGGATGGAAGGGGCTTAGTCCAGAAAAGAGAAGACAGATGGGAGACATGATGAAAGTTTTCAAATCTGTAAAATAGTTTCACAAAGAGGAAAAAAAGCAAGTATTTTGTCCATTTCTACTGGGGGACAAGAACTAATGAGCTTAAGAAAGACTTTTATTGAAATAAGGAAGAACTTTCTGCCAGTAATGATAGCCAGGCAGTGGAATGTGTGTCCAGGGGAACTGCAAATTATTCACCACTGTAGGTTTTGAAGTGCAGGCTAGATAGCGATGAATGTGACTTGGGGTTCAGGGATGGACTAGATGACCTGTAGAGGTCCTTTCCAACTTTTTCTTTCTATGCTTAAATTGGAAGTTCAAGACTGAAGCCACCCTTGTTTATTGGTAAATATGAACATAAAAATGTCTGGGCATCTTGCAGTAAAGCAAAGCAATTTTAAAGTGGGAAGGAAAGAATGGACAGTAGATGACCCATCCCTGGCAGTGTTCAAGGCCAGGTTGGATGGGGCTTGGAGCAACCTGGTCTAGTGGAAAGAGTCCCTGCCTGCGGCAAGGGGGTTGGAACTGGATGAGCTTTAAGATCCCTTCCAATCCAAACGATTCTGTGATTCTATGAAATCAATTTATTAACCTACTGAATTTCCAGATGAGAAAGATAGCTAAAACTACTTCTTATTGTCCTGTGTTAATAGTGGAAATAAAGTTTCTTTCTTTCAAAGAAAGTTTGCAGATGAATTTGACCGGGTACTGTGAAGTACTCTTTCACTATAACACTAAGTATTATGCAATACCAGAATACATGTCTACATCATCCTTGGTCAGAGTTATATAAAAAAGTTGCATTGAGTCAAGTTTTGTTTGCATTATTTAAAAGTATCTGTCAAGTTCTGCTGTAACTTGAAATCTAAGATTGCTCTTTTTAAGAAGTTCGAGTGTTCCTGCTGCTCCATCTCTCTGGCTCAAGTCTAAGTAAAACAGAAAAAAAACACAAGCACGTGGCATCCTTTAGCCTTCAGTGTGGTGCAAAGTAGTATAGCCATACACCAACAAGAGCAAGGAAAACAGGGAAAATGTTAGTATAATCAATGGAACTACAATTCTTATCAGAACCAGATTAAAAAATCACAATAAACCCAAGAAAATCTGTTACTAACAGAATTAGTGATGGCAAGATTAGAGAAAGAATTCATTGTGTGTCAGTATTGAGGCTTCCAGAGGAGAAAAGAGAAATATCACACAAAAATTGTTCATTTCTGTTCTTTACCATGCACTGTCAGTGCTGCAGTAGTCTTCTCATCTCCACACACACAAGTATACTCCCCAGCATCCTTGACTTCTAAAGTATGGATCAGCAGCTGTGCTGTAGTACCTTCCTGTCTCATAGTATATTTTTCACTAGATTTGAGCACTTTGTGTTTCTTTTTCCACTCCACAGAGGCAGTCCTAGATAGCTCACATTGTAGAGTGGCTGTTCCACCTTCTGTGGCTTCTTCATCTTTCATCTCTGTCTTGAAGTGTGCAGGCAAGGCTGAGGAGTTCAAAATGAGCAGAATGTATGACAGTGACAGCTATTCAAGTAATGATTTATCTGTGGTCTATCAACTGCTATCAATCATATGTGATGAGCAAAGCCTTCCCTAATCAAGATTGAGTGATAACCACTCTAAGAACCATAAACCAGTGACCTTGGAAAGCTGGAAACCACCTTATCCATAAGCCAGAGCTTTTTTTTTAATGGTATGGTCTATGGCATGAAATGGAGAATCAAACCAGTCTCAACTTCTTCAGACTCTATAAGACTGAGCCCTACCTTACTTTGAGTAATGCTTACCATAATGGAAAATAAAGCACCTAAGTTCTACCACAGTGCAAATCATTACCGAAAGCTCATAAATGAAACTATATGTGAGGCACCAATCTCATTTTCCATGAGATTTCTCCTCAGATAGTGTTCTAGCAGAACTTGACCATCTAATTATTCTGAAACCCTAAAACCATATCAAAAATATCTCATCACCAAATGGTAATATTCTCAACTTTAGGATTGTAGTACCTTTACAACCAACATCATAACAATATGATTTTCCTTTCTTAGCAACTACTACTGAACATGAGAATCAAAGAAATGAGTTAGTACCCAGATGAATATCTGACATTTTTGCAATGAACACTTGTTCTATGTCTGATACTGACCAGTGCATACAGGCATTCATGCTCATATCCAGACACATGTTACTAAATTCATCAGAAATGGGGCTGCAATTTCAAAGCTGATACTACTATATTCTTAAAAACCCAGCTGGTTGAAAATTATCCACTTATTTTTTTTATATATATATATATATTTATTTTTTTTTTTACCATTCACTTTTAGCATGGCGGTGGTTTTCTGATCTCCATAACAGCATGTGTAATCTCCAGCATCTGTCAGATCTAAATCACAGATCACCAGCTCAGCAACTGTGCCCTCGCATTTCATGGTGAACTTCTCATTCGTCTCCAGGGCTCTGCCTCCTTTCCTCCATTCCACAGCAGCTACGGGCTTGCTCAGTTCACAGCAGAAAGTGGCTGTGCCATTTTCTGTGGCTTCCATGTTCTTCAACTCTTTTTTAAAATGTGGAGGAAGGGCTGAAGATCACAGGTGAAGAGAGAGCACTTTAAAATCGACTAAATACTGTATCTTGACTGCTCCACTGGATTAAAAGCCTTTAATCTCTTAACAGTTTTACACTATACAGTATCTGAGAGGCAAGCAATGATTTCAGGGGCATCCTTGCCTTATGCTTTGCAACACACCACATTCAGTATGTCACAACTGAAAACCAAAAATTTCAGTACCAGAAGGTATGCTTTAAAGTCATTTTAAGATATAACAACAGAAAGCTGATCCCAGGCTTTCAAGGAACTATGCACAGCTCTGTCTTAAGACCATATTAACAATAAAAATGAACACTACGTTGTGTCCAATTACAAGCTGCAATGCATCGTGCTCACCTGCCTATCTCATTTGTTATCGTAACAGAGCACCTTTCAATTCCATCCAAGAGAAAAGTTGAATCTCAGTGATATGACCTAAGTAAATTAATTAACGGAAATACTACAAGTGCTATTTACGACTACATCAAGTTCTTCATTATCTGCTTCCAGATTCCATTTACAGGAAAGAGAATGGACAGAAAAGACTACATGATGCTATTTACCTGTCCTAAGTGAATGACTTTCAGTAAAAGATATTCCCAATGATTGATAGAGCTTTCATAAAAATTTAAAGTAATAAATGAGATTAAGAGCAGTTTGTGATCCTGCATGAGACCACAGATGACAAAGAAAATTCCTACTAAATTCATGTATTTTACCATGCACTGTCAGGGAGGCAGTAGTCATCTTGTCTCCGCACACACATGTGTAATCTCCCGCATCTTGTTCCTCCAGGCTATGGATTGTCAGCTCAGCAATGGTATCCTTCAGTCTCATTTTGTACTTCTCACTAGGCTTGAGGACCTTTAGCCCTTTCCTCCACTCCACTGGAGTGGATTTAGTTAGCTCACACTGTAGAACAGCTGTCTTGTTTTCTGTGGCTTCTATATTGACAAGTTCTTTTTTGAACAGTGCAGGCAAAGCTATGGGATGCAATATAAACAGAAAGGATGTCAAAACCATTAACCAGACCTTGAGGAACTTAGCATTAGGTCCTGCACCCAGTCCTTCGCTACTAAAGGAAAACAAATCATATAGTCTTGAAAATTGCATCTGTTAGAAAACTATTGCAGGATCTCATAGAAATAACTGCCACCATGACCTGCTTCTAATGTTGACTTATGCAGCATGCTCATTAATTCCCAGCTGGTTCCAGTAGTCCTCTCTACCTATTTTAGCCTGAAATCATCTGTCTTCAACATTAATGGCTTGACTTTTGATTGAAAGTTGTTGCCCCAGTTAACAGCACCGCCAGCGCAAGATCTCTACCTGGAGATCTCTTCCTTTCCTGACATCATGTTTTATGTTCCTGGGTCAGAGAAAAAATTAATAATATAGCTTCAGGTGAACTTTTAAGCCACAGTTTCCAATGACATAACTGCTCTAATATCAGGAACACAGGACAGTTATTTTTTAGCAGCAGCATTAACCAAGTTGTCTTGTGGTGTGCCACTAAAGCAAAAAGGGAGCAACTTGCACAGGGAAGAAAGTGCCAGCTCAAAGGAGGGGAGGAACAGCTGGAAGAAAGAACCTCCAGCTGGGAGAAAGAAGAAGCAAAAACATGCAGAAAATCTGTGCATTTTGCCTCCACAGTGTTTTCCCTGTTCTTCGAAGCACCTTATCTTTAAGATGTATCTCAAATCAAAACTACCCTTTCATCTACTGGAACTGATTCTTCTGGAGGGGTAACTAACGCTCATCGCTACTCACAGAGATTGGAACAAAATCTGTTTCACTACTCCCTAAATCAGGACCTTAGGAATAATGATTTGGGGTGTTGTTTGGATTTTTGGTGGTTTTCTTAAGTACCATTTCCTTGACAGAATATATCACAGTCCTGCAGAAGACAATAGTCATTCATTCCTGAATGGAAAATCCTCTCACTAAGTGAGCTCTGCATTTTTAAATAACTTTCCTTCAAGTCAAGGACCAAAAGCCACTGATGCTAGTGAGACATAAGGACAAACCCTCTGAGCATAATCTTGCTGCTGGAAGTATTCTCACTCTTGGCCTTAGATACAGGTGCCTTTTTCACTCTTAAAAAGTGAACACTAAGATAAGAAATTCTCACAACTCTTCTTTACTTTGCTTATAAAGCCATCAATTTCAAATTAATAGACAGATGGGATGAAACTAACAGAAGTGGGATGGAACACAAACAGAAATCCAAGAAAATCCTGCAGAATCAAAACAAGTGGAAAAGAAACTTCTCGGAGAAAAGGGATCTCCTTGAGATACTGCTATCATAATCGAGAATGGCTTTTTTACCATGGACTGTCAAGACAGCTGAGGTCTTCTGATCTCCGCACACACAGGTATATTCTCCTGTATCTTCTACCTCCAGATCTCGGATCAACAGCTCTGCAGCAGTATCTTCTTGTCTCATCCTATACTTATCACTTGGTTTGAGTGTTTTGTCCCCTTTTTTCCACTCCACTGGAACACCGACCTTGCTCAGCTCACAGTGCAGAGTGGCTGTTGCACCATCTGTGGCTTCTCTGTTCTTCAATCCTTCTTTGAAAAATGCAGGCAAAGCTGAAGGACAGCAATATGAGCAGTGAGATGTAATGCTCCAAAAAGATAAAATTAAACATCGATGCCTAATTTTCCATGTCCATCTTTTCTTGAACTGATTTACCAGTACAAGAACATAGACACGCAGTAGTCTCAATGAATTAGTATGAGCAAAGAAATGTCATAAACAGGAAAGCATTCAATGCTTGCAGTAATCTGTAGAGGTGTTTTACATGTACTCAGAGGAAAATCAATACAAACAGAAGTAGAAAACCCAATTTCTTTTCCTATGAAATTTCAAGCAAAAAGAACAAATACTAATTTGAAATTTCTGGGGGAAAAAAAAAAAGGTTTTCTTACATGACTTTTTAAACCAGAATGGGAGGGCATTTGCTATGTTTTCACATGCTTAAGCAAACAGAAATACATTGTACATTAAAAAAATGAAACACTAGAGTTTCATTCTAAATGCCAGTTTGAAATGAAATTGTTCATTTCAATACAAACAAGGATTTTCACCTGAGCTGACATATACTTTCAAACATGTCAGTCGCAGTAAAAATCAAAGATCTCCCTAAGAATAGTCACCCCTTAGAACATTTGGGCTTCCTTTACACAGGACAACAACTGAATGCAATGACAACTGGGCCATAGGTATAAAAGCACCTTGTGGTCCCAGGAATGGAGTACAGGAATAAGATTCCAGGGAATAACCTACCTTTCAGAATTTTACTAAACTTTAAAATCCCTAAGTCATAATCCCTTTGAGGCAACCCATTTTAATGGGCTTGAGAATAATGGGAAGTCTAATAAAGGAACTTCCAAGGCAAAATCAAAATGATGGATCCTAATAAAAACAGTAGCAGCAATCCTAGTTGCCTATACTCTGAGCTTTGTACAGATACCTCTCTTGTGCTACGCACCCCAGCTGCACTGACACCAATGTGAGCACTTTATTGGTGTCAGTAAGCTGTGGATAAGGGTCTGATAGAAGGAAGGAGATGGTAGTGTAACCAGGTATCTCTCCAAATGAACAGAGATAACAGGATAGTTAATTTCAGGATGTGTCTTATTTTGTTTGTTTTACCATATACTGTTAAAACTGCCATTGTCTGCTGGTCTCCGCACACACAGGAATAATTTCCAGCATCCGTTGCATCTAGATTTTGAATTATAAGCTCAGCAACACCACCTTCACGTTTCATTTTGTATTTGTCACTTGATTTGAGGGTCTTGAGTCCCTTCCTCCACTCCACATTAGCAGCAGCCTTGTTCAGCTCACAGTGCAGAGTGGCAGTTTTACCTTCTGTGGCTTCTTCATCAGTCAGTTCTTTGGTGAAAAGAGCAGGCAGGACTGCAGAGTAAATGTAATACAGACATGGCATCAAAGCTGAGAAAGCCTGACCTACAGTCTACTCACTCTCATCTCCTTGAAGCTGCATGTCACTGAAGCCACAAGACCTTCATACACCAGAATTTTGTTCAAATGTCTAACATTTCAAATGAGATCTCACACTGATTTTTGATTTTTGGTCTTCTCAGTTTAAAACTTGCTTTAAAAGCAAGTCTGTCTATCTCCAAACTTAGTTGATGTGCCATCTACCCTGTACTTTATACCCCATAAAATCAAAGGGGAAAAATTAGAGGCTGCATTTCAACATGAGACACAGAGCTTTCCCTTGTTTCCCTTGAGAAAAGAAGCAGTTCTACAGAAGTGCCTGATTCATGGCACTGTCTGTATTTTTTTGTAAATAGAGCTCCTTGAAAAAGAGCAGTAACTAATGTGCTGTCAGCTTTCTACAGAGATAAAGTATATGGTTCAGAACAGGAAGGCCAAAATTGGTTTAAAAGGGCTAGGAACAGCAAGAGCATAAAAGGCTAAAATAGTCCTTGTGTATCACCTTACATTGACAAAACTTCTAACTCTTAGGAGCTACAAGTGTAACAGTGTAAGTTACAAAAAGTAAATTTAATTCCCACTTTTGGACCAATCCCCATGGGAAAACTTTCCGACAAGTAGCTACACAGGACTAGAGAGATTGTGTTGAGTTAGCGACCTGTACTCTGCTTATCATTTGAATATAGCACCTAGGAAGACAAATAGCACATCAAGAGGGCACCGTGTGAAAGGAGAGAAAAAGAAGGAAAACAGGATAGAAAAATTAATTAGCAGGATGAAGGATAGAAAGTGTACAGGGACCAGATGAAGCAGGAGAGAAAGAGGAAGGGAGGAAAGAGAACTATACAGGTTTACTTGGAGCATGGGTGAAGAATTTCTTTTTACCATTAACTGCCAAAGCAGCTGTAGTCTGTTGATCTCCGCACACACAGCTGTAATCACCAGCATCTGCCAAATCCAAATCCCGGATCATCAGCTCCACAAAGGGACCATCCTGCTCTATTTTGTATTTTTCACTTGGTTTGAGGACCATATTCCCCTTTCTCCACTCAACCACGGCTGATTTGCTCAGTTTACAGTGCAAAGTGACTGTCTCCCCCTCTGTAGCTTCCTTGTTCAATATTTCTTCTTGGAAGAGGATAGGCAAGGCTGAAGGGTGCAATACCAACAGAGAAGGAATCAGCACTATAGTGAAATGAACTGGATTTTGCTGTGAGTTACTGAGCTGTATTATACACATTTAACAAAAAATGCACTACTGCTAGGTGGACACAGTTGAAAGGGGTTAAAACCTCATAGAGTAGAGAGAAATAAATTAGAGAAAACAATATACAATATAGCTGTGCTGTCTCAAAGCAAAAAAAAAAAAGTGCAAAGGAATGTTCTCTAATAGAGTAGCTCTTTCACACCACACAGCCGAGAGCATGAAACCTCTAAGAAATCACGCTAACCAAGTTTTGGATGACCAACAAATACTGCCAAATATGCTAAGTTTGAGGCTTAATGAGAAACATGGGTAGAATGGTTACCATTTACTCTCAAAGCAGCTGTTGTCTTCTGGTCTCCACACACGCAGGTATAGCTCCCAGCATCTGTCAAGTCTAGGTCTTGGATAACCAGCTCAACGAAACGCCCTTCCCGTCTCATTTTGTATTTGCTATCTGGCATCAGCACCTTCCCGTCTTTCCTCCACTCTACCGAGCCCGCTGCCTGGCTCAGCTCGCACTGCAGTGTGGCCGTCCCGCTCTCAGTGGCTTCCTCATTCTTCAGCTCTTTCTTGAAACGGACTGGCAGGGCTGAGAGATGCAGAATGAAAAGGGGTTGCAACCCCAGGCCCTGCTGAGATCTCTGGTCAGAGGCTGAATCATGATTTACAGTACGACTACCTAAGCCTTATTCCAACACCCTTATCCTTAATCACATCCTGCCTTTCTTTTCTTGTAGATGGCAAAAAAAATTATCTAGTAAATTGTTCTGTAGGAATCAAAGCATGCATGATCTTGACTGGGATCATGCATACAAATGACAAACTCATTCTCATCATTAAAGGCGATGAACCCTCCCTAACAAAAAATCCCAAGGAATCTTATGTTTCCATACTAGTTCAGGAACACATACGTGCATGTTAGCACCCTTCACTTGAGGAAAGGTAAAAAGACAATGAAACACACACACGTTCAATAGCAGGCATAATGAAAGCTGAGTGTGGATGGGAATTGGGGAAAGAAGTGACATGGCAACATGAAAAAGTAGAAAGATGAAAAAAGTAGAAGCAGGACATGAATGACATGATGCTGTGAGGGAAGGTACAGTGAGGAGGAGAATGTGAGGGAATGTACAGAGAGGAGGAGAGAAGAGACGGACAGAAACTTTCCAGAGTTTCACAGGTTATTTCTGACTTTTTACCATTCACTGACAAAGCTGCTGTGGTTTTTTGGTTCCCCACTACACATGTATAGTCTCCAGCATCCCTTAGGTCCAGATTGTGGATCAGCAGCTCAGCCACCGTGCCCTCCTGCCTCATCTTGTACTTGTTACTTGGCCGGAGAAGGGTGTGCCCCTTCCTCCACTCCACAGGGGTCTCTCTGCTCAGCTGGCATTGCAGGGTGGCTGTCCCACCTTCCACAGCTTCTACGTTCTTCAGCTCTTCTTTAACAAGCACAGAGACAGCTGAGGAATGAAGCATTCTCATTTTACTTTAGGAGCATCATTACCAACTGGTGACCTTATATGGGACCTAAAGTAGAAACAAATTCTCTTGGCACAGCTAATAAGCTCTGACCTACCTGCATATCCAGGACTCTACTTGCGCTTACAATAGCACACCATGAGTTTGGGGGGGGAATAAAACCAAAACAATGATTTTCCAATAATTAGAATATCAAAGTAATTACCCCTTCTGCTACCCAAATCCTGCTGGTCACAGAGGAAAGCACAGAAATGAATTGCATATTCTTTAACAGAACACGTAACTGAAGCCCTTCTTTTACCTCCTGGCTTAGAGCTCACCCAAACACCTCTATCCAGAGCAGAAAGCAAAACAGTTATTTCAGAAGGAAGGAAAGATATTTTATCATATATATTTGTTTGCTATGTTTTAGCATGAAGTTATCATCCTAGAAAACACAAAAAAACAAGCCAGAGCTGCCTTTTGTTTGTACTGATCCCTTTTCTCTGAATGTTCAGTATAAATATGCAGGAGCTAGCAGGACCAAGGCATGAACAATAAGAAATGGTCACAAGCAGGTGTCATATTCCTACCATGGACTGTGACTTGGGCTGTCGTCTGCTGGTCTCCCGTGTCACAGGTGTATCTTCCCGCATCTTCTGGTTCTGCATTATGAATCACCAGCTCTGCCACTGTCCCCTTCTGCTTCATTTCATATTTGGCACTTGCCTGGAGTGTGGCTTCTCCCTTCTTCCACACCACAGTGGCATCAGCTTTTGTGAGTTCACAGCTTAAGGAGACAGATTTCCCTGCTTCCATTTCTGTGTTTTCCAAGGCTTGTTTGAAAAGGACAGGCACAGCTAGAAAATCAAAAGAACCAAAGATTAGAACATGCCCTCTTGACCTGCTGTATAGCAAATGGCCCATTACAGCTGTTACTTCTTAAAACCAGCCTTTTTCCACATGAGCTGAGCAGCCCTAGACCCTCCCTTGGCATCAAAGTGCACTTCATGTATGTGGCATCAAAGTTATTCTGCTTGGGAGCAGGAGGAAATCTCTCCCTCAGATGTTATCACCTCACTGTAGATTCTTGGGAATATGTTGGAGGTTTCTCTCATCTTTAATAAGGACCCCTTCATAGTCTTCTCGGCATCCTCACCTAACAAAGGCCAGGTCAGATGGGGCTTTGAGCAACCTGGTCTAGTGGTAGATGTCTCTGCTCATGGCAGGGGGGGTGGAATTGGATGAGCTTTAAGGTCGCTTCTAACCCAAACCATTTGATGATGATGATACAGCTACAGGGCTCCAAGACAACATTCATGCCCTATATCTCTCCTGCTTTCTGCTCTAGCACATACTACTTTTGCTATACTATTATAGGAACTGTATTTGTTTAAGGTCATTGGGGAGTGCAGATGGCATCTGAGAGCCTTTTAAGAGTATGTTTTGGGTAATTAAGGGGCCTAAACATTCATCATTTCACCACCTGCAATTTGCAGTGACTGGACTTCTGTTTTCATCTTCTTATGCTCCAATGCTCCTGGTCTCCATGTCTGACTCCAGTCTTAATCACAGCCATGCAAAATAGCTGATAGGTCAGGAATTATGCAATGTAAGATATAGAAAATGAACCCTCTGCATTACTTACTTTTTGCTTTGTGGGAAATTACATATTTAAAATCCCAGGCATGTAACGTGAGATTACATGCGTTATATATATATAGAAGTATTTACAAGTATGCAGTGTTACCTGTGAATGCTACATATGACTTTGTAGATGACATTGCCACAAAATAACACAGAGAGTTGCTATGTGACTTTTTAAAATAGAAGACCTATTAACCAATGTGTTAAAAATGTGTGGAAATGTACGTAAATCTGCCTACCATTTACTTTCACCTGAGCAGTGGTCTTCTGTTTCCCAGTGCTGCAGGTATATTCTCCAGAATCTATCGATTTGACATCTCGAATAATGAGCTCCGCCACAGTACCATGCTGCTTAAATTCATACTTCTCACTAGCATAGATAACGGTGTCTCCTTTCATCCATTTCACTGGGGTATCAGGTTTGCTGAGCTCACAGGTCAGCTTGACTTGTTTTCCTTCTTTAGCTTCTTCATTTTGGAGCTCTTGCTTGAAAAGAACTGGTGTTTCTGAAAAAGAATATTGCAAATGTTTAAGGAAACACACAAGATCAGAAATACTTTTTCTGTTTTTATTTCAGACTTTGTTATTAAGCTAGAAAACCACAGGAACGGAAAATCACTAACAAAGAGTAAGCAGATTCTGACATCTGCCTGCCAGCACTCTACAGCAGCAAAACAGAATTTGAGACCATACGCTTGTTTTCCTTTTAACCACTATCTGCACTATCAAAGACTTTGCTACTACTACTGTTGTCATTATAAACATTAGTGGCAGGTGCTGCACTGCACTGGATATGCACTATGCACATATTACACAAGCAGTGCATTGCAGCGTTGCAGGTGCGTGGTGAGAACTAGACCACTGGCACAAAAAATGTAAAACTTCTCTGAGCATAACTAACACTAGATATAAGGAGGAAGTTCTTTACTGTGAGGGTGGTGAGGCACTGGAATGGATTGCCCAGGGAAGTGGTGAATGCTCCATCCCTGGCAGTGTTCAAGGCCAGGCTGGACAGAGCTTTGAGCAATATGGTCTACTGTGAGGTGTCCCTGCCCATCGTAGGGGGTTGGAATGAGATGATCTTTAGGTCCTTTCCAACCCAAACCATTCTATGATTCTGTAACACAGAGGACATGGGAATGAGCAAAGCACTCTCTATCATGACCAGCAGTATTATCATTGTAAAAAAAACACACAACATAGTTTTATTCAACATGAATACAAACTTAAAACCAGCACAGAGCAAACATGGAGAGGAAAGCACAGCTGCACATGAAAGTGTCCCTGTTAAGATTCCTATGCAGGCTCTGTCACAGCCTGCATTCAGGCTTTAAGGTGAGCTAGTGTAGGAAAAGCACTTATTGGGGAAAAAACTCAATTGAAATTTTTTTCCCTCAGATCATGAAACACCCCCAGTTTCTTCCGGGCTTCTGCTTACAAATATGCAAGTCAGCTACTGATTCATTATGTTGTGTCCTGTGACTATTGGAAAACTGCAGCCTATTCTCTATTACCTCTAGTTTGGGACACTCAATCTCACATGGCTACTGACTTTATTTTTTTGTGCTATTTTTGCACCTTGCTGTTCCGATGTCACCCTAGTATATACAGGAAGATACTCAGTGTCATTTACGACTTGACATCTGCTGGTGATTTGAATCCATGTGTTTAAATCCTAAATCCATTCACACCCTTCACAGAGAAAGGAAAAAATGGACTGCTATGTAACATTATGAATGTGTTTTTTTTCCAACAGGAAACTGTTCTTGGCCATGGGTGAGATCCAGCTCCTACTGAAGTCAACACAGATCTTTCTATTGTGTGTAACATGTATTTAGAAAACATCCTAGTGCTACAGAAAGACGTGGCAAATTGGGACCGTTAACCATCACCATTACATCATCAAGGTCTTCCCTTCCCTTGCACAGCAGATCTCAGCTTTAGGTTGGCTTGCTTGTGCTCTGGATAAACAGTGTGAGCAGCTTGCCTTCCTTCTTCATGTTCTGAAGTTCCGGTTAGCTATTCCAACAACCCAAATGCTTTTTGTTCACACTGAATACTTTAATCAAAGTGCAGCTTTGGATCTGCCCTTTCCCAAGTACATTACACCAGCTGCATGCAGGATACCCACTGGCCAGGCTAAACACAGCCTGTGACATTAATAACCTCCCTGTACCTGCTTCAACCTGCCCATATGAACAAGTGATTTACTCACAGAAACCCAAGCTTCTCCTCAACCTGAAGGCTAGGCAGTGACTCAAGACAAGCAGGAATGATTGTAAGATGCATAGTAGGCGAGCCCTGTTCTGACACAGCTCAGACCCAACGCTTACCTAACATGCTCATCCAACTTGTTCAGGGAACTCTTGCTTTGTTTCAGACAACAACCCTTTAGATAGCACCTCCTGCATGATGACATTCTTTGGGTGCATTACTCTTGATAAATTTGGCTGGCTAAATCAATTACCCAGACAAGTGTGGGTGTGTGAGCTCCATTCTTTTAGAAAGCCATTAGTGGAGACAGCGTCAGAAGACGATTCATCCTTCCTCTGGACTACCTCTGATGATGGGTAGATCTCCTACTGAACTGTGCTTGGAGCAACCTGGTCTAGTGGAAGGTGTCCCTGCCCATTGCAGGGGTTTGGAGCTAGATCATCTCTAAGGTCCCTTCCAACTCAAACCACTCATGATTCAATGATTCATTCTATGATTCTTTAGAGAGCTTAGACACTTAAATTTCACATAGTTAAAAACAGGTAAGATCAAGAATTTTCCTATTTCATATTCTGTCACCTATCTGGGTGCTGTTCCATATAACTTGTCCTGCACTGTGATGCAAAGTCATGAGGGTTTTTTTCAGTGTAGCTTCACATTTTTATAATTTAAATTTTTTACTCTGACCTTGGTGTTAGATGATGAGTTAGGACCCAAGCCATCACTTCAAATGCTCTTACCCTTGACAGTAATAACAGCACTACTTTTAGCTGCTCCAGCCTCACACTCATATCTGCCACTGTCTCTTTCTTCTGCCCTGTGAATGACAAGCTTGGCTTCAAATCCCGACCGACTGATGTTATACTTGGAAGAATTCCTAAGGCTCTTCCCATCTTTGCACCACTTTACAGGGCTGTCTGATTTGGAGGTTTCACAGTGAAGGATCACATCCTCTCCCTCAGTGACTTCAGTATCAACCAGCTCCTTTGTGAAGATGCAGGGCTTCTCTAGAATCACATAAAAGCCATCTGAGATGTTTCAGAAGAGGTGTGAATTTTCAGATCAGAAGTAATCTGCGAGATTTACATTCAAGATTACTTGTATCAAAACTACAGATCAAGATTAACAGCAAATGATTTGATGTTCACGACTATAAAGTCCTCAAGAAGGCACCAGTCATGCCATAAAGTGTTGCTTAGTAAATACCCAATGCCATCTGAGACAAACCAACAAGACAATATTCCTGTTGAAGAACATAAATAAAACCTCTCTCACATTTCACTAAATAGGAGCAAGGTGAAGCCATGATGTTCCTAAGCCCTTTTCATTGGGAGCTGATTAGTTTGAACACTCTAACTGAACATGGAAAAGTTAATTCTGCATGAAGTGTTGAAATACAGGTTTCTCAATGCCAGTCATTTAAAGCAGGTCTCATCTCAACAGTACTCTCTAAAAATAAGGCAGATAGTTCAGACTGGTCATGTAGGGTATAAGAGGACAGGTGCCTTCAGAGACCAGATATTCACTTCCAAAATAGTCTAAGACAGAGAAGATTAACAGTTCTCTGGAAGTGCTTGTCTTCTACACAGCTTATAGAAGTAGCCTAAGCTAGATACCGATAGCCAAATTGACCAAGGTAGATCTTATCCCCCCTGGCTCAACACTTTTAAATTCACAAAAGTCCAATAAATAAGGAGACCAAACCCTGATTTTGGTACTAGCTGTAGCTTCATTATATAAGTAATGCTATTCTTGAACATATACAGTATACATATGACTAAATCTGTAGATTTTTTGTTCTTTTTTTCACCTACCCACCTTAACCCGTGCCTATTTCTACCCATTCTTTCCTCTCTTGCGGTTTTTATGATGGAATTACCTTTAACAACCAAACTGGCAGAAGTTTTCTTATCACCAGCTTCAAATGTAATGACCCCCGAGTCCTTCAGTGAGAGTTTTTTCAATGTTAGCAAGTGATATCCACCAGGCTGAGACTGGATGTCATTAAGTTCATTGGTATGGAGAGGGGTTTTATCCAAAAACCACTGCACTTTGCTATAGTCTACAGGAGAGATTCTGCATTTGAACATGGCAGATTCTCCTTCTAACACAGTGACATCTTCCAGGTCTTCTGTTATTAGCACTTTCTGGCCTGAAAGGAACATAGATATATCAATTACTGGATTCTTCAGTTTCTAGCATGAAAATCGACATGGAAAACTCCAAGATTTCCCATGCAAGTATTTCAAGAAAGAAATACGTTCATGATACAGAAGACTGAAACACAATTCCTATGTTATTGAACACAAAAACCATTCACAGGAGGCAATTTATACAGGACACACACCAAAACAGGATGAAGACAACTTCAAAGCACCAGAACACATAGCAGAACAACTAGCCAACACAATACAAATCTAGTGTTACAGAGTTTCCCCTAATGAAACTACCTGTAAAGACTGAAAGTATGCTGAAATAACAGCATTACTGGGCTCTAAACATCACCAAGCATCCCTTCCATGACAGCCCCTCTGTTTTTCTAGAGCAAACATAACTTGCTTTCTATGAGACAGGAGCACCCAGCTGCACCTTCTTTGAGCTTAGTCCAAAAATAAATACAGTGGGAAGTGGAGAGAGCATCTGATTGCAGCTTTAGTAAAAAGAAGCAAAACAACAGCCCCCAAAACCTGCCTGTATAGATATAGATGTACACTTAATTATTAATAAATAAATAACTTCATCATTAATAAATAAATAAGACAAAGCTATCACTATACAAAGATAAATCTGATGTTGCTCTTACTTACAGAACTGGTACAGAGTTTTTTTTTTACTTTTATCTTGAGTTTTGTTTCATAAAAACATTTTTTTCACTCAGAAAAGCTGGTATTAGAAACCTTCCAGAGAATTCAGGTAAATCAGATCCTGAGGCCATGATGGGGATTAAGCACACTTTTTGTTTCACAAGGCTGTTCTATCAGATGACCAGAGGTGGAAGAGCCTGCCTTTACCCCCTAGTTTTTAATAACCAACTATAACAATGAATAAGTGCACACCAACACTGCATCTCCATGTGACTATTCTTGACTTGTTCCTACTATTCTCTTCACTGTTTCATCAGTTTCAGGTCTATGATTTCTCCCAGTTGGGGCTCCAGTGAGGGAACTGTGAGGAACAGTATCAACCAAACCTCACTCCCTTCCCTTAAACACTGCCCTGCTGTTAACAGCGGCCACCACAGCTCATTTGCCACCCATAGCTTCAATTAAAAGCTGTTGGGGTGTACTTTTCAGCTGGAGATTGTGTTGTACCCTTCATCTCTAAGGTGCAGATCCCTGGACCACTCATTTACCCATCCCATCTTAAAAACTACTAACAGAAAGATGCATCAAGGGACATGGAGAAAAACCTAGAGGCTGAATAATTTTTCCTTCATCTAATAGCAGGCACTCTGACTTATATCTATCACATCTTCATACAGGAACACCAGCCTCTCCTCACATCAGTATTTTGGGCTTCAAATCATACCAAAAGTACTTCTTGTGTAATTGCTTCAAACTGACTTGTCTGCATGTTCCTATGTTTTTGTCCTCATGTTCTGGGCAGTGTACATACATCATGAATGAGACAGAGCCAGAAATCAGTGGATTTGTTACCCATATGCTGAGAAATAGCTCTGTCTACACATACGATGTTTTCTGCTGGAGGAACGGGATGTACAAACACATTCCTCTCATGCATACCTTGCACGACTAGCTTGGCCCTGGACTGGGCATCACCAATGTCGCAGGTGTAAGTGTCACTGTCACTTTTCTCCAAGTTTTTTATGGTCAGCTGCAGGACTTGTCCGTCCTGTATGATCTCGTATTTCCTGCCAGCCCTGAGTTCAGCCATGCCTTTCCGCCAGACCACAGAGGATGCAGCTTTCTCACTCTGACACATAAAGACTGCAGTTCCACTTTCATCAGCTTTCAGATCTGAAAGCTCTTTGACAAAATAATTGGGTTTTTCTGGAAGAAGAGAGAGAGAGTGCACATAAGATTCTTCAGTAACTACAAGGTGTTTTTTCAGAGGTTTGTGTTTTTTTTTAAAGTTTTTTAATCTATGATGTTTTAGAAAACTAAAACTTGTTCTTCTATCTCCCTAAACAGGATCATTTTCCACAGGTTTTAGATATTTACTCCAGCTTTTGTACCAGTCCTATGCAAGCTTCAACTGACCTTGCACTGTGATCCTTGCTTTTGTTTTAGAGACCTCTGTCTCACAAGTGTACTCCCCACTGTCCTTGACTGTGGAGTCATGGATGATCAAAATGGCCCGTGTACCCTCTTGGTGCAAGTTATATTTCTGACTTTTTCGGATTGCTTTTCCATCCTTGTACCACCTGATGTTCACATCAGGTTTTGACAATTCACAACTCAGGCTGATGTCCTGCCCTGCTGCTGCTGTTTTATCCTCCAGCTGCTTTGTAACCTCAGTGGGTTTTTCTGAAGGGAAGAAAGGGGGAAAACAAACAAATAAACAAACAAAAAAAGGCACTTTTGACTAAAAATCATACTCACTATATGGCTGAGGTTTTTGCAATTCAAATATCCAGCAAGTTTTCACATCCCCAATGAGTCATCCATTTTGTGTTAGGAAAGGGAGGGGAAAACCATTCTTGCTCTTTACAAGATATTAATTGCAGTTAAGAGGTCTCAATGCATATCTTGATGATTACAGGAACTGAAGACTTGTCCTGATGTCATTCATTTCAGAGGATGACATTTCACCATCACTGAATTTACTAGAGGCATGCATCTCACTGAATACAGACATCTACACTATAGAGAGCAGAGGCACTCAACCCAGGACAGCAGATCACTTCTGGCTGTATAGCAAAGTGCAGGTAACAGAGTTCAAGGAACAATTTATTTTGTCCTAAATAGGTTTAACTGTGGATGATGAACTATGTTTGAAAACTACCTATTTCTTCTCTCCACTAACTACCTGAGGAGCCTTGGGTGATTGTATCTGATGCACAGAGTCTGGGTGGTAATTGTCCGTACAATTATACTACCCAGTGTATTCTGTCATTCTCAAATATCTATAAAAGGTTTCAGCCTTGCATTTGTTTTTTAAGGAAAAATAAATAAATCTCAGTGCTTCAAGGCTCACAGGAAAGGCTGCTATTCACTTTAATCATAACAAGAGTTTTCCTTTAAGGTTTACTGACCCCTTATGAAAAGACACCCAAGAAATCAAACCCCAGAATCTTTCTGATCTCATTACCTTTCACAACCAGAGAAGCCTTGGAGGTTAGACCACGGGCAGTAAAAATGACTTCTCCAGCATCATCAAGCGTCACACTTTTGATATTTAGTGTGTATTTTCGACCCATGTTAGAGGCTTTAAATCGCCCTCCACTTTCCACTTTTTTCCCATTCAGTGTCCAGTTGAAGTCATCAATGCTTTCATGGGACAGAACACATTCAAAAGTGCAATCTTCTCCCTCCTGGATTTCAGTGTTCTTTAGCCGTTTGGTGATGCCAATGTTCAGTTCTGGAAAAAAAATGTAGGTTAATACAAGGAGAAAAGACTTCTATGATTGACATGAGTAGTAGTATCAACATTTTAATTCATCACACTGGTTTATCTACTAGATTGGCAGGGCATCACTGCATTCCTTACAGATGTATTTGACATGGGAAGGATTTCTCAGACGTTGTCCACTCAGTTACCACAAAGCTATAGGAAAGGGGACATGTGAATCTCTTGGCTTTGCTCTGGAAGGCCTGCATGAAGAGGAGCTCAGTGGAGAAACTCAAGATTCAATGAGCTAGAAGGGAGAAAAGCTGTCAGAGGAAACCTTTGGGATGTTGTGTGAAGTTTTTCTCCATGCTGATAGAAGAAATGGGATGTTTGTTAGCTTGTCACCACCATACCCCCTTTGTGTTCAAATCTGACAAATTCAAAATTTATCTCATTATCATTATAAATTTGAAACCCATGAACAATTCTCTGTCCTTCAAGCAGCCACAAGGATTAGAGGACAGGCTGAACTTCTGGGTTCTTCAACAGACAATGGTGTTGTACTTTGTGTTCCCACAACAGGGGCTTTAAGCCACTTTTTTTCAGATAATAGCTTAAAATGTGAAACACAAGCCACTCGGGGTTTGTTTGGTTTTGGGATTTCTTTTTTTATTGGCTTATTGTTTGTTTGTTTGAAATTTTGTTTGTTTGCTTGTTTATTTTGTTTGTTTGGTTTAGAAATTTTTCACTCTTCTGGGAGGATTTCTGCACCTTAGGAATGTTCAGGAAGGAAAAACTCAGTACATTCTTGAGAAGTGATTGTCTCTGAATCACCATATATACTTCCAACAAAGAGTAACAGGGATTATTCAGACACCACTATGTTACATGAAGCTAATGGAGAAATAGTGTGAGACCAAGTGTCCAAGGCCACTCATATTTGCAGTATCCCTTGACTGGGCATCATCTACAATACTTACCCTGAACGCTGACCTTTGACTTGGCAACATCAGTGCCAATATCACAGGTGTATAAACCTGCATCTGTCTTTTCAAGGTCATGGATAAGGAGGCTCAGGGTCTTCCCAGACTGCATCTGCTCATACTTGTTATCAGACGTGAGCTTCACACCATCCTTTTTCCAAACAGGTTTGACCTTCTCTTTAGAGACTTCGCATTCCAGTTTAATCATACCTCGCTCCTCACCAAAAACATCGTCCAATGACTTCATGAAGACAGCAGGCTTCTCTGAAGGTTAATGGGCAAAACAGAATAACCAGGATATTTAAATCAAGACCTTTTCAGTTGATACTAAATATTTAAAAAGAGCTTAAGTAAACCTTTGGTAATGCTGCTGGTACCAATGCAGAACCTAGAACAGTCTCACACCTCATGACTGGCACAAGTTTTAGGGAAATCAGTATTTATTAATGGGAGGATGTAAGAAAGGAGAGAGGCAGCCCATATTGCATATCATGGGTTGTGATATTCAGTGCTGTAATCATGGTCTCTCTTTTGGCTGTGCACATGTGAGATTGTAATAACTCTTTTTTTCACTGTGCTGGGCATCTGTCAGGGACATGAGATCCCGTCACAGGGCATGGCGATTGGAGATGGCATGCATGGCCTTGCAAAGGCCAGAAGGGTGGCTTTTATGAAATAGCTACTCAACAAGATAGACTACATTTAAGGAAGTCTTTGTCTGCATCATGAAAGAGCAGATGTTCTCTGGGAACATCCCTTCTCCTTGCAGGAGTCTGCACATGGAAAGGAGTCAGGTGGTTAGAGAAAATACATGTGAAGGAAAGTAATTGGGATGTAGGTCTTTTAAAGCCAGAGAGCTGGCACTGTCTTTTTCACAATGAAGGACTTATGCAGTAGGAACAGCAGTAAAAAGATATGCTGCACTCCTTGCTCTCATGAACATTTTTCTTCTTGCCTCTTTGACTTATTGATTCCCATTGTCTAAAATACATTTGACATGGAAGATATTTATAAAAGGAATTTTTGACCAGATATGAAGAAAAAGAAGAGGAAATCCTTCAGACTCTCTGAGTGGATAGAGTAAAAGAGTTAAATGATTGTTAAATGGGAAGAACAAATTAGGCATGATCAGGAGGAAAAATGCAATGGAAATGAGACAGATGATTCTCCAAGCACCTTCAGGTGTGTCAACCACAATACTCAACTTGGTGTTATCTGCAAACTTGCTGAGAGTGCAGAAGAATATGTGAAACCACAGCTACTCAGTTATGTGACAGAACTTCAAGACGTATGAAGGACAGCAGCAAACTGCCTTGTTCTTGCTGCTGGAGTCCAGCTCCAGAATTGATTACTTAAAGGTGTGCCCTACCCTTAGAGGTAAACTGAAGCTCAGGTTCCTGCAGTCAAAAACCTTTAGAACAACAGTTTATAGATCATACACTATTGAAGAGACAAACAAGCAAAGGAAATTGCTCTTGAGGCTAACCTGACAAGTAAAAGGATTATAAACATTTATGGAAATTGTTGGCAGAATAGCAAAACAATCTTCCTTAGAAAAATCATCAGCTATAGTAGAAACTTACACTGTAAGAAAGCCCCTATACACCTACTGCTTGGCCCCAGAGAGGTGAAGCTTATGAGCAGGTTTGCTGCATGGATATGGTAAATAATATCTCCTTTACATCTCTTATTCACACTCAGGAGGAGTGTAATCACAACCTACCTATCACCTTCAGACGCACACTCTCTGTCACTTTGTCTGACTTCATTGTCACTGTGCCAGCATCCTCAGGCTTGACGTGCTTCATTGTCAGCATGTAGCAATTGCCAATGTTCCTGATGTCATTGAAATTGTTGGTGTAGAGAAGGGTGTCATTGAGGAACCATTCCACATCCTCGTCATCATGGGAAAGCTCACAGGAGAAGACAGCAGAGCTATCTTCTTCAATTTCCACGTCCTGCAGGTGTTTGCATACTTGTACATTGCGGGCTGTAGAAAAACAAGGTGCACCATCACCACTGTTACTATAAATCAGTATTGTTACCAGAAACAGATTTCATAGTGTTTAGAGTTTATTATGTTATTCACTCATCCCTGTGTGCTAGCCACTGCACGCACACAAACACATTATAACTATATCGTCCCCGACTCACTTCCAGGGAAACTGTGACATAGAGGATGCGATGAAGACAATGGTTTTGGCTACAAAGAGTAAGAGATTAAGCAGCTCATTGAAGGTTAGGGAGCAACATGAATTAAATTCTTTCCTTTCTCAGTCTTTGGCCAGAGGTTTCTCTTTGCAGCTATTCTGCTCCTGAAATGCTGTTCCTCAAGGACTTGCTAACTCAGAGGAGGGTTTAAGAGTATTAAATAATTTTGTCATTTGGATGAACCTCTGCAACACCAAATTGTTACCAAAAGTTGCTCACTGGACTTCCAGAAATGATTCTGTGGCTCACCTCCAAGTCTTGCTGAAAGTGACACTGTGAACGTCTTTTCTTACAGTTTTACCAGGGGTGAAGAATTGGCTAAAAATAGTTCCATACCCAGATGAGGTAGAATATCGTTATGAATGACAAGCACATAGCAGCTATAAAAGCTGACAGCGTCAGGAAATTAAAACCACAACCAAGAGCACCAGAATCAGAAGCCTGTAACAGTTTAACATAAGGGACATTTTTAAGTGGAAGTACCAGAATACTAGTTCCTTGGACAAAATGAAAAATAACGTGCCTTGACAAAGATGCATGAATTTCTGCCTTACCCAGATGGTGTGCTTCTGCCTGCATTTCCTACTTCATAAGAAGCGCTGGAATATCAGCACAGTGCATAATACAATCAGTTCTCTTGTGATACTGCATATATATAAAATTAGCAGAAGGTAAGTGTGGGAATCTACCTCTACTCAAGAAGAGAAACCCAGAGTGAAATACTGAACTATACAGACATGCAACGGGCAAGCTCCCACTGCTGCAATCCACTCCTACCTTCAACAGTGAGCGTGGCTTCAGTCTCTGCGCTTCCAGCCCTGCACTTGTAGACACCAGCATCTTCAGGCTTCACCTTCAAAATCTTGAGCTCTGCTGAATACTCTTCCCGCTTGATTTTGTACTTCTCAGAGGGCTCGATGAGCTCATGGCCCTTGAACCATTTCACAACCTTTGGAGAAGGCCTGAAGTCGCAAGACAGGATGACTGAATGGCGCTCCAGAGCTGTCTTGTCCTCCATCTTCCTGGTGATCTGGATGTGGTAATCTGCAAAGCAGAGGTGGGAAAGAAGAAAGGATCAATCTGAAGAAAAGTTTCTAATCTGTTTCTAGACATGCCTATGAATTTCATGTATGTCATTCACAACTGCTTTGTGAACCATTCAGATTGTACTACAAGTTTCTCTTACGGAGCTGATGTGCTTTGAAGTTAAAATGGCATGATGATCCATAGGAAATGCTGGGTTCTATAAGACAATGCTGTATATTAACTACCAAATGCATGGTCCAGTTCTGTTCAGTGCTTACTGAATTGTTCTCTTATTGAAGCTTTTATTCAGGTAAGGGCAAATTAAAAACAAAACAAGGACTTCAGGACATGATTGGAGATTTTTACTGTGGTGACAGTGGAAGATAAAAAGCCCTGAAGCTTTGTCCCAGATCAAGTCAATGACAAAGTGGATTAAGTAAATGAGCTATCAAACTTGTCTAGTTCAGAAATAAACTCCCCTGGCAAATTTCATATACTTTGTCCTCTTTGGTAATGTCAAAAAGAAAAGAATAAACCAAAAATTAATTCTAGCTCAATAGATTTGAATACCAGACACACCAAAATCATTTAATGAGATCCCTTCCTAAAACATTGCTTCATTGAGTGCATCCAACATTGCCCCCAACAATTTGTAATTAGGAAATAAGCAGATCTTCCAGGCACACAGCCTGGAAAACACCACCCAGCAGACCCTCCACATTAGACAGTAGGTATGAAAAATTATTTTGCAGGGACTATAGGAAGGAGCATCTTTCATGATCTAAATCAAGCCAGGGCATATAACATTACCTCTGACAAGCAGGTTTGCTGTGGATTTTGATTTGCCAATGGAGAACTGAATGACGCCTGTCATATCGGTACTTGTTTTCAGTATTGTCAGCTTGTGGATGGTACCTCCTTGATACATGATGATGTTTCTGCCTGCCTGTAAGACTTTTCCATGTAAATACCATTTGGGGGGCTTCACAGATGGAATGGATATCTCACATTCAAAATTGGCTTCTTCGGGCTCAGTCACATCTTCATCACACAGCTCCCTTACAATATTAATGGCTTGCTCTGGATAGAATGAGAAAGCAGGGATTTATGAGTCACAAAGGAACTCTGCCATTATCAGCCCACACACTCATGCCACCTTTTCTGCATTTGAATACTGCACTTATTAGATTGATAGGCCTTAAAACAGCCTTTTTAATATAAAATCAAATATATATTGCTGGTCATAGGTCAGACATTGAGACTGTGACACTGCCTCAAGAGAATCTCCATCTACTGATTTCCAGTCCTATTTCTAATGCCACCTTCCTGTCCTTTATCAAACACTTGGCACTATAAAATAGACAGCAAGATTCATTGGAATGCAGATGTCGATAGTAGAAAAGATATTGGTGAGCTACTGCAACTTTCCTACAACAAACTTTCTTCAATACATTTCATAAACTTCTCTGGAACAGAAATTTCACCACATTTCTTATGAAACTATATAGATATTAATTTTCCTGGACGTTCCTGATTTATAATTCTGAAAGAATTCATTACCAATGGATTTCAGAATAAATCAACATTGAATCAAAATACTTTCAAAGTGTTATTGTTTTTTCAAAGTAAATGACAAGGATTTTTTGAATTGGCCAATCCTCCTTCCAGTGCATCCTATTGAGAAAAAAAAGGTTTGCTACCTTCAACAAAGAAATTAGCACTGCTTTTGTCATCAAAGGCATCACAAGTGTATACGTCCTCATCTTCATAATCTGCATTGTTGATGATGAGTTTCCGATAGACATCATCACTCACGATTTCATATTTGTCGCTAGGGTGAATTTCAACGTCCTTTTTATACCATCGAACTTTGGCATTGGCGCGAGACACCTGGCACTCCAGGAATCCCCGATGCTTCTCAAGAACAATCTTATCTCGCAAAGGCTTCACAATTTTTACAGGCAGCTCTGAAAGGAGTAAAAATGATGGAATAAGAGGTACAGTTTCCATGAAAGGTGCCAATCAAAAGCTTCATTAGCTGTATTTCTTTTGTACTCAGTTATCTGGGACGACAAGAATTCTCACTGTGCTAAGCACTCAACTAACACACAGCAAGTACACAAGGAAAATTTTTAGCCAGGTTTTACCACTTGAGTGACTGAACTGTAGAGATAATAGGTAATTTACTCAACGCTACACAGCAGTGTTATGGCAAGGACTGATCTTGGATTTTCTGAGGTCCTCAATGTTTTAATTCAAACATCTTCCTTCTCTCTGTCTCTACCACACTGTTTAACGCCAAAACCAAAAATAATAGCAAAAAATGCTGTGCTCTTTTTAAACATACACCAGAAAAAGGAAATGCAGGAGAAAGTCAAGATACAGCTTTTTGTCCCTTGAAGTTCAAACATGACTTTTAACACTTTGGGTACAAAAACAACTTCCTGATAAAATAAACTGTGGTTTTTAGCAAAAGTAAATTCCCAGGCTGATATTTAACATGCAGTAAGATAGGCAGGAGTTTTTGCTTTCTCTGAAAGCTCTAAGTGTTGGTTAACCTTCTTCACTTTAAAAGTGAGGGAAGTTGTTTGGTTTGTGACATATAAGAGCATAAGCAGTACTAGCATGAAAGATGCAATTACCTTTTACTGTAAGCTGAGCACGAGATTCTGCCTTTTCTGCTACAAATTTGATTTCTGCTGCATCTTTGACTTGGACGCACGTGTAAGTCAGTGAATAGGTCTTTCCTGAGAAGAGATGCATAACCAGACATAGTTTCACCCAAGCAAACAGCTTCGCTCTCCAAGATATTTTGCCAGGTTAAGCACCACCCATCTGGTTTCAGCATCACCACCTGCTCTCATGGCAACAAGTCCTACCATTCCCCTATGTCTACATCCCTTCATCAAAGGATAACCCAATGTCAACCCCTCCAAGGACGGGTAGAATGTGAACCTCACCACCATTGCGACAGTACTTGAAACAGAAGGATCCCACCCACTGCCAGATGATAGAAATTCCTACCTCACTGCTGGCAGCATGGGATGGTAGGATAACACCAAACTTGCCTTATTAAAGTTACCACCGTGTCACTAGCCCAGCCCAGCTGCAGCCATGGAACAAAAGTGGAACTCACTGCTGAACCTTTTTAACTCAGTTCTGGAGGTCAGACCTCTCTGCCTAGTCTCCCATACCAGCATCTACTCCAACCCCTCCCCATTCAAGAATGAGATCCCCCTTTTTCATCTTACCATCTTGACGCATTTTAATATTGTCAGCAGCCTTCAGCTTGTTGTCATTTTTGTACCACTGGGTTTGGACCTCATCATGTGAAATCTCGCAGACGAAAGATGCACTCTCAAATTCATTCACTTCCACATCTTCCAGTGGTTTAAGAATCCTGATATCTCGGGCTGTGAAATTACAGAGACAGATATTTATTTGGGTTTCTCCATAACTGAGTGTGGTATGTTTACATTCTGCATACTTGCATGGAAAAAAAAACACAGGGATTGTGTTTTATTCTAGATCAATCTCCCTCCCTGAGTAGTTTCTTTCTTCAGCACAGTAAGTACATTTATTTTGCTTGAACCTACAGGTAAAATTACAAGCTATAGTGGAGCTCATTGCAAAAGTGTTTTATGGATGCCAGAACTTCATACAGTCTTTAACTTACACATTAAATGAGAAAATATACCAATGAAAATTAAACAGAAGTCTACAATCTCTGCCACGTGTTTAACAAGGAGATACCTTTTACCCAGACCCCCGAACTCAGTATAAACCTCTTTAAAACTGCAGCTTTGAACTAATTTATGCAAGAACTGACTCATATTTCCATGCTGTTGCAGCCTTTTCCATTTGAAAAGCAACCCCTTGATACACCTCAGTTTAGCCTCAGGAGCAGAGTTCCAATGAAAACCAGCCAGCTTTCAAATAGCAACCCATCCCAAACACATCAGGGAGAAGAGGGGGAGTCCAACAGAGCAGTGGAAAGGACAGATGTTCATGAAGATGTTACTGAACCTAAGTGGCCACACGAGGACAGTATCTAGTAAGCGATAAAAGCTGGTCTGTCTTCAGATGTCCTGCTCAAAAAAACCAACTGCAGGGCACAGCAGACCTGTCCAGTATCTGTTTGTTAGCACTGGTTTCTCTCTGGTTGCTTCAGAGGCTGCTGATAAAGTATGCTGATGCTTGACCAGTTGCACAGTGCAACACACACAGGAAAAAACTGTCTTGAGCATAAAGAGGAGATGAAGAGTTAGAAATCACAATCCTTTCCTTAAGATTTACAACATAAAAATCAGAGCAATTCCTGAAATCATACCCAAGGCTTGTCCAGTCCTTATTCAGGCAAAGTCCCCCTGTGACAATAGCAGAACCTAAACCAAATCATGTCAGCACCAGCCATTATATACCTGCTCTGTGTCAAGTTATTTGGTGTTTACTAACTTGACAATCTAGAAATGCCACTCAAACTCCAGAGAACAGAAATCACTTATGAAAAATGGAAAAACTAAGTTAGCACCTCTTCCAAAATGCTCCTCTAAGAGCACTGGACAGCTCTGCCAGAACTTTCTCACTAAGAAGATCAAGTTGAGCAAAATGAGTAATTGTGAGATACATGAACTGTCCACAAAGCATTTCTTGCTGCGTAGTCAAAAACACGCCAGTAGATGTAATGCCCTACTTCAGTGAAACATACCATGAACCTTTAGGGTAGCTGATGTCTTCTCTTCAGCTACTTCACATATATAGGTTCCCTGATCTTCATATTCACACTTGTGAATAATAAGGCTTCTCTTAGTTCCCTGGGAAATAATCCCCACTTTTTTACTTTGCTGGAGCTCCTTCCCATCCTAGAAGGGAAAAAGCCAAACCATATCATTGTCAGCTGTACTGTGCAGTGAACAAAACAAACATTCAGATCTGTACTTAATTCACCTGTTTCATTGGACTTAACGGAATTGTGCTTGCAAAACGTACAAATGGCTGAAGAACATGCACAACTTTTGGTTGACCTTAGATGCCTGTTTGAAGGTTTAAGGCACTGTAAAGGGTCGGCAATAAGGCCTTTCAGACATTACCTTGAAGAAATGCAGACATTACCTTGAAGAAATACTGTTATCCCCATTTAAGGGAAGCATCAGCTGAGCCCAAAGGAAGGTACATGAAATGCCTAAGATGATCCCCAAAATGACTATCAGGTGTAAAGGCAATTGAGATTTCACCTTAAACAGTTCCCAGAGAGGCTATAAATCCTGAGTGAGAACTGCTAGGCATGAAACTCAAGACTCCAAGAACAGAAAACATTAACTTTTAAGCCAGTAAATACATGCAGTAAATAAATAACAGTGATGGACTGGGCAAGTAAATGAATGTAAGGACAAAAGAGTAGTGCTAAGAGCTGTATAGCAAAGGTGGAGGATCACACCCCCTGGAAGTGAAATCAAAGGCTCCCATTCCCTTCCAGAGAAGTTAGAAATTAAAATACCACTCTACAGTAAGTGCTGTACCTTGAACCACTTGACAACCCCGCTGGGCTTGGACAGCTCACACTCAAATGTGACTTTGTCCTTCTGAGTTACATTGATGTCTACCAAAGGCTTGCTGATTCTCGCAGGCAATTCTGCAAAAGAAGAGGAAGTCCAGTTAGTGGGGAATTAGGTCTCCCGGACCATTTGGCACAAGCAATGATGGATATAGTTAGAGCCTAGGTTCCACGCTTAATAATGTTTGTGAGAACAAAATCACATTGTTTTGATCACATTATCATGAGTTGTTCCATGGACAATGATGTTACAATAATCCTGTTGACATTAGAAGGATACATTACTGATGATAGTCTACTGCTTAACATCCCTTGCAGTTACAAGGAAAGCTTGTTGCCCTCCTAGAAGCTCACTCTCTGAGACAGAAGACAGCCATGCCCCACACCAACCAGGGGCTGAGATTTTCAGGTTTGTGTACCTGTCACAGTGAGCCTCCCTGATGAAAAAATGCCTTCTGCTTTGAAGGAGATGAGTCCTGCATCTTCAAGAGTCACCGAAGAAAGAGTCAGTGAATGTTTCTTCCCCAGAACACCAATATTGATATTTGATGCAGGGTTCAGCCGAACGCCATCCTTCTGCCAGGTCCCTTCCACATCCTCATGTGACACCTCCACTTCAAAGGTGACAGTCCCTTTCTCAGAGACTTCCAAGTGCTGAAGACCTTTCACCAGCTTGATCTGCCTCACTGGAAAACAAACACAGGCAGGTTGGAGATCTCACACCGATAGCTGTGAAATACTCTGAGGACTTCCAAAACAGGTTCTTTCCCTGTTTCTCGTGCAGGTACCTGCCAATTAATTGGTATCTGCTAATTAAACAACCACCATTGCAGGAAATAAAACTTGTCTGCGGCTATACTGCTCACATGGCTGCTATTCTTAAAATGGGTGTTTTCAGCTGAGACAAACAAGTCAAGCAAACATTGCAGAAAAAGGGCAAACTGTCCCTTTTTCTACCAAGGTCCACCACACTCACTGGCCAGACCAGAAATAAGCTCTGAATTTGTACACACACACAAAGAGGACTAGAAACACTCATGAGCTGGGTGAGGTGGTCACCAATAACCATTAGGCAGAAACACTCCAGAATAAGATAACACTTATTATTTATACATCCCTGCGCTGTACAAGAGAGATGTTGCTGAAAATACTTTAGGTATGATTCAAGAGAAAGATGATCACTAATAGAGCATGAAGGAATAAACAATATTGTGCAGTTCTTCAACTAGGACGAAAAAGGGCAGAGAGGGAAATAGTAGGAAGAAGAAAAAGCTTTTGGCAAAAGGAAAAAGACCAACCAAACAAAAAGTAACCCATGACATGGTGTGATGTGTGCTGACCCGTGACAGCATCTGTTTTGAGTGAAGATTATCTGTTGCTACTACAAGACATTAATATTCCATCATTCAGTAAAATGCATTTATCGTTTAGACTTTTCTCACCCTTAAAAGAAATTCAGTTGACAAATATAAAAAACCCAAACAAACAAAAGACCTCTACAGACACATAAATTCACAATAATTAGTCTCCTATTTTGACCTTCCTAGTGCATGTTTAACAGAGATAATCCCCACTCAGCCAGGATCTGAATGCAAACATCAGCAGGATGGGCTGTGGGCTCTGTTCTGTGGTGGTGGTCTAGACTCAGCTCCTGAGCTGATGACACCACAACCTCTCTGAGGCTCAAATATCTACAATTGGCACCTGTCCTTACACTACATGGTGACAAGAGGACACAAGCTATTTCTCCAAAGGTCCCACAGAGGTGATGTGAATACACTATGGCCTTATCAGCAAACTGGATAGAAAGAAGCACAGTTTGGCTATCTCCAGGAGGGTGGCAGCAGACTCCATGCAATGCCATCTCCTTACATTTTTTGTGTCCCCCCTGTTGCCTGTTATACGTCATAGCACCTTTAGGGGAACGCACACATCCTTTGCAGGATCCTGTGTAATTCCTCTCTCAAGTAAACCACACTTGATTCCCTTCTCATGGTCTTCTCCAAGGTCACAAGCACTTAAGCTCAAATTTGCACCACGAACATGTCTCAACCAGACAAATGATGGACGTACAGACACTTGCAGCAGCTTATTCTTTGCTTTGCAAACTTATACACCAGCTCTCCTGGCTTTTCTGGTCAGAAGCTGCATCAGCCCCCGATTTCTGATCTGATTTTGTGGCCAGTACCTATCCCCCACAAGGGACCTTATTCTCTAAACTGAACACAGCGTGTTACCATCTAACCTTTCCCTTAAGTTAGTAAACACTCCAACCACTCAAACAGTGAATGGACCAAAGATCAAACTGAAATTATTCCAAAGAGATTGTGAAAGGGACTTGCAAAGGCATTAACTAAATAGCATAGCAATTTCTAACTCAGAAGGTGGCCTCCTGGATATATCCTCACCTGGTTCTGTACATAGCATTGGAAAAAAAAAAAACCTACTTTTTCCAAAAGTCTTGTCATAAAGCAGCAACGGTAGATGGTTAAAGCTTTCACAGGATTTCTTTTAATAGACAATATTTTATGTCAAGAAATTTGAAATTTCATACTCATGTTCCCAGTATAATTTCTACTATAATTAATTGACCTAATTAGGCTGTTCCCTGCTGAACACTTAGAGGTGAATCAGAGGAAGGATCACTTTACCCATGACTGACTTGACTTAAGTCTTCCACAAACATCTCCTCTTGGTAACAACTGAAAATAGATACTCAATCAGATATGTTGCTGGTTTGAGAAGCTCAGTTGTTTTTAGGACCTCCTGGTATCTTAAGATAGTTACAGATGCTTATCTTTTGATGAAGCAGCTTTCATACTGGAGCAGATCAACACATTTTCACATAGCTATTCATTATTTACCTTGCTCCAAAATCAATCCCAAACCAAACAGTATGAGTCCAGCTTGGTGGTTTTCTTTTTTAAAAAAGCTCCTCTGAAATCAGGCTTCTTAGACTAAAGCTGAGCATCAAATAATAGTAGCTTAATTCCCCAGACTGTGAGCATTTAAAGAACTTCTGCTGACCTCAATGTAAGCTCTTACACATTCTACTGAAAAGAGGTTATTTGCTTTTATGCCAAAAAGTGGAGCATAGTTTTAGACTTCTAAAGTCTTGCTTTTGCTGTAAAGCAGAGTGAGAGCTCGGTGCCACCTCAGTTGGAGGACTTGGATGCAGAATCCAGTAAGTCTAGTGAGGTTCTTGTATATGGCCCCTTTCCTGCTTCATCTCTTAAATAAGGCTTGGATAATCATATGCAAAAAAAAAAAATCCCTGCTATAGCAAGCTGATTCCTGTTTTTTATCATGATCCATGAGTTTCCATCACTGTGTGAAACCATCTCAGTTCATCAACAGAGGAGCTACTTTTTCCAGTGACACTAAACACAAGTGATGAGAATGCAGCTGGCTACCTAGGAAGCACACAGCAAAATCCTCTGTCTCCATCAGAATAGGAAGTTTATAAACCAGAGACAGATACACATTTATGCTTGCGTAACTCACTTTACACAAAATACTGTTGGCGGTTATCAGGACTACCCAAATACTTCCTATATAAACAGTTCCATCATTTTTGTTTCTATCACTTAGCTGTAGCAACAGTCAGTGATTAAAACCAGGTGTAACTGGATCTACAACTAACTGCTGAAACGTCTTGCTGGAAGGAAAATTAGTATCACCCAGAGTCTGAACAAAATGCCTTGAGGTGCAATGTTTGAAAGAGGATGGAGCAGCAAACTGCACTGTATTCTTCCAGCATATTGTGACTGTAGAAAGGCTATATTTCTATCTTCTGCTAACCCTCTTCACCTGATTTAACTGACTCAGTAAATCTGAATCTAGCTGTAAATCAGGATCGTAGTCATGCAACATTCCTTGAATCTTAGACACTCAGAAGATAATTCAATTCATTATCTTTAAACACTCTCCAGAGGTTTCTTCTTTCTGTTAGCTACAAAAGGAGCTGAAAGTAATGACCTAGATTAAGGCTTCATGAATCCAAGACTAATCTACAAACTACTAGCCACTGCTATTGTTTGGTTTTTGATAGAGCCATTCAGTTTGGATATAAAGATGAGTAACCACCAACGCAAGTGATAACTGCCCTGTGTGTTATGGATCCCTGTATGGATGCTAAACCAGTGGGTTTTTGACAACTGTAAGCCAGGAAGATTTTGAAGATTAAACTGTCTTAGCAATGCATGAATGTGATTTGACAAACCCTGCTCTGTATGAGGCAGCCTGTTATTAATTTCTCATTTCTTTGATTCCACCAGAAGACCACAAGTTTATCAGGCTGGAAAAACCTAGAAAATTCATTTCGCTCTTCTGTCCCATTCTAGGGCACACTCAGCTCTTTACATCATTGCGACAGATATTTCAGTAACATTTTCTTAAACCCATGATGAAAGCTCCAAGACCTCTCCAGACAACCTATTAAATCATCCAGCTACTAAAACCTCTTTTATTGTATAACCTGGATCTTTCTTGTGATTGAAGTCCATTATTTCCCATCATTATTTCCACATGGAGAACAGATTGTTCCCTTCCACTTTATAACATCTCATTTACCTGAAATCTGTTATCAAGTCCTCCTTACCTATTATGTATGACCTACACAGTACCAATTGGTGGCAGGGGCTTTACACACAAAATTAGATAGTCCTCAAGGGCTTCAATCCTATCTTCATCTATCCTGTAACAATCATGACAAAAGGATCCTGGAAAAGGGCAGAAGTAGAGGGCTACAGCTGAGACACCATTAGCTTACTTGAAAGGGCAGCACCTTCAAGCAGAAGATTTGTTCTGATAGTTTTTCTACCTCTAACTGAATATAAAGAGATATTCTGAAAGAGGTGGTTTAGCAGAATTAGGGCAATGGGTGGCTGAAGAGGGAATGGTTTGCTTAAAGACATACAAAGGAAAGAACAATGTGAGAAATTTCAGAGGAAAGAGAAGAATCAGCTAAGAAGCTTAATGGTCAACAGCATGACTGAGAGCTGATGAGATGAGATGGAGGCAATAGGAACCAGACAGCCATTCTCTGTTTACTGCTCTTGCTTTCACCTCCTCTCAGTCATCTGACTTGTGGCCAAGCTGATGGTTGTGTCCCTCTGTCCCCATGGCAGTCGGTTGGGCAGTAGCCATTATGATAATGGAAGAGACCAGCATCCACCTCCAAACCCTCTCCAGGGTATTTATAGAACTGGAGATCATTCAACTTACTTTCCACATTGATCTTGGCTTGGGTCTTGTCATCAGGACTTTCACAACAGTAGAAGCCCCGGTCTGCAAAGGAGATGTCCTTAACTACCAGGATATGTTTTGTTCCCTCAGCTTTGATCTCTATTTTTTCACTGGGCTTCAAGACAATGTTGTTCCTCATCCACTTCACCTCTGCAGGCTTGGTCAGCTCTACCTCCAAGGTCACTGTATCTTTCTCTTCAACTGTTTTGGGCTCCAGTTTCTTCTTGAATGAGATTGGGGCCTCTGTGAAAGGAGAAGAAATATTAGTAAGAATGCAGAGGATCCAGAAAAAGACTTTCAGAGAAAATTTAAATAGTGGCTCATGTATCTCCAGTCCAAATGCACTCTGGGCTTCCCTGTTTCATGATGGAAAAGCAGAATTTCCCTACTAACATAATCAGAAGGAAGACTACATGACAATGTAGGTTGTAGCACCAGTGACAGGGGCATGATCACCTCTTACCTCGGACTCTGAGATTGGCTGTGCTTTCTACACCCTCAGCATTAGCAGAGATTTCAGCTGCATCTTCCAGTGTCAGATCAGTGATGGTGAGGCTGTGGTTAGTGTCCTTGTGTGAAATCACGTACTTCTTGCTGGCTTCAATCTTGACACCATTCCTGAGCCAAGTGACCACGGCATCACTGGGAGAGACAGTGCACTTGAACACAGCTTCTTTTCCTTCCTCAGAAACCACACTGATGAGACTGGTAACAAATTTCACCACTCTGGGAGCTGATGGATAGGAATAAAACATTTAGGAGACATAGCATAAACACCTTCACAGAGCCAAAAGCTTTGACGATTTTATTGGAAACATCAATTTTTCTTATTTAGAGTGAGTGATCATAATAATGGATCATCATGTTTCCCATGTCTAAGTTTTGTGTCTGAAGACACCAGAAAAGAGAGGCAAGCAAACAGGGGGTAAAATCTCATCTTAAGTTTGGGATACTTAATTGCAGCCTCAAATGCAATATAAAGGTCAGTTTACCCACATATTAGAAGGCCTGAGCTCAGCATGTCTCAAAATCATTATGTTCTTCACAAGTAGAGTCCACTGACACTGAGAGAGTCACTGACACTGAGTTTTGTATTTTGCTGTTAACACAGCAGACAGCACAAACACTGAAAAAACTGCAGCTTTACAGAGTTGTAATAGGTGAGGACAAAACCCAAGGACCCCTCTACATTGTCACCATTGTAGACATACCTTTGGGGGTGATGGTAATGGTGCTCTTGTCACTTCTGGACTCGCAGGAGTATTCTCCCTCATCCTCAGCCCGGATCCCTGTTATTGTCAGGGTTCGCTTGATCCCCTCCTCATGAATATGGAAACGCTTGCTGGGCTTGATCTCTGCTTTGTTCCTTCGCCACACCACCTTCCCTTTGGCATGGCTCACATCACAGGTCAAAGTGACACTGCCTCCAATCTCTGCATTAACAGCTTCAAGCTTTTTGACAAACTTCACTGGGATTTCTGAGATCCAGAAGAAGGAAAAATGATGAGAAAGGAAAAAGATAATAAATGTGTTCTAAGAAACTGGCTCCAGCCAGCTTAAAAAATATAAAATAAACAACCCCAGAAGATTCTGGGGGATCAGGGTAGGCAGAAACAAACCAGAAAGGTTTAAATTTAGGAAGATTCCATTAGCATGGTATCTTAATATAATTATGTAAAGCAAGAACAGTGTCTAAAAACATGGCTAGGTATTGTCTTTCTAATCTTTTACCTGATGAGACCACATGGTGCTTTAGGTCAGAGCCTGATTTGCCTGACTGAAAATCTGTACAGATGCATAAGCCACAGCCACCTTTATCTCCTCCATCACTGGAGACAGAGCTAATGGACTCAGAGAAATACAGGGTGTGATTTCTATACTCTTGAAGTGATACTTTAAAAGATCATGATCTACTAGAAACTACGTTTCTGCAATGACTCCAAAGGGAGCTGAGGGAATGTGTCTCAACTGCTGACAACTCCAGTGTGAGTGTCTGAAGAGAAGAAAGGAGGGCTTTGCTCTGGGACATTACCCCTCTCATCTCCACCCTTGGATCAGCTGTACTTAACTATTCTTGTCAGTTTATAGCCTTAGCCTTGACTAAAGAACAGCATCCAAGGTGCACCACCCCACAAAAAGAGGAAGATACAATTCAGATCCAGTTCCCCCTTGTGACTAACTCATACACGCAACATCCCTCTAGATCCTCATCAGCTTTGTCATGCCAGTGAGCAGTGGAGAAGACCTAGGGCTCTAATATGCCCCAGCTACTGTGGGAGGAGGAAGAGCAGCACGATGAGAGTGGAGAGCAGATGCCAGGAGAAGCACTTGTCACAGGCATCCTTGACACCCTGAGTGGCCAGCAAAGGGTAGAAAACGGGTTTTTGGAGCAGAAGAACTTTGCTGGCCTATGGTGGGGCAGCCACAGCAGCTATAACAGCAATTCAAGCCTTGAGGTTGTAACAGTTTTAGAAGGAGTTTGTACTTCACCTCTACTCTACCATGGGAGAAGCATAGCTGTTGGGTTGAGAAATGACCTGTGTAATGTTCTCAGCTTACCTTTCACCTGTACTTTGAATTCTTGCTTGTCACTCTTTGCCTGACATGTGTATATGGCAGTGTCTGTGCTCTCAGCCAGGTTCACTGTCAGGGTCCTGGATGCACCCTCACTCTTGATCTCATATTTCTTGTTTGCCTTGATTTCTGTTCCATCCTTGAACCACCTTACTGCAGCAGTTTCAGGAGTAATTGAAGTAGTCAGTGTGATATTTTCATGTTCTTGAACAATGAGAGGCTCTTTCTGGACAACTTTATTTTCAAATTTAGCCTCTGGTTCTAGAAAAGTCATTAAAATAGGAAAATGAACAACTTAAGGATTTGAGCATTAACACAGCATTTTCTATTACTCTCTTTTCCTGACTCATAACATCAGCTCACCCATAATTCGTGATAACCCAGGGAATATGGCTGGGTATTTGTGGCTAGTATAATAATTTGCTGAGGGGGAAGAAAGAAAATAATCTGTCAAGCAAACAAAAGCTTCTGCTTAGAAAAGAAGCAAAGGAAAGGAAATGCAAATATACATTTTATCTACTGCCCCAAAAATACTTGCTTCTCAGACATAAGATGACCTGTATAATTCTTTCCTCTTCCATTTTTAGGATTTTAGATCAAATGAAAAAGAAATATTAATGTGCTAACTTTGAATTTATGGCCTGTTTTCTTTTCTGTTTTCTCTACTGTCTTTCTCTTTGCTTCTTCTTTATCTTGTACAATACTTGGCCACAAAACCAGACAGTTTTGGGGTACACACAAGCAGCACACCAGCTTTACTTACTCACCTTTCTCACATCTCAATTGCTGCTCTTCAAGATTTCTTACTCATACTTTCAACTCCCCACCACTGTAAAAAGTTGGGCAACAGGGTGTATGAAGGAGGTAAGCAGAAACCTACATAGCATTTCCATAGCCAAAACCAGTAGATTAAAAAGCACGAATTAATGTGTGATGGGGTTCACTGGTGTTGCTTCAAGGAAAATGGTGGTTGTACTATGGCCGCTGGGTAGGGAATATCCAGCTTTCTTCTAAGCCATACAGATTTCTTCTTAGAGCCTCAAAGTGAATACTCACCAGTTGGTTCCACCTTGAAAGTCAGCCGCTGGCCTGCAGCCTCACAGATGTATTCTCCAGCATCTTTCTTCTCCAGCTGCCCTATGACAAGGCGCCGGGTTTTACCGACAGATTCTATTTTGAATTTCCTGGAGGTTATGAGCAGTTTTCCATCCTTGAACCATTTCACTTCAGTTGCATCCTGTGCTACCTCACAGCTGAGGGTGGCACTTTCTGTCAGGACAGCATTAACCTCCTTCTGGACTTGTTCCTGGTTTATAAATGCAGGTTTGGGCTCTGAATGTAGAAAGGAAGAAAATATTGACTAAGGAATTCAAATGAGATCAATCTTACAGATTTCTGTACACAGGCTTGGAAAATATTTAGATTGCCACTTGCCAAAACTAACTGCCTTCACTGGGCAATATTTACCCTCCTGTGAAAATAGGGAAGAGTCAAGGAAGGCAAGGAACCAAAAGGGTCCTTGACATCAACACAGAACTATTGGCTTCTGGAACAGATTCTTCATGGTCTTTTCCACTGTCACAATGTGACTGTCAAAACAACAAAGGAAATATTATCTCCCTGCAAGTGCTCAGGTAGGTTTCAGGATCACGGCTGGCAAGGTAACCAAGACTGTTGCAACATCAAAACTCCTTTTAGTATCGCATACTAGAAACAGTTTGGGCACCTTGTGAATACTGTTCCAAAGCACAATTGCTGAGAATCTTTCATGACAAAGGGATATTTAGCACCTGGCAGAAATACTAGGGCATCTCAGAAGGCTGAGACCTCAAACAGACAACAGCCCAAATTCGTAAAAAGTGCTGAGTTTTCAACCCATCTCAAGGCATGCTGCTGCCGAAACTGCAAATGACAAAACACATTCCAGCCTCTCAGATTTAAGAAATGGGATGAGCAGTCTAACAGGAAAATGATTTTTTGAATGGCTGTTTCCTTTTAAGAAGTTCAGTGCATAAGAATAACCCTTTGGGATTCCAGAAATGGGAGAAATATGAATAATATATTGATTATTATTTCTATTATATTTATCTGTGGCTATTATTATAAACAGAGAATGACATAGGCCTTTGTGTCATGTTAAATCCAAATATTCCCACTTCTAGAAATCCAGGCAATAAGGTACAGAAAATCAGATGATGTCTCAGCTCTACAGTCTGAAACAAGGCCCTGATTATTCCAAATGATTATTCCAACTCTATAATCTTCTTCTGTAATTCAGACACAGTGTGTCTCACCTGTGACACTGATCTTGAAGGTCAGTTTCTGGCCAGCAGCCTCACAGCTGTACTCCCCAGCATCTTTCTTCTCCAGCTGACCCACCACCAAGCGACGCAATTTGCCCTCTGACTCCACCTTGAACTTCTTGCTGGACGTGATCAGCTTCCCCTCCTTGTACCACTTCACATCAGTCTTCTCCTGAGCCACCTCACAGCTCAGCATAGCGTTTTCTGATAGCGCAGCTTTCACCTCTTTCTGCACCTTCTCCTTGTTTGTAAATACAACTTCTGGCTCTGAAAAGAGAGAGAAAATCAGTGTCTCCAAGATATGATGTTGCCTAATCCCCTTATTGTGGCTTACAGGTAACACTGGAAACCAAGCCTGCGATTTGACAATGAACATCCAAAGCTACTGGAAGAACATGCGAACCATTTTGTGCTGGGGGTTGACTGATTAATTTTTTTAAAGCCTTTTGTTGCTTTGTCACAAATCACACAAAGATTAGTATATAAACATCAGTTAGCTAGAAGATCATCTGCATGGTTCATAGGAGCATTGTATGGCAGGATCTAGTCATGACAGGAAAAGTTTTGGTTGAAGGTGAATGTAGTATAACATAGTTTTAGAGGCAAGAGCTCCTATGCTGTCTCACAGAACTGTATCGTTTGCTTCTTTGGTTCTCAATAGCTGCCTCTGTTGTCTCTCAGGTCATTTTGTTAAATGAGAAGGGTGCTAGACCAGGACTGACATGTTCAGGACTATGTTAATACTCCTTACTGTGACCTTGAAAAAAGCTCAGCTCATGTTACACCCAAATGTTGAAATTCCTTTTGTTCTCTAGAAGACATATTAGTCATCCAACTTAAAAGAGGATCGGGAGGTAGAGAGGGAATTAGGAAGCTGAATCCATACTACCACTCTACAGCCCCAGTAGGGTTATGCACCTGGAATGAGTTTCCACAACAAATTCTTTCCCTAATTGCCATTTCCCCGATGCCTTAAAGAACTTAACATGTATCAAGTCTTATTGCCACATCTTTCCCTCAGGCTAAGAGAAAGAAAAGCAGTACAGACATTGAGCAGATACGTAATCACTCTTCACCATGAACCTGATCTAAAATGCACTGAGAATCAGCTGCAGTGCAGGTTTGTTCTCATTGCACCAACATGTGAAGATGGGGATGTGCAGTAAGCGAGTCCTTTTTCATAGCCCTTTTCCTACAGTGATGAGCAGCTCCCAAGAATGCAGCTCCCTGTTTAAACGTCTTACACAGTTTTACATACACACATGCATACATATATATAAAGAGAACTGTATTTGTAACTATTTGACTGATTTCCACATTATAGCTAGGCCATCCAATGATGGTCTCCAAAAATATGAACAGTAAAAGGAAAAAAACTCATGAAATAATACTAATTTTTCTAAATATCCTAGAAATGGGAATGATGGGCCAAAGAATCTCCTCTCACCGGTGACATCGATCTTGAAGGTCAGTTTCTGGCCAGCAGCCTCACAAGTGTACTCCCCAGCATCTTTCTTCTCCAGCTGACCCACCACCAAGCGACGCAGTTTGCCCTCTGACTCCACCTTGAACTTCTTGCTAGAGGTGATCAGCTTCCCCTCCTTGTACCATTTCACATCAGTCTTCTCCTGGGCCACCTCGCAGCTCAGCGTGGCATTTTCTGATAGCGCAGCTTTCACCTCTTTCTTCAGTTTGTCTTTGTTGATAAACGCATCTTCTGCTTCTGTGGGGAGGGAGAAGGAATTTAAAAATCACAGGTTTGTTCAGGCTGTGCCTGAACACTCACAGTCAAATGCAAAATCCTGATTACAAGACTTTCCAGCAGCTCTGTCTCACCCACAGCTAAGATACACTCAGACAGGACACAATTCTCTCTACAGTCTAGAGCTGTGCCTCAGAATTTCTGAGGAAAATGAATCAACGCCCAGGAGTTAAGGTTCTTCCAACCCCCATGAATCCATAAGAAATCTGACTTTTTGTTCCTTAATGTAATGCACAAATAAACACCCAATCTCATCTGCCACAGGGACCCAGATGTAAGCCTTGCCTGCTCTAGGGACTTCTTGAGAATGATTCCAGATCTATTTTCCCACACATACAGGAGATGGCCATAAATCCTTATAAATCACAACAGCATATGTAAATTTGACTATATTGTCCTTACTGGGAAATCAGAAAACAACATGGACTGTTGAGTGGATGAAGACATCTAGCCATAGGCATCTGTGTGACAGTGGATGCACGCAAGCTGGCTGCCTGATCAACCTCAATACTTAACATCCAGTCTACATGGTTCCTGAAGCCCAGACAGTGGTTCAGTTTTGCCTGTTGTAAACGAAAGTAATGGACTGCTCTGTGATGAGAGCCAACATGTCCTCTCACCTGTGACACTGATCTTGAAGGTCAGTTTCTGGCCAGCAGCCTCACAGCTGTACTCCCCAGCATCTTTCTTCTCCAGCTGACCCACCATCAAGCGACGCAATTTGCCCTCTGAATCCACCTTGAACTTCTTGCTGGAGGTGATCAGCTTCCCCTCCTTGTACCATTTCACATCAGTCTTCTCCTGAGCCACCTCACAGCTCAGCGTGGCGTTTTCTGATAGCGCAGCTTTCACCTCTTTCTGCACCTTCTCCTTGTTTGTAAATACAACTTCTGGCTCTGAAAAGAGAGAGAAAATCAGAGTTTCTTTAAAACATGATGTTGCTCAATCCTCTTACCTTGACTTACACATAATACTACATATAAAGCTATTGGAAGAACGTTAAAACCATTTTGATGAGTGCTTTTTTGGGGGGAGGAGGAAGAGAAGGGGGTAAGTGGTTGTGGTTGGTTTTCAAAGCTTTTTTTTGTGTATTGTTTTGGTGAGTGCAGCCACTGGACTGACACACTACTACTCTCCACTGTGCCCCTGCCCTGCTCTGAAATTCACTGAAAATCACCTGCACTGAAGACTTGTTCTGGTTGCACCAGCATGTGGGGATTGAGAAGCGCAATCAACACATTCCTGTTCACGGTCTTGTTGCTTTAGAAATGCATAGCCCCTTAAGTTTAACCAGGATGGGTCCCCATCTTAAATATTTTATATTGTTTTACATAGAAGATACATAATATTTTTTTTTTTCTAAATATTCTAGAAGCAGGAAGGCCAGGCCAGGCAATTTTCTCCCACCTGTGACATCGATCTTGAAGGTCAATTTCTGGCCAGCAGCCTCACAGCTGTACTCCCCAGCATCTTTCTTCTCCAGCTGACCCACCACCAAGCGACGCAGTTTGCCCTCTGACTCCACCTTGAACTTCTTGCTAGAGGTGATCAGCTTCCCCTCCTTGTACCATTTCACATCAGTCTTCTCCTGGGCCACCTCGCAGCTCAGCGTGGCATTTTCTGATAGCGCAGCTTTCACCTCTTTCTTCAGTTTGTCTTTGTTGATAAACGCATCTTCTGCTTCTGTGGGGAGGGAGAAGGAATTTAAAAATCACAGGTTTGTTCAGGCTGTGCCTGAACACTCATAGTCAAATGCAAAATCCTGATTACAAGACTTTCCAGCAGCTCTGTCTCACCCACAGCTAAGATACACTCAGACAGGACACAATTCTCTCTACAGTCTAGAGCTGTGCCTCAGAATTTCTGAGGAAAATGAATCAACGCCCAGGAGTTAAGGTTCTTCCAACCCCCATGAATCCATAAGAAATCTGACTTTTTGTTCCTTAATGTAATGCACAAATAAACACCCAATCTCATCTGCCACAGGGACCCAGATGTAAGCCTTGCCTGCTCTAGGGACTTCTTGAGAATGATTCCAGATCTATTTTCCCACACATACAGGAGATGGCCATAAATCCTTATAAATCACAACAGCATATGTAAATTTGACTATATTGTCCTTACTGGGAAATCAGAAAACAACATGGACTGTTGAGTGGATGAAGACATCTAGCCATAGGCATCTGTGTGACAGTGGATGCACGCAAGCTGGCTGCCTGATCAACCTCAATACTTAACATCCAGTCTACATGGTTCCTGAAGCCCAGACAGTGGTTCAGTTTTGCCTGTTGTAAACGAAAGTAATGGACTGCTCTGTGATGAGAGCCAACATGTCCTCTCACCTGTGACACTGATCTTGAAGGTCAGTTTCTGGCCAGCAGCCTCACAGCTGTACTCCCCAGCATCTTTCTTCTCCAGCTGACCCACCATCAAGCGACGCAATTTGCCCTCTGAATCCACCTTGAACTTCTTGCTGGAGGTGATCAGCTTCCCCTCCTTGTACCATTTCACATCAGTCTTCTCCTGAGCCACCTCACAGCTCAGCGTGGCGTTTTCTGATAGCGCAGCTTTCACCTCTTTCTGCACCTTCTCCTTGTTTGTAAATACAACTTCTGGCTCTGAAAAGAGAGAGAAAATCAGAGTTTCTTTAAAACATGATGTTGCTCAATCCTCTTACCTTGACTTACACATAATACTACATATAAAGCTATTGGAAGAACGTTAAAACCATTTTGATGAGTGCTTTTTTGGGGGGAGGAGGAAGAGAAGGGGGTAAGTGGTTGTGGTTGGTTTTCAAAGCTTTTTTTTGTGTATTGTTTTGGTGAGTGCAGCCACTGGACTGACACACTACTACTCTCCACTGTGCCCCTGCCCTGCTCTGAAATTCACTGAAAATCACCTGCACTGAAGACTTGTTCTGGTTGCACCAGCATGTGGGGATTGAGAAGCGCAATCAACACATTCCTGTTCACGGTCTTGTTGCTTTAGAAATGCATAGCCCCTTAAGTTTAACCAGGATGGGTCCCCATCTTAAATATTTTATATTGTTTTACATAGAAGATACATAATATTTTTTTTTTTCTAAATATTCTAGAAGCAGGAAGGCCAGGCCAGGCAATTTTCTCCCACCTGTGACATCGATCTTGAAGGTCAATTTCTGGCCAGCAGCCTCACAGCTGTACTCCCCAGCATCTTTCTTCTCCAGCTGACCCACCACCAAGCGACGCAGTTTGCCCTCTGACTCCACCTTGAACTTCTTGCTAGAGGTGATCAGCTTCCCCTCCTTGTACCATTTCACATCAGTCTTCTCCTGGGCCACCTCGCAGCTCAGCGTGGCATTTTCTGATAGCGCAGCTTTCACCTCTTTCTTCAGTTTGTCTTTGTTGATAAACGCATCTTCTGCTTCTGTGGGGAGGGAGAAGGAATTTAAAAATCACAGGTTTGTTCAGGCTGTGCCTGAACACTCACAGTCAAATGCAAAATCCTGATTACAAGACTTTCCAGCAGCTCTGTCTCACCCACAGCTAAGATACACTCAGACAGGACACAATTCTCTCTACAGTCTAGAGCTGTGCCTCAGAATTTCTGAGGAAAATGAATCAACGCCCAGGAGTTAAGGTTCTTCCAACCCCCATGAATCCATAAGAAATCTGACTTTTTGTTCCTTAATGTAATGCACAAATAAACACCCAATCTCATCTGCCACAGGGACCCAGATGTAAGCCTTGCCTGCTCTAGGGACTTCTTGAGAATGATTCCAGATCTATTTTCCCACACATACAGGAGATGGCCATAAATCCTTATAAATCACAACAGCATATGTAAATTTGTCTATACTGTCCTTACTGGGAAATCAGAAATCACTACTTAACATCGAGGCTGCACAGCCCCTGAAGCCCAGACAGTGATTCAGTTTTGCCTGTTGTAAATGAAAATCATGGACCGCTCTGTGATGAGAGCAAACATGTCCTGTCACCTGTGACATCGATCTTGAAGGTCAGTTTCTGGCCAGCAGCCTCACAGCTGTACTCCCCAGCATCTTTCTTCTCCAGCTGACCCACCACCAGGCGACGCGATTTGCCTTCCGACTCCACCTTGAACTTCTTGGTGGATGTGATCAGCTTCCCCTCCTTGTACCATTTCACATCAGTCTTCTCCTGAGCCACCTCACAGCTCAGCGTGGCATTTTCTGATAATGCAGCTTTCACCTCTTTTTGTACCTTCTCCTTGTTGACAAATGCATCTTCTGCTTCTGAAACAGGGAAACATCAGGGAAAAAATATGTAAGATAAAAATCACTTGCAACAAGTAGATACTACATGTATTTTGTGTCAGCATTCTTGTAAGTAACATTGCTTTACAGTTTCTTTTATCACATGGAAGAACACACCCTCAAAACATAGTACATATAATTATCATACCTCTCTGACTAGTTTTTATGAACAGCTTGAGCACCTCATATTCTTATTTTTTATAATGAAGACAAAGATAAAAATCCCTCTGGTTTTTTTGGTGTTTCTACACCCCACATTTAGAAGTCGTTAAACATATCACAATTATGAGTTGCCATTTTCACTATCACATTATTTACAGGAATTTATATGTCCTATTTTGGATCAAGACTGGGTGTTGTTCAGAAAATATCTTCTAATTCAATCCCCCCAAATATAATAAGGGTTCCTCCATAATATGGAGAAATACTTGGGCTACATTGTACATAAAACATCCATATAAAATTTGAAGTATACTTTTCTTTCCTCAGAAACCTGATTTTTCAGAAAACTGGCCATAGGTAATCTTCTCTTAATACCGAACACAAGCAACAAGAATGAAGTGTTAAAAATCATGTTCTTCCACAGTACCACTTAGAACTTCCATCTCAACCAGTATAGTTGGCATCAAGAGGATATCTTGTGTAATTAATATTTAGTTAGGTATATGCATTGAAAAGATTCAGTTGTCACCTTGCTAAGTAAGACTGATAAATTGCATCTTTTAGCAATTACTATAATGGTTTTCCTTTTGGCGACAACTGGTGTGATCACTGTTAGTTTTTATATCAGTGTTCATTTGACATGTGGGAGGACAAACAGTCTCTAAATAAATTGTCTGCCATATTTTTTCCACTGATTTACTGCACAAGAAATATAAAATATTTTTGGTATGACTCTATGATGGATATCACACAGCAACAAGCATCCAGGAGTTAGCATAGGTGTCTATGCTGATTTAGTGTTGCATTTGATCACTGAAGTCCATGATGTCAGTGCTACAGAATCACAAATTCCAAAGATAAACTGACTACCAAGCGTATGGGGTTTCCATTGCCATTCAGTTGCAACGCAGTAATGAAAGATAGTTCATACATCCAGCTTCAGACATCTGGGTTACCTGGTTAACATGACCTGGAAGGCTCTTTGTTCTCCCTGATAGCCATGGTGAATCCCTTCCATAACCTGTTCTGCAGCCTTCCTACCCACAGTCACTCTGCAGCCTCCTAATGCCAGTATTTTCTCCTCCTTGATGACTTTCTCCTCTGCATATCATCTCTATCATGTCTGTACCCTGGCAGTAGCTGTCTGGGAGGGTAAGGAGTAGGTGTAAGTCCAGGTCAGGTTCCTACACTACTGATCATGGCACTACATGCAGTTCTGGGAGCCACATCATAGGCTTGCCATCAATAAAACACAGTCCCTGCAGAGATGTCCTGCAGGGAGCAAGCCAAAGCTGGAACACAATTTATATGCTTTAAATTTGAGCTTCTCTGCTTATATTGGCTGTAGAAAGGGTGTGAGGAGAGATTATTGTCATTAAGGTGTCATTAACTGGGCAGTGCACATGGCCTGTGCTGGCTGATGCAAAATTTCTCAAAGGCACTGTCGTGGTTTAAACCCAGTCAGGTAATTCGTTCGCTCACTTCCCCCCCTTTCTTGCCCTCCCCCTGCTCTCGGAGGGACGGAGAGGAGAATCAAAAGAATGCAACTCCCACGGGTTGAGATAAGAACAGTTTAGTAACTAAGGTATAACACAAATCACTACTGCTACCACCAATGATAATAATGATAAAGGAAATAACAAGGGAACAGAATACAACACCTCACCACCCGCTGACCGATAACTCGCCCCCCAAGCCCGACCAAGCTCCGACCGATACCTCCTCCAACCCCGCAGTCTCCCAGCCCTTCCGGCTAACTCCCAGTTACATCCTGGGCATGACGTGCTGTGGTATGGAATACCTCTTTGGTCAGTTTGGGTCAGGTGTCCTGTCTCTGCTTCCTCCCAGCTTCCCCTCCTCCCTGGCAGAGCATGAGGCTCACAAAGTCCTTGGCCAAACCAAAACATCCTTGTTATCAGCTCTGTTCCCGAGCTGAAAGTCAAAACACTGCACTGCACCAGCACCAAGAAGAAGAAAAAATGACTGCTACTGCTGAACCCAGGACAGGCACCTACCAGTCCACTGAAGATTAAGCAGCATTTTGGTATGTAAAAGGGCTTGAGCACACACCACGGTTTGTATTCAAAACTGGTTGCAAAAATATAAACATTTTAACTTCCATCAACAGCTTGGACACTAAATACGCAGAGGGCACTAAACAAGTTAAACTAGTCTGTTTGAATGGGGGCTGCATTTAAAATTTTATGTTAGCAGGGCAGGAATATGCCATAGGGGTTGCTTACTTGTCCTCTGCATTCTTGCCCTTTAATATAAACCATTTTCTTAGGGATAGGAAATATGACTAAAACTTTCAATAAGCTTATAAAGTGACTTACACTAGCCAGTAATTTGTCTTATAAACTTATTTTTAAGTGAAACAAGCTGTCAGTATGGATGACATTTCCAACTTCTGTTGAAACTGGTTAGTGAAGTTACACTGAAATTGAGGAAAGCCGTTTTCAGGACACAGAGCTTTTGCCAACTTCAAATCAGAATTTCACTGCATACCACGAGTATTGAAATAACAACATTTCAGGATCAGCTCTTGGTTACAAATCTAACCCTGTCCCAAGATGTTAAGCAACTGGTTCTTTTTGTATTAAGCAAAAAATCTATGGCCGCATTCCAGTATTAAACACTAAGCATCTAACCTTCAAGTGGTCCTCAAATATGGAAGGTTTTGTGCTACTAGTGGACCCCTGGAGTACAGGAACCCTGAAAAGCTTTCTGAGTGCGATGGTAACAGGATAAATTAAGACCCATAAAGCCACTGCACTTTGGGATAATCTGGTAAAATAAGGATTTCTGCAGCAAAAGAGCCAGACACTCAGAGTACTCATAATCCCTCCTGACTTTCACATCAGATCATTTTCCAGTGAGTGTGGGACTTGCATGTCATGTTACAGTTGTACACACGAGAAATACAGCAACGGTAGCTAGGCAAGCACTCTCCACTTACAACAGAGGGGAAGGTGTTACATTACCCTGCTCATCCATTTTGAAAAAGAATTGAAAACCTTTGGTTTCCGAGGCAGACAGCTAAGACTAGCCCTCAGGTAGAGGAATTTAGTGTAAAAGCACTAAATTTCTATAGTTTTTTTTTGACTACCCCTCTGCAGTAATGTATGAACTAGTTTCATCAGCTAAGCGTGAGCTTGTCGTTAACAGAAAAAAAACTGGTATAAGCCCATGTTACATTTTCTCTGAAAGATGCCTCTCAAATCTAGCCTTACCATAATCCATCCTTCACTGAAACTGGCAGTTCCCTGTGCCAAAAGCATGAGCTACAGAATTCATGATAAAGAGACAGTACCGCAACTCACATTCTCTGTATACCACTCAGAGTGGGGATTCATAACATCTGACGGTTTACAATATATGCTATGGGGAGAAGTAGAGCTTTTTGCTATAGCAGCAGTTGCACATTGCACATAAGAAATGGAAGGAGGAGGATGTCCCAAGGCAGTGGGAGAGCAGTATAGCTTTTACAAGGGGACAGCACTTGACCTATGCCCTGAAGCAGGGGCTTCAGGTCCACAGCAAGGCTGCAAACAGGAAAGTCAACAGACTCCCAACACAGTTGCTCTTCTACATAGCTGATAAAATGCCAGACCTCTGTCAGCATTGTGTGTTGTATGCTGTAAGAAAGCAGAGGAGAAAATAGATTGCCTGTTCTGATCTAACAGAGGCTAACAGAGAGGTATTTGGCTGCAAAGACAGTGAAGCATTATAAACACGAATAAAACAAAACCAAACCCTTTCCTATTATCCAGTTCAGAAATGATCACTCAGAATGTACCAGAGACATATATGGCTGCCTGGAGCCTGAGATAACATTTACTGAACCTCTTGCAAAACAAACTGAGACCAAAGAAATCTCTAGTGTGGTCAGAGTGAAAGAACAGCCACAATATTAAATTCTCAGACTCCAAATCATGTTTTTTATCATTGGGGAATGCAAATACAAATAAACACTCCTGGACTTGTGAATGGTCATTACAGGTGTAGAAATTGCAGTGAACAGTCATTACCTTTGGTTCAGCAGATGTGTGGTGCAGCTGACGCCAAATTTCAAGGATCATACACTAGTATCAACTCCAAAACATTCTCAATGCAGCCACAATAAATTAGGGGTCTTGTAAACAATACTGTTTAAGTAGTACTTGGTAGACAAGTATATTCACCACTACTCTTAGCCTTACAAACCACAACTGGGTATTCAAGGACAGATTAAAAAAAAAGGGAGAAGGAAAATCTGGGGGAAATGTTGTTAAATACAAATCGTAGTTCAAGTTGCATAGATCTGTATCCATTTCTGTTCATCATCCACAAAAGTTTCATGCTGCATGGAGTTACGAGGCTGTGCTCACACCTGTGTTTGCACAGCCAGACTGGAATAATTGAAGCAATTCTCTGTTTTGGGAAGTAGGACATTGTGTAGAGAAAAGATGAAACAAAAAGGGAAGAATACAATGACTTTCAAGGAAGAATAACAAGAGGAGGCATACCAATAGTGATAATCAGATTGGAAAATGTCCTGTAACACAGTACCCTCAAATGAAAAGTCTTCATTCCCTATCTGAGCCTAAGGAGATAAACAGTGAGTTGAGGAGCTGGTAACAGAATATCTGCATGTAGCCTCTGCCTGATCTACCTCTCTGAGAGGGTAGATGAGACCAACATCAGAAAGAATTTTAACATCATTTCTAATATTTTGACAGTGAAAAAAAAAAAAAAGGAGAAAACACCCAGACAGAAAGAAAAGACAATGAAATATCAACCAAAATACATCTCCCACCTATGACAGTGATCTTGAAGGTCAGTTTCTGACCAGCAGCCTCACAGCTGTACTCCCCAGCATCTTTCTTCTCCAGCTGACCCACCACCAAGCGACGCAGTTTGCCCTCTGACTCCACCTTGAACTTCTTGCTGGAGGTGATCAGCTTCCCCTCCTTGTACCATTTCACATCAGTCTTCTCCTGGGCCACCTCGCAGCTCAGCGTGGCATTTTCTGATAGCGCAGCTTTCACCTCTTTCTTCAGTTTGTCTTTGTTGATAAACGCATCTTCTGCTTCTGTGGGGTGGGAGAAGGAATTTAAAAATCACAGGTTTGTTCAGGCTGTCCAAAGTGCACAAAGCCAAATGCTATGCCACATTCCACAGCCCTGTCATTTTGGAATGGTCTCACCCACAGCTAAGATACAGTCAGACAGGACACAGTCTCTGCACCACCTGAGGACAACACATCAGCCATTTCTGAGGAAAATGAATCAATGCCCAGGAGTTCAGCTTCTCCCCTTCCCCACAAGAAATCTGACTCTGTTTCTTAATGCAATACACAAATAAACACCCAATTTCATCTGCTACACAGACCCAGATGTAAGCCTTGCCCACTCTAGGGATTTCTTGAGAATGATTCCAGATCTATTTTCCTACACATACAGGAGATGGCCATAAATCCTTATAAATCACAATAGAATATGTAAATTTGTCTATATTGTCCTTACTGGGAAATCAGAAAACAACATGAACTGCAGAGTGGGACTGACCTCACAGTTGAAAACATCTAGCCATAGGCATCTGTGTGACAGTGGATGCACGGAGGCTGGCTGCCTGATCAACCTCACTACTCAATCTGCTACACAGGCCCTGGAGTCTAGAGAGTGATTCATTTTTCTCTGTAGTAAATGAAAGTCATGGACTGCTCTGTGACGAGAGCCAACATGTCACCCACCTGTGACACTGATCTTGAAGGTCAGTTTCTGGCCAGCAGCCTCACAGCTGTACTCCCCAGCATCTTTCTTCTCCAGCTGACCCACCACCAGGCGACGCGATTTGCCTTCTGACTCCACCTTGAACTTCTTGCTGGATGTGATCAGCTTCCCCTCCTTGTACCATTTCACATCAGTCTTCTCCTGAGCCACCTCACAGCTCAGTGTGGCATTTTCTGATAGCGGAGCTTTCACCTCTTTTTGTACCTTGTCCGTGTTTGTAAACACGTCTTCTGTCTCTGTAAGAAACCCACAATAGCCACACATAGCTTTTTTGCAGTTGTCCTCTCAGTGCTTAGTCAAGTTCCCCATATTTCACTATACTTGTCCTGACAGGTAGCATCATGATGGCTCATCAAGAACAGAAAGCACCTTCATCTCTGTTTTGCTGATAGGAGGTGAACAGGTGTATGAGAATTCTGGGATAAAGTTAAAAATCTGTTTGAGCACAGGTTTGAACCTAGGACTTCCAGCACCTATACATAGTGCCTGAATCCTCCTCCATTTTCTCTCTTTTTCTCTTCCTATGTCTCTCTAAGCTTCCAGTGAATTAGAACACAACAGCCCTGATATCCTCATATGCAGGAACCATTGCTCTTTTTCTGCCTATTTGAGTCACTCAAATTCAGTCATTCTCCATCTAAACAGAGCTCTTCAAACACCTCTTTCCCTGGACTTCTGTTATGTCCTTACGCTGAGATCCTGCAGGTTTCCTGCAGACACACCAGCTAATTGTGAGGGGTGCAAAGGTTATCATTGTTGCCCACAATACTTTTGTGGTTACAACTAGTCATGGGTGCAAAAGTGTGTGTATAAAATGTTGATATGACAGTTGGTCTAAAAAGCAAGTTCTACAGCTGAAATATTTCATCACAAAGAGGTTGTGAGATGATCTTCTGATTGTAAGATACTACCCCAATGAATATTCATTTATCTTTGGCATTTCTATCATTTTCTCACCTCTGACTTTGACTTGGAATGTTGTTCTGTCATCCTTCGTTTCACAGGTATAGCTCCCTTGGTCTTGCTGTGTCACCTTCTTGATGATGAGCTTGCGGTGTGTCCCCTGGGAGACAACTGTTGTCCTCTGGTCCTGCTTCACTTCTCTTTGATCCTTCTTCCATACCACAACTCCACTTGCAGCGGACACCTCACATACCAGCTCAAGGTTGTCAGAAGAATTGACTGATATTTCTGGGGTTGTTTTGGGCTTGTTGACAAAATTAACAGTTTCATCTGGAAAGAAAAAGAGAAAGCTGAATTCAGGCTTATCAGCACATAGTTAAGATACAGTAATTACTGGTCATTATTTCATTGCTAGTCCCACTTGGGTGATCAAGTTTCACCTCTGGAGGTATAAATGTACTTACATGTGCATGATCCTACTGCAACATAACTAAGAGAGAGTGTTAACAGCTATGGCAATAAATGGTGTTGATGAGTCAGAAAAGTCCCTCCTGAGAAACAGCAGTGTTAGAAGTGATGAGGAGCCTTTAAATGTTTCTAAGCCCATTCCTGCAGCCCCATGTTCACAATATCAGTGCCACTGAACTAATTCTTCCCTAGCCTGGATCAGGGCACACATGGGATAATCTCATTGACATGATGTTCTCCAGCTTCAAGAGGACTAAGTTAATATATGAGCCAACAGTGTCACATCCTTTTGTTGAGACTGGTCTTCGCAGTAGAGAACTCACAACTGCTCACAGCTCGTATAGCTCAAGCAGAAGATGTTCCTGCTTTGACACCTCAGCTCAAGCTCTGCTGACTGCACAGACTGGTGGCCACACATATGAGCTGTGCACACACAGTGTGCACCATGTATGAAGCAGCAATACAGCATTTTTATCAATTCAGGTTTTTTGCAAGCATATTCATAGAGATAAAAGCAAAGGTAACTAAGTAAGTGGAGACAGGCACCTTGCATGTAAAATGTGAGCAAACCTATTCCACATACCTTGTCCCCTAAGCTAACGAGCAGTATTTGATGAGCATGTCAGGTTTTTCATACCCTTCATTCCATCAAGGCAGCCCTTGCCTGAAGAGCAAGCTAATGGCTGTCAGCTATAACCAACCTTAGCTTAGTATTGCATTTCTTTTAGCAGCAACTGTTGCTTTCAGTCACCGAGTATCTCAAGGACAATTGCTATACTACACCCATGCCAGGCCCATCTGTGGCATCAGAGAACAAATATCTCATTAAAAATGGTAAGCATTAGGACTGATCTATTCTTTAAAAAATGAGATGACCAAAGAAGGGAAGTCCATCCAGAATCCTGCTGTTCAAGATTATTGGGGTAACTCATCACCATAAAGACAGATTACTTCCCTGCCGTAAGACCCTCCCAGTGACTGTGCAGCTTTGCTTCTTATCTCTTGAAAATGTTTATGGTGGTGTGAAACAAGGTGGAAGTTGCCATAGCTAAGGTTTTGTTGACAGGTTGCAGCTTTATCCTTGTTCATCAGAAAGTTATTGGGGGCACACAGTGATAGCAGATACCAGTTTTCTTTGCCTGAGCCATGTAATGTTTTACCATAGGTGAGACTCACCTAACCTGCACATGGTCATCACAAAGTTAGGTATCCAGCCTCAAGTAACCATGCAGGCTTTCTCTGTATTTGATGTTCAGACAAAGGCAGGTCCAGAATGGGTTTTAAATCCATATTAGATAGCTCTCATTGGACAGTATAGATTAGATTACATAAATTTCTCTTTGCGGGGTCAGGTCAGACTGGTTGGCTCTTTTAGACCAGTTTTTCAACGGGTAAAGTCAGGAACTATGAATTACACTCAAAGTGAAATTGCATAATGCTGGATTATTAACCAAAGAGAACTGGAAATGAGATGCAGAGTGAATACCTGAGGCTTGCGACATTAACCCACTTTTAGAAATAAGGTTCCCACCAGGCTATGCAAATTGAATCAGTTGAATTTCTCAGATACAGAATTTCACAGATAAATTCTTGTGTCATTTGATACTCTGGCTCCATCCTGGATTGGAACGCATCAGTGACAAACATTTCTCTCTAGGCTTGACCTGACAGCCACATGCTTTAACACGTGCTTCATGCTGATGGGCATGTGCCATGAACTAGCAGCTTCACTTACAGTACCACAGGGAGATGTCGCAGAGATCATGACAGTGTCCTTTGGGAACAGCTGGAGACACTTAACTCTCAGAATCAGGAGTTAAACTTGTCAAAGGAGCATTTTCACAGATTTTAGGACTACATCAGGCAGGAGGTTCAAAGTTGATATACACTTTGAGCTAAAATAATAAAGGCCAAATGTGGCTTTCAGCCTGTTCAACCAGTGTGGTGGTTGAGTCATGACTCCTGACATAGTAAAGCTTCTGCTGATTTGAATACATAACTGTGTCATTAAATTATGTGCCCATATCATGAATTTGCATATGGACCACACTAAGGGTCAGCCTCTGAAATAGAGCTGTGCAATATTGGCCCCAAAATCTGGCAATTTACAAGGTAAGACAAGTATAATGATCAAAGTCCTGAGTTTCTAACATAGACTCAGATCCCATACTTGCATCACAGACTTACCTGAGACTTTTAAATCAAAAGTAAGAGTGTCATCTCCAATTTTGCATGTATATGTTCCTTCATCTTCTTTCGTCACGGCTGATGCCACAAGCTTGTGCAGTTTTCCTTTATCTTCCAAAGTGAATTTCTTGCCGGCTGTAATTTCTTTGCCATTTTTGTACCACTTAACCATGACGTTGGGCTCAGAGGTCTCGGAAACCAATTCAACCTGTTTTCCAGTGATGGCCCTGATAACTCCTCCACTTTTTTCTTTGTTTATGAAGTTTGCAAGTGCTAAAACAAAATATAGATGCATACTGCTGGTAAATAATTGGGGGGGGACATTAGTAAATATGTACACTTACATATACATTAGGTATTAATTTATCATAAGACCAAATGTGCATGTTTAATTATGGATCCAATTGCTAGATTCTAATTAAGAGCAGCCTTTATAAACCATATATCTGATTATCACATGTCCAAAAACCATAGCACATAGACAACTAGAGGTTGCGTGAAGTGGCAATGAAGCTCTAAGCAAAAAGGCTTAAAGAAAATATCGGAAAGGTGAGGAAAGAAGTGAAACAAGCAGACTGGACGGAAAGCAATAAAACTTTTTCAGTCATTGTATTGTAACCACCTGGCAAAGAAATTGACTCTAAAAGAAGCTAAAATGTAATCTAGATATATTAAATTAAAAATCTATGCAGATATCACATAGGGCTGAAATGAAAAGCAATTTCTTCCTGGAAATTAACTGGAGCAAAGATAAACAATAAATCTGGCACCATACTAACATGTAGTGAAATAATCAAGCCACCAATTGCCTCAAAGCACAGATTGAAAAACCCACCAATATCCTAGCTAAAAACATCTTTTCTATGTGACTCCTTGTAAAAGGGGAGTCTCCATCTTCTTTGTAGCCACCTTTTAAATACAGGAATGTGATGATAAGGCTTCTCCTAAGCCTTCCTTTCCATAGGCTGAACAAACCCAGCTCTCTTGGCCTTTCCTCATACGGCTACCCAGTCCTTGGATCATCTCTGCGAGTCTTCTATGAACCCTCTTCAGTCTTTCCACATCTTTTTTGCATAGTGAGGACCAAAACTGAGCACAGTATTCCAGGTGTGTACTGACAAGTGCCTAGTAGAGTGCCGCTCCATTAGCATTACTACAACTTAGACTACAGGTTAAAAGTTTGGGGATGAAGAAGAGGGTGATAGGTTCATTCATGCACCTTTCACTTCCTCAGAAAAATAGAGAGAAAAATACAACTACAGAAGCCTGAAGGAGCCATCTCAGATGTCTTGTTTTAATGCAGGAGGTCATGTGTTGGGGGATGCCTGGCATGTGAAGCCTCATGGCAGTGGAGGGACCGCAGTGATAAATGGCAAGTACAATTTCTAGCGGGGCTCATTTGGGCAGGGGGCCCAGGGAGTGACACACCTCTGGCCATGGCTTGGCACGGTGGCCTCTCGGCAGCCACATGATGCTCATGAGCCAGACACAGCTGACCTCATCAAATGATTCACCAGCTAGCTGTGTCTGATTTACAGGAGGTACAGATAAAAAGGTGGCAATGCTGAAATGCAAAATAGTGGAACAGCATTTGTGAGCCTCATCCTGCAAGGGTGAGAAGCATCAAAGCTGATTCTCCAGGAATCAAGCTACAAACAGCAGTTGTTTAAGTTACAGCTTGTCAACACATATTTTAAAATGATAGCATTGATTACTCATTTTATGATCACATTACAGTGAAAAGTACATGGAAATGTCCAACCGCTAATTCAATTAAATCTGTGCGTAGACCCACCAGCATGAAAAAATGATGCTAAAGAGGCAGAAAGAAGAAAACCAAAATGAAGAGCAGCTGCCAAGTGTAGACAGCACTTCCTCCATGGATTTAGTCACACTTTTTAATTATTTTTTTCAGCTCTTTTGAGTTTGCTTTCTGAGAATAACCAAGTAAGTTGTCAAATGTAAAACACACAGATTATTCTGAGGCTTTGTTGTTTCCACAGAGGCCAAGGGGGGCAAGAAGCCAGCAGAATACAATGATGAAGCACCTCATGCTTACTCAGTATATAAACAGTGTGATCATTGATGGGAAGAGGGTGAGGTATGGTATGGAACACAGAAATCAAACAGCTTTCCAAAGTGAACTTGCCAATTCAAGGCAAAATCACTACAGATCTCACCCCAAATGATGTCTGGCAACAGGCTAGACTGACCTGAAGTCAGGTTGTACACTGCAAACCTCAGCCAATATCCAGATGATACCCATGAGGAAGGGTCTAAAGACACACTAGAGCTTTTAAGCCAAAATCTGTTCCCATTCAAGGCAGACAAAACTTGTACGAGCTAGTTCACAAAAGCTTGCACAGATGGGAAGGCTTGTAAGAGGGAAGCTTAATGCTGTGGTTTCGGGGTAAAAAGGTTCAAAACTCCATGTTTTGCTCTGGGAGTGAAGTGCCCATGAGATAGATAGCAGGCAATCTGGATGGAAGTGATTGTCATGAAAGCAAAAACAGCTGAACAACAGGGCAGCTGCAAAAACAGCACTGGTTCAAATCTAATAAGCAGAAAACACTAAAATAAAATTATATTTTGCTATTTATACAGCCTTCCATCTGAACACCTTGCACATAACAATCATAGAATTCTTTAATTGTTTGGATTGGAAAGGACCTTAAAGCTCATCCAGTTCCACCCCCCTGCCCTGTCCAACCTGGCCTTGAACACTGCCAGGGATAGGGCAGCCACAGCTTCTCTGGGCAACCTGTGCCAGGGCCTCACCACCCTCACAGGGAAGAACTTTTTGCTCAGATCTCATCTCAATCTGGAAAGGTATTTACCACAAAACCAAACAGACAAAAATCAAACAAATAACAAAAAAAAAAAAAAAAGTCCCGCAATGCCAAGATGATCTTGGTCCATCAGAACTTTAATCAGAGCTGAACTAGCTCTTTAGTGACCTGATATCATGTAGCAAGTATAGGACAGACATGGTATAATGTACATCCTACCCCTCCAGCTGAATTTCTTCACCACAAGAGCACCTTTTCACTACCCAGCACTCAACCTCAAGAAGTGACTCCGAATTTCACATGGGATATCGAGACACCAATTCTTGTGAACACACAGCTCTTATCACTGAGCCAGTATGAGATCTTGCATTCACTCTCAAGTTCCACTCTGGGATGACAGACACTGTCAAGGCTAGATGTCCAAGGGAGTTATCACAACTCCGTGCACTACTTGTTGATCATTCCATTTCTGTCCCTTGATGAGTATCAGCCTAGGGTAGGAAGAGGCCATTAAAGCAAAGCAGCCCTGACAGTCACGTACCTTCCACTGAAAGCCGATAGAGCATTTTGTCCCCTTCACAGATACACTCGTAAACTCCAGCATCCTCTGTTGCAGCGTTGCGAATTTTCAGGATGTGCTTCTTCCCCACAGTTTGGAGTTCATATTTTTCACTGGCCTTAAGCTCTTTGCCATCCTTCATCCACTTCACAGTAGCGTCTGTGTCTGAAAGCTCAGCCTGAAGTTTGGCTTCCTCCCGCAGCCGAGCAGAGACCTTTTCTACGTCTCTGCTCTTGTTGGTAAATCTCACTGCAGCAGCTGTCAGGAAAAAAGGCTTTGTTATTTCAAGTTGTTTTCAGATAACACCCCTGATACAAATCTGCTATAGGCTGTGATATCTCTGAAAAAGCATTAGGTCCTGTTCCTGCCCTCAAGCCCGTGTCAATACTGAGAATTTTTTTCTGGTTCAGGATATTTGATCTGGATTTATTGGCAGAGTCATTAAGGGAAAAAAATGCACACCTTTCTGCTGAATAATAATACTCTAAACATGCTTCCGCAGGGATTTTCACACAAAGTCAAATAAATCCTTCCACAAGGAATGACTATTCACTACCTTTTGCCATGCAATGTAGGCACATACAAATGTTATTATCATTCCATAGAGGACAGCTGAAGCACCCAACTCTCAATGCTAAGTCAAGTTACATTATGATAACTTGTACATCACATACATCTGTGGTAGACTGAAAAACCTCCAAGGAAAAAGAAATCTATTAGTAATTAATACTGCTTTACTTTTGAAAGACTTTACTACAGTCAGAAAGCCTAGCCAAACCTGGAGCTGAAATTACTGACTTAAAGTGACTCAGTGATAGATCTGGTGACAGAATGCACTGACTGATGGCTGCAAACTACAGAAATTCATGAGCTGATGTTAGGCAGTCCAGTTCAGATACAAACCAGCTGGCTAGATCGACTCGTTTTGAAATCAGTACTATCATGGTTCATACTATGACCCACATTAATTCACATGGTGCAATTTCAGACACATCATACAGACCAGGCATCTGTGAAAGCCTCTGCCCCAGACGTAATCATCAGGTCACAGGAAATGCCCTTTCACAGGAAGAAATAAGGACAATTGATGATATGCATACCTTTCACTCTCATCTTGGTGCTGGTGTTAATGTTATTGGCAACAAATTTCACTTCTGCTCCATCATCATTCTTGGTAACATTTTTTATGATTAAGGTGTGAGTAGTTTGGGTTCTCTTAATGATGTAGGTCTCACTTTCCTGTAAGACTTTACCATTAAGGTACCAAGTGCCGGAACATGTTGTTGTAAGGTCAAGAGTAAACACAGCATCTCCTCCAGGTACAACTTCCACAGTTGTCAGGGGTGTTTTCACAGCTGGGACTGGTTCTAGGGAAGAACAACACATATCTCTGAGGCCAAAGGACACAAGTTCTCTGTGTAAACCAGACAGAAAATAAAGTTGCACAGTCTTAGACTATCTCTATGCACTGAAGGCAATACACAGTTGGTCAGCAGGGTTTGATTTCTACAATTGCAAGTAGCTGACCTCTGGTAAGGTAAGGCCAGTTTCTGCAGGGAAAGAACAGGCATATATTACTTATTTTTCTCTAAGATATTTAAAGGCATAACAAGCCTGAAACACATTGGTTCCCGACAAGTATGCTATTTATACAACTACTATTATTCTTAGATTACAGAAAGAGCCTAAGGAGGTCACTCAGCCTACTAGTCAATTCTAGATATTATAGGAAAACACAGGCATCCTCAGACAGGTAGGGAAAAGGGTGGCAGTAACAACACACAACATCTGTGCAAAGTCTGTGTGGATATTGTCTAGTGCGATGAACCAAAGACAGAAGCAATCCTGTTGTACACAGTGATTCTCTGGAGGAGAGAAGGCTCTTAACCTTAACACAGCTTCCAGTGCCTAAAGGGGCCAAGAAAGCTGGAGAGCGACTTTTTACAAGGGACAGGACAAGGGAAAATGGCTTTAAACTGACAGAGGGAGATTTAGATGAGATGTGAGGAAGAAGTTCTTCCCTGTGAGGGTGGTGAGGCCCTGGCACAGGTTGCCCAGAGAAGCTGCGGTTGCCTCATCCCTGGCAGTGTTTGAGGCCAGGTTGGATGGGGCTTGGACCAACCTGGTCTGGTGGAAGGTGTCCCTGCCCATGGCAGGGGGTTGGAACTGGATGATTTTTTTAAGGTTCCTTCCAACTCAAACCATTCTGTGATTCTATAATGGTTTTATGCTTACCAAGGTGCATGCTCCCTGGGAACTCCAAGTAGGGGCTCTGTCCATAGGCGTTGACTGCAGACACTCTGAACTGATAGTCAGCCTCTTCCAACAGGTTGCTTACAGTATACTCTGAGACAGTGACATGAGACTCATGGCACATCACCCAGGTTAAGCCACTTAGTTTCTTGCATTCCACGATGTAGCCATCAACTGGAATGGGTCGGTCCATCTTCGGAGGGGACCATACTAGCGTCACTGAGGTTTCTGTTTTATTTTTCACTACAGGGTCAGATGGGGGTTGGGTGGGAGGTTTTTTGGGAGCTGCACGAGGAAAAATGGAGCAAGAAGTTTATGTCAGAATGGAAAAGCCACTGTGCCTCACCTAAAATGCTTACACTGGACTAAAAGTTATTCTTGCTTAATAAACCTCCATAAAACACTGATGTGAGATGGAAAAGCAACAGAATGGACAGAAGATGTATTTAGGCTACATTACACAAAGATATACAATAGCCCTACCTCTACAGCTAAACATACATGATTTCCATATAATATTACAATTGTCTGCACAAAGCATCTACAATGAATGATTCGCAGGCAAAAATGTTCAGGGCTAGACACAGAGCCACACTGCTTCCTGTACAGCTCCTGGGCAAAGCAGGCTATTACTCAGCTGGTTATTTTCACTCAGAGGGTGGGTAAAACCACCCAAAAGCTGTTCAAAATTCTGTGCACCAAATTCCTAGTCCACCTCCCTGGTGTGAATTCAGACTAAAAGAAATAGAATTAAAATACCTCAGTGGGATTTCACTGGCAAGGTGACAGAGTTTTGCCATGCTTACTAGACATTGTTGTACAGGGATAGTGGCACTAATATTCTAAGTCTGTTGGTATTTATCTTCTGTCAGATTTTCAACCTTACACATCCCCAAAAGTCAGGAATGTAGATGTGCCTGTGAGAGCCAATGCAAGGCAGGGCACCACCGCATCCAGGAAGAGTGTGGCAATATTTTGCCATGCTTTGCACACAGCTGTGGCATCCTGTGCAGCAGTGGGAATCCATTCCATGAAAGCAGCCTGTGCCATTTCTTCTGGAGTACCTGTTCCAAACATACACTAAAACATTTCAGCCTAGGTCCTCAACAGGTTTCCACACAGAGCAGCTAAACGTCGTAAAACTGGGACATTTCAGAGATGAAAGAAAGATAGATGTGAATAAGCAGTGCATGGGGTTTAGAGTTATGGAGACCTCAGCTGCTTGTTACACAGGCTTGGCAGTTCTCTGTGGCCACTTTCATCTGGGTATCTGTCCTCTGTCCTGCTTCTGAATTTTATGTTATCTCCCCCTTAGAAGGTGCGTTGTAACTTTGCCTCCTAAGAGCGATAGCTTTCACTGGGGATCTCTGTTTTAGTAATTTATGCAGAGCCAACTTTGGGCACTGAGCAATTAACTTTAAAAAGAAATTACATAAAATCTTGTCTCCACTGCAACACCTTACCATTGAGGAGATGTGGCTGTTTTATGGTACCTGAGGTGACAAATGTATCCTCGCAGGTATTTGCAAAATGAAGATTTATATTCACCCTCTCATTCCTCCTGAACCCTTTAGAGGAGGCTCAAGTCCCATGAGGGTTATTCACTGAGTGCTGCCACTGATACAGTCAAGAGGCCAGGAATTATCTGATACGCTCTAGTTACACATCTACTGACGTGCTAAAGGATTTATTTCATTTAATTATGGCTGTCTCAAAGGTGTTCAGTTTAAGGCATTCAACCAGACGTCAGCTGTAATCCCACAGAGAACAGCATGCTCAGGAGCAATTCATTGCAACTTAAAGAAGGTGTGCAAGGTGGCTGAAACAAATTGCACATTACAGATACTCAAGTATTCATGACTACAGAGGGAGCCTGTATGATGAGCCTACACTAAAAACTGAATTTAGAGATAACTGATACTCTCTTTGCTTCAGCTTACCCATCTTTAAGAAGGCCATAGTAACAATGCAACGAAGCAAGTAATATATAAATATTTATTGCCTGATAAATCCTATTAGAACAGCCAACACCAATCTTGTCCAGCTAATTGAAAAAAATGTGAACATAGTATACAGGGGTCTTCAAGCAGCTAATCAATCAAGTATGCATGAAGTGTAAAAATAGAAAATCTCAATGTGGTACACTTTTATTTCATTACATAGTCACCTAAGTGTTTTGGGGTGCACAGTTACCAGGCTGTCAGTTACTGTTGGTCAGAGCTAGATGCCAAAGGTCCTATTAGCATCTCATTAAGCTGAAAACTAGACCCTGGAATCAGATGTCTTGACCTTACCATGAGAAAGGTAATGTAATATTTTTGAGAGAAATCTGTTTGTGGGAAGACAGCTTCTTACCTCTTTCTATTCCATGAATCAATACTGTCCTTCACAGCTTAAACAGCAGAATCCAAAATCAAACTGAACTTTGTCGTTCCTAATTAATAACTGCTTGGTTGGACATTATAGCTTTCCAAACACCTTAAAAACTGCCACAGTGCTAAATGTGACACTTAACCATTTTTTTTTTCCTCTTTTTAGCTCAATAGGATCAGAATGGCCCATCCAATTTTAGGTAACACAGCAGATATAAACCTTTAATTAAGTATTTCTTTTTACCACTGACTAATTGCAGTTTGGAGGTGGTAGTAGGAGAAAGTATTATTCTTCCCAATTAGTGACTACAATGGATGATTTGTCCACATGCAAACCAGAACTTGAGCAGAGCCAGAAATCACGTGTAGTTCTCCATCTTAAAATTAAGTAGTTTCTGCCTGGGAAATGCAGCACCATAAAAATAAAGTTAATAAAATTAGCCAACTTAACAGAAACTTCATTTCAGATCTGATCTCAACTAAATTGCACCTGCTCAGGTCAGGTGTGCGAACTGAAGTAATTCTCCAGCCTGTATGTTATAGAATAACATGTAATAAAGCTAAACAGGACAAAGATTCTTTTTTTCAGCATAGTTACCATAAATTCACAGGGTCCTCCCAACTTTTTCATATTAAAGAGAAGATGAGAGAGGACATATGTTTGCTGGTCTCCACAAAAGGAAGGAAACTCTATTTTCAGTAAGAAGCATTATTCCCCCTTTTTCTTGCAGTTTTGGTTTGGTTTTTATATATATATATATGTATAAACTTTAATAAAAACTTTAAGAAGCTAAAATCAAAACAAGATGTTTCAAGTTCAGTAGACATCTGACTGCCCAAAACGCTTCATCTGCATGTGTGTAGATGTTCCTCCCCAAATCTTTTTCCTTGCTAGACTGGTAATAAGCTTCATATTCTGACAAAAGTATTTAGGGCACCTATGTACTTTCCTGTAAGATCCAGCACACCTGCGAGTTACCCTCATGTTTCTGTTGACTCAAGACCTGGGGAAGGAATTGAATGTTGACTGACTGTCCCCTCCAAATCCTCAGTGAAGAGAGGGAAAGATAAGTGGGCCCTATTTGATAGAAGAGGTATTATCCCAATAGCAAGAATTGATAAGTGCTCCACAAAGAAACTAATGATTTTGGAAAATGACAGCATGTACATTGAGCACTTGCAGTGCTCTGCATACAATGAAGCAAAGCAACTGGAATGTCTGCAGCTTACACATTGGGGTTTTTAAGCACCTCCTGGTGGGGAGAAGGCACGTGTCTCTTACCCCATGCTCTACTCTGTTATCATTTTATGTTCATTCCAGCATGAAATAAGAATGACGCAGAGAAGGTACATGTTTGTGCTATGCTCTTCCCCCCTCTTTCTCTCTCTGTTTTGATCTCTCCATCACATCTCATAACACTCATGAGCAGGCTGTTGGCTTTATGCAGCAGACATCAAACCTTCTGCTGTATTTGGCCAACAAACTCACCATGGCAATACCTGAAACAACAGTACTACCATGGGAATATGTGCCTGCTGGGGAAAGAACAGCACCAAGGCCAAATAAAAGTGAAGCTTACTGGTCACAGTGAACTGGGTAGAAGTCCTGCTTTCATCAGCCAGGAAGACAATTTCACCAGCATCTTCCATCTTACACTCTCGGATGATCATGGTATGTTGCTTGCCAGAGCGTGTGATGGAGATTCGATCACTGGATTTCACTTCTTCTTTATTTTTCAGCCATCGAATATTCTGGCAGTCATTGTCCAGCTCCACGCAGAAGATGGCTGTATCATTTAAGAAGACCGCAGTCTTTCGTGGAAGTTTCTTAATGATGTTCCCTTTAAATAAGAAAGTCATTACGATCAGCAAATAGTAGACATTGAAGTCTCTGGCAACAGACTGCAACAGGACTGGTCAAACAGCTCTCACCTAATCAAAACATTGTAGACACTATGCAGACACCCCTGAATGAATTCCTAGGCTCTGAGTTGTACAGAACAGATAATCCCCAAGACTCATTTTGGCCTTCAAAGAGAGAAAAGCCATCTTGTTTGACTACAGTCGCTCATGTTTCTAGCCTACTATGTGGAGTCTGCTGTTGGGCAAACACCAGATATGTAGCCTTGCCAAGAACAGATTTGACAGGGATACAACTTTCATTACTCACATATGCTGGGAATTCAAATTAAAACATTGCTGAAGTGGGTCAGTCTTAAACTTGACAGATGTCTCATCTGTCTTTGGTATTTTGCCTCCATCAGATTTACCAATAAGTTAGAAAACCAAGATGGCAAACACACCAGTCATCTGAATTGATAGAAAATACTCGAAAACCCTCAGACGTATTCTTGGAGACAACCCAGAAATAGACATGGAATGAACTCCACTTATTTGTGTCCTTTCCAAATGACTATTGGAATAACCTCACTTATTGGAATAACCTCAAAGTTATTCCTTGCAATTATTCACAAGACAGCTTGGATTTATTCATCAGGATACCACACCTAGTGATAGATGGTGACTAGCTCCATCCCTGTAATAGTCCCTGCGAGGCAGAAGAGCCCTCACCCAGGCACAGCACCTAAAGCTATCTAATGAGAATCAATGCTGAAAGCCTTCATGAAGCAATCAGACACACATTTCATCAGCAGGATTCAAGACCCCAATTTTCTGCTCACATGTCTGCTCCTTGCTGCCCTCAGCAGTGTCCCCATCCCCACAGCCCTTTGCACCCTGCCAAGCTCTCGCTTCCTCCCAACCACAGCCCGCTCTCTCAAACCTTCTCCCCCCTGGCAGGCACAGGTCTCCCACAGGAAGGCTCTGCCTCCTTTCCCTCACAGGAGCTCCACCTGGCTCAGTCACTCTCTTTTTAATGGAACATGCCACCATAGCACAAACAAGTAAAAAATACCAGCTGTCCTACTGGGGCCAAACACACTGACAGAGTTTGGTTGGTCTCAGCTTAACAGAAGGCAGAACAGAAAGATGTCTACATGAACTCTCCCACATCTCCAGGCTAAATTTTCCCTTCTGCCTCCACCCATATGCACTCTCTACAGTTTGCCTATGATAACAAATGATGACAAAAAGGAATCTGATCAAGGATGCATGTCACCCAGCTGTCTCGCACCAATATAAGCAGTGAAGAACAACTTCTGCTTTCCCTGGGAGTAAAGTCAGGCTTCAGATGAGGGAGGACAAGCGTAATCTTGTAGCTATGAGAGGTCTCCAGTTCATGCAACAGGAGACAAAAGGGAACTACAAGAAATCTGGAGAGGGACTTTTGACAAGGTCAGGAAAGGCTAGAACAAGAGGTAATGGCTTTGAACTGACAGAGGGGAGATTTAGATATTAGGAAAAAAGTCCTCACTATGAGGGTGGTGAGGCCCTGGCACACATTGCCCAGAGAAGCTGTGGCTGCCCTATCCCTGGAAGCAGCCTGCACCGCATACCAGACAATCAACCACAGCTTGTAAACCAGGTTCCCAGTGTGGTCAGCACCTCTCTTGGACAAGATTTGCTATTGTGTTCACCAGGCACCAGGTAAGATAAGTGCGAGACAGTGCCAGGGAACACATCTGATGCTTGGGATAATGTTAAGGAGTCTACAGTGTGAAGCTAAAGCTTATAGGCCTTACAGAGAGCTCCTTTAAGCACAGGTCCCCAACCAGGTGACATATCTTCTGGAGCAACACCATCTGTCCCCCGCGTCCCAGAAACCCCTGGCAGGAGACCAGGGACCCACTGACCCGACACACATGGCTCTCCTCTTGCACCACAAGGGAGTCTGCTGTCCTTCACTGCATACATGCACGGGGTGAATGCCATTCATAAGGTCGACTCTGGAGTGTCATGTATGAATCTCATACTTGGTAGGCGAGAGCCTTTCTTACCTTGGACAGACAACTCCGCGATGGTCCTGCTCCCTTCCTTCATCTCACAAATATAGACAGCATCATCGTCTGCAGTGATGTCCTGGACAGTGAGGCGGCGATATGTGCCCTCTTCTTCGATGTTGTATTTCTTGCTCTGCCGGAGTTTGGTTTCTTCCTTGAACCAAGACGTCTCTGTACTAGGAACAGGCACTTCACATTGGAAGGTGGCAGATTCTTTCTCCCTCACTTCAAGATCCTTCAGTTTTTCCTTGAAGGGTATCGAGGGTTCTTAAGAGGGTAAAAACACAAAGGATAAACAAGAGAGTTTGATGGTCTGTGGTAAGGGCTGTGCAAATAAGTAAGTCAAAAAAGAAAATTTAAACAATAACACTCCTTGTGTTAGTAATTTGTCCTGGGCCACCATCTAAACCTATAATCAAGCCTTACTACAGCAGGTGTATTGCTCTAATGTAAAAGGAATCTTAGATCCCAGCAGAAGTATTCTAAGGACTTACCTAAACCAACGCAGTATCAGTCTGAACTGCAGTACTTGCCCCACAACACCACGCAGAGGTGTTTGCTCTAATCCAAAGCAACGCAAACAAGGTGGTGACATACCAGGTTAATAAAGTCCGCTCTTGTGGCCTGCTTGACCTCTAGCATAAACACCTCTGCACTGCACCTCCTCATTTAGTGATGCCAGTAAGATGAAGGGTAGGGCCTCCCAGCCTAACTTTATAGGTAGCAACAGCCACTTCATGTCAGAGTATAAGCCTTTAAAGTAATCATGCTACAGGTGGGTAACAGCAAACAAGCCTGTTACAGGAAAAGCAATTCTAGGTGAGGGTGTGAGCATCTGAACTGGTCAGCTGGTGCAAGAACCAATGTTTTTAGGGGTCTTGCAGCAGAAGCAAGCTCAGCAGAGTGATCTAAAAGGCACAGGAAGATGAGCAGTGGCTGTGTACAAGACAGATAAGGGGGAAAGCACAGGAGTATCTAATTGAGGGGTTTTCTGTTCTCCCAATCGGCAGCAAAGGCTCTGTATCAGCTTTTGTCAGCAACAATAAAAGAACTAGAAAAAAAGCCCAAGTCTCCTTCCTGCCCCTGCTTTCCAGCAGTGAAGCTGCTGTGTTCTGGCTTGTGGAGAAACCAGAGTGTAGATCAAACATGTGAAACAGCTGCATGGCAGTGAGAGAAGACATTTTGCAAACAGAACAATGTTTAATTTCAGTGACAGCTGCACTGTGAAATCACCCTGGCACCCCAGCACTAAACTGGAGAAAGGGGATTGGGCTGAAGAGGACAGCCGGTGGTCACAGCCACAGGACTGGTGTTGTGGTCATGTCACAGACTTGGATGAGTCAGTGCTGATACATCATCACTCATGCTTCATGAGAGATCATGTCTTGACATGTACCTTCATCTTCTAATAACTACTGTACCAGCTCCCAGCCCTCTTTTGTGACTCCATTCTCCCTCTCCCTGACCACAAACATTCTCCCATGCTGGTAATTTCATATGTTTACTAAGAGTTGTAGTCAGCTAGTGAGTAGTAGTCACTAATGCCAAGTGTTAGTCAAACAGGAGTAGACCCTCACAGGGAAGAACTTCTTCCAAATATCTAAATTCCCGTCAGCCCATGCAACCAGAGGGAACTAAGCAGTTGTAATTCTTATGCCATTGGAACAGGCAAGAGGATGAGATCAAGAAAGCGTTGATCAGAAGGATGTCAGCCCCTGAGAGCTGGATGAAATGTTGCTGTGTGAGATAGGAAGGAGTCTGGAGCCGACACTGAGAACACATGGACATGCCCAAGAGCCAAAATGTAACACAAGATGCACCTGAGAATCACAGAAGTGTATTCTCATACTTGGAGCAACTGGCAATATCGTTAACCCCTCTCCCTTTACAGCCACTAGGCAGTATCTAAGGTAAAAATAATAATAAAAAAAAAAGATATAAAAGAAAATCTACTCCAGGAAATAGCTCCTAAATGTACAAACAGAATTGTTGGTCGACTCTTCAGTCTGTGTTGCTGTAACAGCATTACCTTTCCAGACAGAGAATGTAGGTGCAAGGCTATATTTGACAACTTGAGGTCAGAGATATCCTCTGAAAACAACTTTGCTTTCATACTTCTGACATGTGCACACACGTCTTATCTCACTCTGAATGGAGCTTCAGAGACACAGCAGCTGATAAACTGAATCAAAGCCTGGGATTCACCCAGCTCACTGTTTTTTATGCTTTGGAGATGTGAGAGAGGCTCCAAAACCCACAAACCTCCTCTTCCTGAATATATCTGCATGCTCTTTACATGGTCTAACTTGTACCTGGTCAGAGAGAGGGGGTTAATATTGGTAAGGGGACTACAGAAGGACCACGTTCCAAACAATTCATCTGGTCCATAACCAGCCCCTTACCCAGGTCAGAGAAATGCTGAGATTGGTGGCCAGGAGGGAACAGAGTTTCCAGCTAATCAACAGGCAACCCAGATCGCAAGGAAAGGTCTGTGAAAGGCAAGTGGCTCATCTTCCTTGCTAATGAACTAATCAACACAGAATAATAACCAGATAATATTTACATGAAGAAGACCTATTCTGAGGAAGAAAGCACTAAACTTTACACCAGCATTTCAGTGTACTTTCCACTTAACTAGCTAAATGTGAAAACAAATACACTTACTCTACCACTGGCCAGCATAGTGGCAACCTCTGTTACTGTCTTTCAGCCCATGTTGTCATGCAGTCTGTCAGATTTTGACATTTACATTGCAAATTCTCTAATGTAGGTATTCTCTCTTACTATTTGCACAGCACCCAGCACAAGTCAGAAATATTCTGGGCTGTAACTGCTACAGGCACATTGGAAAAAGCTGCTGTAGATAGTTTTTAATATTAATCTGGTTTTAGTCAAAGCAGAACAGAAATTCTCATTAAGGCATATAATGAAGGCAGTAACATTTCTAAAGAAGGAGACATAAGAAGTAAGAGTCTCAAATGCCTGCCTACTGGGAAAAATGTGAGATAGAAACAGCAAAGCAAAACCCTGAGGGAGTATAGAGCAAGAGCAGCTTATGGAGTTAGCAGAAAACTGCAAGAACTTAGATCAGACATGAATTTGGCTGCTTGTCTTGAGAACATATTTCTCCAAAGAGTCATAGGCTTTTTGTTTGGTCCATACCAAGCAAACTAGCAATGAGATGATGTTATTTTTTAAAAGCAGGTCCTGCTAACACATATTTTGCTAAGAATAGGTGCAGCCTGCAAAGAAGCCAATGTTTTCTTAACCTTCTCAAGGCATATCTGCCTGCTTGACCTGGTCTTCTCACTCGCCTACATTTCCCCTTGCTTATTTCTGGCCTACTCAGAGGCTCACCTTTTATTATTCCAAAGGCAAGTTTTCCCTCTGCCTATCAAAAATGGTCCAGTGAGAGTATTATGGAAAATCCTCCCAGTAGGAGCTCTCTAAAGGTGCACAGACAAGATTCCACCACCTTGTTACTTCGGTCTTCCTAGTTATTGTGCTTTCGAAGTTTCCTTTCTGTCTCCAAATTTCTCAAGTTGCAATTCTCTTTCAGATCTCAAATGTGACTGTCATGAAAATGGTCATCCAAAATCACTCCAGGTCAGAGGTAGCATGGAGCAAGAGCAGCTCATGGAGTCTGCTTTTCCAGTCTCTATCCTATTTGGCTTGCAACCTTTAACCTTTTCATACAGTATCTGATTACTGTATTGAGGGACTCAGATTAACATTGCTTGGCCCAGGTCCAAGGATAGAGACCTGTATGCTGCTCTCACTAACTTTATACATGGTTTAGAGACATCTCCAAAGCCTTCAGGATATCCCAGTTGGTTATTCATGTTCCTCCCATCCTCTCTGCTCTTCATCAAAGAGGTTTACCCTTGTGAACCATTTACTAACTTGTTCTACATCTATTCTACATCTTGTTCATCAGCTATCAGGGAATTTTTCAGTGCATGGCTTGTGATTTCATCCCTGCTTGAGACACTTTTCTGAATCAGAGCAATTAACTTTTAGGTTTCCTTAATTGTGCAAATGACACTTTGCCCTGAAGCCTCTCCTTTGAGATTCATGTCTGATTCACTACATCTCATTTAGAAACAGCCCAAAAATTGCTTTTATTTCAGCTCTATGTTCTCTAAGGCATGGGCACAGCACAGTGCTTACAAATGGGTTAGGGCTCTATATCTAGGATCTAGATTGACAAAAATTAGGCAGTTTTTCTAGAGGTTTGACCTGTGCTCAAGTCCTATGCCTTGAGACACTTCTAAGAGCCAACTTATAGACAGGATGCTGGGCTAGGCAGTCTTTTTCTATTACTACCTTTAAAAGACGCATAAATATTCTCACTTGCATTCTTGTGTTGAAAATCTGTGAGTCAAAATGTCAGATCATATTTCACCCCATGGTGCTTGTCTTTCTTGGTACATGTGCGTACAGACACATACTACAGGCACAGCATCACAGGATTACCTGCAGAAAGACCAACACAGCAGCATGGTGCTCACTAAGGGTGGCTGCTTAGAGAATTTAGCCTCTTTTGCATGACTGAGCAAAGGGAGGTTGTATGGCAAGATGACCTATCTCTCTAAACCCAGTCAGTACCAGATGAGCTAATGGCATCACCAATGGCATAAACAACAGAATTAAAAGCTCACTTCACTACTGCATCATTCTGAGCTGTCTTTGGAGGGCTGAGAAGGAATTCTGGTGACACAAAGGAGAATCATCATTCAGGGCCTAAGTATAACCAACACACATAGATTTTCCATGGCAGCCTTGGTCAGAAAGCCAAACATGGCACAGCGTAACAAAGAAACAAACCACAAACATTTCCATTTAAGACCTCTGACTCACAGGCATATCCTGACAATGGACATTGATTGATAACCTTTTCCCATGGCTCTTGCTCCCAGACTCGCTGCCTCGCATGCTTTCCCCATCTCCTGGGGAACAGGTTGCACCCATGGAGAATAATCAGATAAGCATGGGCAGAGGGGAGGGGTTTGTCTCTGCAAGACAGGTGCTGGGCAAGTAACAGAGCTTGAGCCATCCTCAAAGCGAACATCCACCAAAGGGCCAGGCTCAGTCTTCAGCTCCGAGTCCCGACTCATGAGGTAATCACAGATTCATGGAAGAGGACAAATGCCCTTCCCAACGTCACTCAGCACCTCCAAGAGATAGCAATGAGTGGGACAAGTGCCAGTGAGTTCCATAGATCAGGTGTCACTGATGGACATGGGCACTGAGTCACTGACGGGAAAGATGGTGAGTATGAAAGAGAGGTCCAGAAAAGGGAAGCCAGAAAAAGAAGTAAAAAACGAGAGTCTTAAATACAGACCATTCCTACTCATTTGGACTTCTAATTTATTTTGCTGCCAGTCAAAACCCACTACTTTCCACTCAAGTGGCAAAGCCTTTTGCGCCTGAGAGTTAATTTACAGGTGCTGCCTGGGTTGCAAACTGTAACCTTGCCAAATGGAAGAGCAGCTTGAAAATTTAGAGCTTCCTTTGTGCAAATGTGTGTGTCACACTTTTTGTCACTATTTTGAAGAACTTGGCCTGACCTCCACCAGCACTGAAAGACCTTCTGAAGGCAAGTTCTTCACCACTGACCACAGCAAACAGAGGCATCACGGTCCTGGTAGAGTTCTGGGAGCATATGAGGACTACAGGCTATTCAGCAACACGAACTGAGAAAACTCAGAAGAACCTGGCAAGAACAAGGTTGCTGGTGGGTCACTGTACAGGAAAACTGAGATGGACTGTAACTAGAGTTGGAGTAGGAGTGGGTCCCCCAAGGGATCCAAGGCAGCCTGACACACTCAGCTTGCAGGGCGGAGTTTCCTCTACTACTGCTTAAATGGCACGTGTAGGACAGTTTAAGTCATGTGGTGAATATAAATGCAGATGTGATTAAAGTCTGGAGGGTAAGTTGGGGCTTCAGCAGTCACTGATCCAGAGGGTAGAAACATGTTTCCTAGGTTACTGTAAAATCAGGACTGATGGGAACACTAGAGATCTGGTTCATCCTAGGTGCCCACAACCAGCCAGTTCTGCAACATCCATCCCTGACTGTGAGGGTGATGAGGCCCTGGCACAGGTTGCCCAGAGAAGCTGTGGCTGCCCCATCCCTGGCAGTGTTCAAGGCCAGGTTGGATAGGGCTTGGAGCAACCTGGTCTAGTGGAAGGTGTCCCTGCCCATTTTAGGGGGTTGGAATTAGATCTTTAAGGTTCCTTCCAACCCAAACCATTCTATGATTCTATGGTTCTATGACTGGTGTTCATTTAGTCCCTTTCCTAACCCCCCTCTAGTGATGCAACTCTCTCCCTAGATCACTTATTCCAGTGCTTAACCCTGTTTACAGCTGGAGGTTTTTAGCTATGTCTAACGCACACTCCTTTGCAGCAGTTTGGTGGCAGAAGTTTTGTTCATCCTCCCATCCCAAGGGCTGTCCACTTGTAGGCTTGTCCACCCCAGGGAGAAACACAAGCACCTACCTTTGACGGTGACAAGCACAGAGCTGTACGTCTGGCCTGCCAGGTTGGAGGCCGTGCAGGTGTACAGCCCATTGTCTATCTGCTTGCAGAAAAGGATCTTCAGCACAAAGCTCTCCTGATCATCCTCATAGATGACATGCCGCCGTCCTTCCACAATGACTTCATTGTCCTTCTTCCACACAATCTCTGGTTTGGGTTCACCCGTCACATAGCAGCTCAGCTTGGCGTGCTTCCCCTCCGTCACACTGCACACACGTGTCAATGACCCAAAAGTTGCATTGCGAGCCCCTTTGGTGGTGAGTCCTGCAGCCCTCTCATAATCCCGGGAGAGGCTGTAGCCAATGCTAGACAGCCCTTCTGCCATGGAGTAAGACTGGGCAGACATCGAATCAAGAGTTCCATGGGAGATGTCCATCTTCCTGATCTCCTCCCGCCTCTTTTGCAAGTGAGACAACAAGGACGTCGACTTGCCGCAGCTGGTGTCGAAGTGGCTGCTGCTGCCCGGGTTGGAAGAGCCCTGTTTTTCCACTACCAGCGCAGCCGAAGCACTGGCAGAGCCGATGGGGTTCTCTGCCCGACAGGTATAGGTGCCACTGTCCGTCAGCCGGGCACACTGGATGGTGAGAGCGTTTGATTCCCCAGCAGACTCAATCTGGAAGCGCCCAGCATCAGCCCGGTTCCGCACGTGTTTGCCATCCTTCTCCCAGTTCACGTAGAGAGGAGGGCTGCCCTGGATTTTGCATTTGAACATGGCATCTTCTCCCAGTGTTACTTTGATGGAGGAGGGCTTCTGGATGAAGTATGGGGCTGACTCTGTTACTGTGGTCTCTTCTCCAACTTTGATGCTGACAGCTGCAAAAGCTTCACCAATGGTGTTCTTGGCTCGGCAGATGTATTGGCCACTGTCTTCCAGGCTCAGATCATAGATGGTTAGCTGATAGAGATCCCCATCTTCTGTGGTTTTAAACCTTCCCCCAGACTGGACTGGAAGTTTATCCTTTTCCCAGCTCACAGCTGGGATGGGGTTTCCAATGATCTGGCAGCTCAAGGTGGCATCCTTCCCCACAGACACTATAAACGCCTTAGGCCGGGTCAAGAACCGGGGAACTCCACTGAATGAGCTGTAATCCATCCTGGTTTCCTTCCTAAAGGGTGACAAAGAAAAATATCAAGAGAAAGCAGATTAGATGGGGAAGGCAATGAATTGCTGTACTTCACTGTATCAGGGGGCTTGAACTGGGATGATCTTCAAAGTCCCTTCCAATCCAAACCATTTTGCGATTCTATAATCAGGATGATTGTCACCTGTGACAATCATGGTTTCATTGTCATTCTCATTAGGCCTTGGAATATTTTAGGTCTTGCAGATTCCTTAGATTTGAGCTCAATAAACTGCTGATGAAGAAAGTCACTCACTTCCTCATGGAAGTCACTGTATAAAATACAAGTCTTTGGGCAGTTCATACAGAAAGAACACACTGGTCCCTTTCAGCTTTGGCACTAGGATAGTGACCTGTACTAATGCTACATAACATATGGGCTGGCTCTGTAGCCATAGAGAAAGAAACTGACATTCAGCTCTGAGAGATGTTTCTGACTATCAAGATACCTCCTCCATCACGCTCATCTCTTCATTTTCATTTCTCTTTTTCTATCTTATTGCCCTTGCTCTGTTCAATTTTTGTCTTTCTCCTTTCTTTTGGTCTCTGATCATTACCCATCCCTATGTCTCGTTCTCTGAATCATGTTCACACAAACCTTAGAGTAAATCTCTCTACTGAAGGGGCCAGCCTTCAGGAGGACACGCAGATATGCCTGTCATATTATTGAGGATATTTCTCTTTATTCCTAGCTTCTATTCAACAAAACCACTGAGATGCAGCTATTTTGATAGTGATGGTAGACGATGAGTATCTATGGCTTAGAGACAGCCTCATCCAGGTGGTGTAGGGCTGACACAGCTATAGTGGGGATGGGCATTTGTGCACAAGTATGGCTTGGTGTACATGCATCATGTTCCTAAGAGTGCAAAGCCACATGAAGGAATCACTACAAGGGATGCATGTAGCAATCCAGATAGTGCCAGCCTTTTCCAAAAAGACCCCGTGCGGCTTAGGGCTTACAGGAAAGATGTCTCATTGCCTGCTTATTCACAACTGGTCTCAGAGGGGCTATGCACCAACCTGAAGCTGTTTGATGACATGGACCAGCCAATGGGATGAGTCTTAGAAAGTGTTCAAAACTGAATCTCAGAACAATTCTGGCTCTGTTGTGTCCTGAGAAAGTCAGAAGCAATCAGTGGCACTAATCCTTGCAGCTATGTTCACAGAATCAACCCATCCCTGTGCAGCTGGAGAGCAATACAACAGCGCTTACCACCTTCAGGGTCCCCTGAAAGTCCACAAACTTTTCTTGCTTCCCCACTACTCCTTATATGGACCCCTGAGTGTACTTTCCCTTCTGCTGGAGTGAATCTACTCCTAATCCTCCAAGAAGACCTTTTCCGTGAATTGGCTAGCATTTACTTTGATAAGTATAGCACAGCTAAAGCCCTGGTCTCAACCCCATTAACACCAGTAACCATGCGCCAGCTGCCTCCCTCCGGGAGCAGGATTAGACATGGTGATAGTGCTGTGTAAGGAAAGTAGGTTTCCCAGCTCCAGCACTCTCTGGAAGTCCTACTCAGAAGACTGAGTGCACCATTTCTCTCCAAGCAACTGTTTGGCCTTGTGATGCCAGACACTCCTATCTTAGCAAGCTCATGCAGATGAGCTATATGAATGGTCTCTACTCTGGGTGACTTCAGTGTTACTCTCACATCTGTGCTTTTTCACCTTCAAAACACCACACAAAGCGAAACAACCAGGGCACTGCGTGTTGTAACTCAGAAAGGAAATAATAACCAGTGACCGCGACAGAAATATCCTGCTTAATCCTACAGCAGTTTGGCTTCTTCGCTGGTCACAAATCCACCCACTCTCTCACCCAATGGCAGATGCTCTCGCAGTCTGCCCCCACCTCCAGCAGAAATCAGCAGGAGCAGCCAAAATCCTGCTTTAATTTCTTGAGTCACAATCTGAGCAGAGGTTTCGTTATTTTCTCCATCCTCCTCCAGCTCCTCTTGCAGTGCCTTAACTTTAATGTGCAAATCACTGATGGCACCAGGAAGGATTGGATTGAGCGTAGGAAAATCACTTATTTTCTCTGTGTCTTGGCTCCCTTCTCATTTCTTCTTCATATCAAGACAGGGATGGTGTCATAAATAATTGTGTGCATAGTGTATATATGACAATGTACTCACTGAAATATATGACAAATCATTTAAGAAAATTAATAATAGATTATAATTTTGATGGTTTAACAGATTACAATTTCTGACTGATGGTATAGCTGAGTTAGTAAACCTTTAAGCTTAATTTTGGCCACAGATATAAGACAAAACCATAGTCTTCTTTCTATATTTAACAGAGAAATACACTACCTCTTATCCTTTCCTGTCTCTCCCCCTCCACAGAACATACAAAACTCATATTCCATCAGAAATCCTTAGAAAGCTTAAATCTGGGGGCAGGGGGGAAGTAATGGGGAAAACTGATTCTTTGCATACACTAAGATCGCAAAGAATGATTGACTTGGGGTCACTAGTGTGAAGACCAACTGACTTTCTATAGAGTGGTCACCTTCAGTACTAGTTGCATTGACTATTCAGAACTATTTTTCCCTTGGCCTTAAACTGGTCTAGAACTCTGTGAACTAGTTTGCACTTCTATTGTCCCTCTTACTACATCAACCCTCAACTATCTCAACAACTACCTTCTTACTACCTTCAACCTCTGTCCTCACTTGAGCTTTAAAATGTATTTTCCATAAGCACTTGCAAAGCTGCAAGCAGAGAAGCTGCATGAATGGTTACAAGACACAGACACAAGCCTTGGGCTTGAGCCAAAGTACATAGAAGTCAGTGGAAATTTCCACTGATGTCAACTGATTGACAATCAGAGTCTTCTGCTAATTTGGGGGAGGACCATTTCAATGTTCAGAGGGGGATGCTGGGATTCAACTCTGGAGAATCCAGCAGTAACATTCACTACATTAGCTAAGAATTAACAATCAAAACACGGACTCAGAGCTCATGTCCTAATCTTTCTCAGCCATTTCCTTGAATTTCAGCCTGCACTGTGTCATCAAAGCACTTTCATCTATCTTCAGAAGACATTACCATCTCTCATCCTTCCCAGATCCTGAATTGTTTCTGACAGCTGTGTCACTCTGACTCGTTTCCATCTTCAAATCCATAGCATCTAAAAGGGCAAAACATAAAGTTCTCCTTCAAAGTGGGCTCTGCATTAACACGGAGAAGTGCCTGGAGCACAGAGATGGCTGCAGATACAGCAGGTGCCAGCTTGGAAGCCAACTGGTGACCTTTCAGCAAACAGTGGCTTCCCTAAAACCACCTGCCTGATGTTTTCCTCAACATCCTCCTGCTCCCCAGGAGATGTATCCACGTCTGGAGGAGAGCTCTGCTCTGTGGGAGTGTGGTGGATGATCTCAAAGCCTGGCTTTTACAAGGGTGAAAGCAGGAATGCTGCTCACTTCCTAAACCAATTGTGCATCCTCTTCTCCCACCCTCCTGTGATAAACAGTGCCCAAACAACCCCCAGCTGCTCACTGGTATCTCTGGTAGTCAAGAACAGCTAAAACACAGGCAAGCTGCTATATCAGGTGCCTGTTGTTTTTGCTCCTGAACCATATTGGTACAGTAAAACCATCCAAGACTCTTCTTTCCAGTGGCCATAGCCCCAAGGTTCAGCATCCCTCTCCCATTGCTTCCAAACACTCGCCTGGTGTTTGCAACTCACTTCTCTCTATCAGGTACAAGCCACTGTGTCCGCAGACTTCATAGCGCAAGGTGAGACACCCACGTCCTGTGCTGTGATCTACACCACACCCTGCTCTCTACCAGCTTTCACCATGTGCCATCATAATCAATGGTTCTTATGTTGGTATAAAGCAGGCTTCCCAGGGCAGTGGTAGAATGTTCAAAACACACACAGATGAGGCCCTCAGTGACATGGTTTAGTGGTGGACTTGACAGTCCTGGGATAATGGTTGGACTTGATGATAAAGGTCTTTTCCAACCTAGCTGATTCTATGAGTCTTTAAGTCTATGGATGGCTGGGATGCCCGAAGAAAATCCAGGGATCAGTAAAAACAGTGCATGCTCATCAATATTATTTTAGATTCGTTTCCAACATGGTGGGAAAGCACAAGAGAGTTTATTCCTTGCTGGGCCACTGGCTTACATTGATGAGCATGAAAAAGTCACTCAAACTCTCATATCTTTAGTCCCTCTCTGAAAAAAAGGGTAAAAACCTTGCGTTACGGATGCCAAGAGCATCAAATTGGTAACAGGCAAGAAATCCTAACCTGTGGCAAGGATGAAGCTGCATAAGTAACTAACACTCAGACAGATCAAGCACTTCAGACAGGCTGCACCAGATAAACTACATTTTATAAGTCTAAATGGCATAACATGCAGTGCATTAGATTAGACTGATAAATAGATTGAGGAGGAAGAGGTAAATGAAAATACTGAAAGGATGAGGTTTAACATTTCTGCAGTGTAACTTGCTAACCAGTTTGGTAAACACACTAATTCAGATTCTTTATATGTACGTTCAAGTGGTTTAAAAAAATAGCGTCTCCCTGCAAGGGCCAGGACAGCTCCCTTGGAAGTGATAGAACTGACAACAAAGCATGAATAAACCTAGCCAGTGCAAATGCCCTTTCCAATTAATCTGAGGCATTTACCAGTGTCATATTTCTCCTTGTAATCCCTCTGTGATTAATCATATGCAGCAGAGATCACATTCTCCCATCTGGGTATTTCTGAGCATGCCAAAGGCAAAGTAGCAGCACTTGTAATTTTACTTATGTCTTTATTCATTCAGATTTTCACTGGTTTATGTTTGGGGGAAAGAGGCACAAGTGTACAAACCTGTCCGATAACGCAAATACATCAAATCACTGCCAGGCACCAGCACACAGCCATGCAGTCAGTAAAGGCCTCCTACCCGTTCCTGTCCTCACCATTTTCAGTCTCTGCCCCATGCCTGCTTCTCCACAGACAAGTAAACAAGGGCCTTGCAGTGGGAACAACACAAACGACTCCAGTTCCTGCTGCAGTAGTCTGAGGTGGTGCTCATCAGGAGATCCATCCAGAGACAGAGGATCCTGATTGCAGAGCCATCACTCTCCACCTCCTGTGATTCATTTTGCAGTGCTGACTGATGGGTTGGTTTCATGTTGCTTCATCAATGCTGAGCTGCATCTGGAAAGCCTTCAACAGCTTCTGAGAAGACAGAGGTCCCACACCATGGGATATTGCCCCTCAAGCAGTCAGCAGCCTGTGATGATGTTCTTTGGCATGAGAGCAGGTGGCAGATTATTCTCTGTCCAAGCCTTTCAATACAACGGTTAGAAAGGGAATCCTGTCCACCATGACTCTGGGCAAAGAACAAAGAGCACCACGGAATCTGTCTCAAAATACTCCCAAAACAAATGTGGCCATAGGTAATCACTGGCATAATCGGAGATTTTGAGGATGCAAAGTGCAGGTAAAACCAGGCATCTCAACCTAAGAGACCACTGAAATCCAAAATCAGGAGCACATATGTTCTCTTGACACCACATTAAGATCTATCACATGCCTGATTGTTCATTTTCTCAATCTTCTTTCACCCTTTCTTTGCCCAAGTAGCAAACAGTTGATTTGGGTCTTTTGCCTGCCTTTAGAGTTCATGTTTCCTGGACTTACTCTGCAATGCCAACTGCTAAGCCTTCCACTCCTGCTCCTGATGGGAAAGCCATGATTCGCAAGGAATCTCCCACCTCTGGGTCCTGAGCTTTCAAAGAACATCACTAAAACAAAAGCTCCAGATAAAAATCAAGGCAGTGCTAGTATTACTGCAGTTTACATGACATATCTGCATGTATTGTTCCATCTAAAACCATCAGGAAACGGAATCTGTGGGTGGGAAGTTGATGGGTCATCAAATGGGAAGTGTGGGTTTTCTTTGGTGTTTAAAGTTCTGCTGAGGGAAAACAGCAGCAACCCTGCTGCCTTATTACTTCTAACAACCTCCCAGGGAATGGACAACTTTGAAATAACACAAGTATTCGGTGTCAGCTGCAAGCTTAGTGACATCAGATGGGCACTGATGGATGCCTACAAGCCATTACACCAGACGCCGTGCTTTAAGAGTGAAATGCACACCAGCACATCCAGTGCTGCATGCCCATTACATCTCTAAATCAGATGTAAGTAGAGATTTGTGCCAATGCACTCATACGAGATGGCAGAATTTATCTGATGCCCATTTCATCAGAGCAGGAACAGTATCTGTCACCAAGGAGCTGCACTTGCAGCTTAGCTTGAGCTAGTCTGAATTCCACTTCAGTGAGGGACAACAGATTCTGGCATGTTCAAAGGTCATTTGATGAGCAGATGGAAGAGCTTTCCATGGTGGTTTGGAGGATCGGTCTCCATGCTCTGTAGGAGATGTTTGACACAGAGTACCTACAATAAACTAAGCCTATTGCAATAAGCTTCTAACTCAATTCAGAGTAAGGCTCGTTTGCACTGCTTGTCATCTACTGCCTCCATAGCAAGCCAAAGTCTGCCAGGGATGTTAAGGGAAATTTCACAGCAGGTCTGTGGGTAACATAGCGTTAAACATGGTGAGTAGTCCTCAACAACTAGATAGCTAACATCAAGCCAAGACAATCATTCCTGACCTTCAGGGTAGGGCTGAACATGCACCAAATCTCTAGGAAGGGACCTGCATCACCTTGTGATTGCAGTACTAATCCTTTGCCAATAACCTGAAATATTTCCAATGACTGGCAGCAAGCAAAGGAATTAAACAAATATCAGAACATTCCAACAAGAAAAACAAAAAAAAAAAAACAAAAAAAACCAAATTGCATGGTTTGTGCATGCTACCAGGCAATGCAGTCAGATCACCTTCCAGCCACATATCTAAGCATACACATCAAGTAAAACATGGAAGACTGAAACCACTTAGATTACTCAAATGGTAAAGCACATGTTATCTCTTCTCTTTCATAGAGAGAAAGACTTACCGCTCATAAAGCTCTTTCCTCTTTTAACCATATAGCCAGCAACCATTTTCCATCACCACCACAATAGTTTAAAGCATTACAGACTGGTTTGGGTTGGAAGGGACCTTAAAGCTCACCCAGTTCCAACCCCTGACATGCAGGGACACCTTCCACTAGACCAGGTTGCTCCAAGCCCTGTTCAACCTGGCCTTGAACACTGCCAGGGATGGGGCAGCCACAGCTTCTCTGGGCAACCTGTGCCAGGGCCTCACCACCCTCACAGGGAAGAACTTCCTCACATCTCATCTACACCTCCCCTCTGCCAGTTTAAAGCCATTCCCCCTTGTCCTGTCCCTTCCTGCCCTTGTCAAAACCCCATCTCCAGCTTTCTCGTTGGCCCCTTTAGGCACTGGGAGCTTCTCTAAGGTCTCCCCAGAGCCTTCTCTTCCCCAGGCTGAACAACCTGTCTTCACAGGAAAAAGCTTCACACAACAAAGGGACTTTCTACTTGTTTTCACTGTAGCATATGTGCTTCACTTTGGATTCTCCTCTTGGTGGAGCTACAAAACAACCCAGAAACTTCCACAGGGCTAATACTGCTTGGATCAGCCCCTCAAGACTCCGTGGCAGTACCTTTTCCTAAATGCACCCAGGCTGCTCTGACAGTGTGTAAGAAAAGGCTACAGCACAAGGGAGATCTTGGGCATACAGTGATGCTCATTCCAGCTCCATGGGGTGAGAAGTCAGGAGACAAATGGAGGGAAAAGACAAAAACTCTGGGTTTGCTTCCCTGGGGACAGAAAAAAATGTGAATTATAACAATTTAATCATAAATTTCACCCAATTGGATTTTGCTTTAGGTACAGCCCCTGGAGAGAAGCAGCTAAAGTAGAATCCCAGGCGTACAAACACACCCTGACAAAGACTGACAGCTTGAGCCAGGTGAGCTTTAAATGCTCAGAGAAACACTGGATTCACACAGATTTACTTTACTGTATTGGCCTCATGGTTTAGAAGGCTAGACCTTTTGCGTCTGAAGCTGGCAGAACTATGCTACAGCTGTATTAGTGTTTCCTCCCCACGTGCACACATGCACAAGTGCATGCACCTTTCTCCCTCTTGCACAAATAAAAAAGGCTCCTACCAGCACCAAACCAATCCATCACAACTCTTCAACTCTTTGCATTCACAGAAAAATAAGCTCCCATATATTAAACTAGAAACACCGCCTCCAGTTTTAGCACATGTGTTTTCCTACACAAGGCAGTTGCAGGATCATGGCTTCCATAAGGACAAAGAATTCCCTTGGTGACAATTAGCAGCCAGACTCCAGCCTAAGCCCTTGTATTTTAACAAGTGGACGTCATTGTCATTACAGCCACTCCACCCCATTGAGCTGTAGGGCTGAAAATAGCCTCAGCTGTTGGGCTCCATATCTCTCCATATCTTGTCAAGAGCCATATGCAGAAACGCGAGGAGCGGGAGGGGGGGTTGCAGTGTGAATCGGTACTGACACCAGAGAGGAGCTCAGAGTTAAAAAAGCCCTTAATGAAGAGGAAAGCAGCACTAAGATTGTGTCCTGGAAATAGAACTCGAAACACTCCTTGCTGCCACCTCTCCCTGGGAGCCACAGTTTTTCCAGGGTCTCCATGCACAGTCCTACCTCCAATCTGGGGACAAAACGTATCATGCAGAATTAACAACTTTAAGCTGGATTTTCCTCTCTTTTCTCTTCTCCCCTGAAGGCTGGTGTTTGCTCTTTTAGTAACATGTCCTAAAGTAACTAAGCAAAGCAGTCCACACTCAGTTCAGACCAGAAGAAGACTGGGTTAACTCCCTGCACCTTCATCTCCATCTTCAAATATGTTTCATAAAGCAACACATACTCCAGCTTGACATACAAATAACCTCTCCCCTTTCCCAGCTACAAACAGCAGTCTCCACTTTCTGCTGGACACCAGCATCCCCAAGTCTACTTCTCTTTAGCTGAAGGTTTCGGTCTTACCTGGAGTCTTGTGTGAGTCTGAGGAGAAACAAAGCTCTGGGCAGGGTAAGAAAAGCCGATTCCTACTGAGATGACAGAAGGGGGAAGGGGGATAAGGGGAACAGAGGACATGGAGACACCATGTTGGGTTTGGTTCCCTCCCCTTACCCCTCCAGTAAAATAAAACAGAAACCCCAGCGATGGCAGTGACGTGCAGCAGAAGGTCCCCCCGAGTCCCCCAGCAGTGGCTTTGCTGCCCAGGGTTAGGCTGTGCCACCCCCCTGCCCGACCCCTCCTCTGGGTTGTCCTCCTCCAGTCAAATTGCTGACGTGCTTTGCTTTCCCTCTGCAGCCCAGATCCAAAATAGCTCTGGGTGTCATTTACCGGGGAGATTAGGTTTCCTGCAGGAGAGAGGCAAAAGGGCATCGTTTTAGGGATTCAGTGGGGTGGTCCAGCAACAGCGGGGGGAAGACATCAGACACATACGTGTTTGGTGGTGCGGGTGCAGGGGACATGTGGACAAGGGGACAAGGCTGCAATGACCATGTGGATCAGAACGGCTCCCAAAGGGTCCATCCCAAAGCCAATTTATGAGTGTGGTGTGGAGACCCAGGAACAGGCAGCTACCAACTTACCAGCATCGCACATTGGATAGAAATTCTTTTCCAAAGGCATCAGATCAATAGTAGGTTTATTTATAACCTCTCAGGCAAGAGTGGTGACAATGGTGAATAAATGGCAAGTTAACAAACCTAACTGCATCTCTCCCTTTCTTAACCTTAGTGTATGTCACCCTACTTTTTCACCGCATCAATCTGAAGCAACTGCAAAAATGGCATGGGTTTTACACACATCACATCTCAAAGACTCATAAACATATTTTCTGTATTTGCCAGTAAAACTGCTACTTTTTAAACAATTTCTTGAACACAGAGTTCAGGAAATTGTTGAAACCAACACCAACTCTTATTAGCAATCAAAGTATTTTGAATTTAAAAGTAATTTCTGCTAATGATACAGGTGCTAGAATGGAGTCCAGAGGTTCCTCCACAACCACTTTACCACTGTGTGGCAATCAGGAGTGAACTATGAGATAGGCTAATTTTTGGCAGTAAACAAAGCAGATAATGTGCAGCATAGTCCAAGCACATGGATAAGCTGAAGACACAACAGCATGTTATGTTTACTCACTTTTCAGGGCACAAAAACACCATTAGGGAAGACAAAGGGAGTTTTATTTGGGATTTCAGAAGCAGGGGTTGGAAAGAGTCAATGGGACCAAAGAAAGGGAAGGGCAATAGCTGCGGAGGAAGAGCTTTTTCTGCCTTGCGCCCAATAGGAATCTCAGCTCTTGAAGCCTTCAAGTCTTGCACTGGGTTCGCGGGGCACTTGGCTACTGAAAAACAAAAAGTGGAAGAGATCCAGCATGACCTGAGTGCTAGTGGGATGTCCTTGAAAGCAGAGCTCAAGGAGGAATGACAAGGATGAAAAGCAGTGGGACACCATTAACTTCATGCAATGAGATAACCAAGGAGAAGGACACTGGCCAGCAGGAGACACTGAAGCTAACCCAGGACTGGTTTCTCCACAGGGAAGAAGCTGGGCAGCGGTCTGATCTAGAAGCAGATCATCTTTCAGATGACCTGCTGAGAGCAGGACTGTCACCTGCTGGAGAATTGACTCAAGGATAGAAGGGAAACAACCTCAGTGAGTGTAAGATCTATCATCATCTCCCAAAGGGGGAAGGGAAAGGGTAGCATCAACCAGTGACTCTCTGATGAGGGAGATGGAAGCTGGCATGCTGCTGCTTCATGCTGCCCGCTCCTTTCCAGTCAGAAGACAGTCAGAATTTACATAGCATGGACCAAAACCAACCATAAAGTTACAGGATTGAGGGGGGGAAATGGTACAGAGATTGCAGGTGACATCTGAACTCCCTGTGCATTGGCTGAGTAACTTCACTGGATGTTTAAGGACAGCCCTGTGAAACTCCTTTCCTCTTTTAAAGACACTGGCCATTTTGCTCAGTTCTAAACCTCACTAATCGTTATTTGAAGATGTTAATTGTAAGACAAATGGAACTGCATCAGCTCTACTTGGCAACCCTGGTATGGAGATAGAAAAGCCTCTGCCTGGCTTCCAAACCACAAGCTCTGATGCAGCTCACTTCTGAAACAAAGGCACATTTTATGGAAGGGCTTCCTTGCAGCTTATTTCTGTGGTTCACCTCATGCCTCTCAGAAAGACGGACTTCTATTTTGTCTTTAGCCAGCAAGTGAAAAATGTGGAAGGTGGGTTTTATTTTAAGGAAGGCTTTGAAGTGTACTTTGGTCAGCAAATCTGTGCAGTCCCTTCACACTGGGAGGACAATCCTTCCTATATGGTCAGAGGAGAAAGTTGCCCAAACTGCTTAATGTCCCAACGTATTGTCACCTGTTCACCTAATGGGAAAAAGTATCCTTGTCGGGATTGCCTCCCACCTTGGCATAAGGTCATGGAGCATTTATCTTGCCATTTAAGATCCTTGCAGCTCATCTTACGGTGTATGCCAGTACTCAGCACTAGCATCTCCTAGGCAACCTGCCGATGAGTGATAATCACTTCTGTTTCCCCCTTTTTGGGTGCTGGGACTTGCCCTAACTACCCTGACAGAAGAGGATTACCCAAGATACCCTGAAAGGTCACTAAAAGCAAGATGAACTGAAATATCTACAGTACCAATGAGTTATTTATCTATACAGGACCTACAACATGTCACAGGTTTAAAATAAAGGAAAATCTATATATGATAAGCTAATAAAAGTTGGAATTCATAGAGAAAATGATGAAAGGGTTGAAGGAACCTGCATCTGAATGAAAACAATTAAATGTCACCAGGCACAATATTAGTCCCTTATTCTTCAAAAAGCCAACAGACAGCTTTTCCATAGGCCTGTTTTCTTCCCATTCCAAATATCTGAGAAATGTGTGTTAAATAGCTACTTATATGGCTCTAAAATAGAAATATCTTTCCTCGCACTTGAAAGCTGTATCTAAAATTCCAAAATTCAAACTCTAAAGTTGAAAGTAAAAGGATACCAAATGGATTTAACCATTGTCTACAGACACTGAAAAAACCTGCGCTTGGTTTTCCTCCAAGATATAAATTAAATTCTTTGAGTTACTATAACTGGTAAGGCCTAAGCCATGTCTAATTCTGACAAGTAAAACCACCTCATTCTGCGTTAAGCATCACTGGATCACAAGCAGATCCCTAAAGCACTTCTAATGTAAGGGAGCATATTCCCCCCCAAAATGTCACATATACGGGGCAGTTATTAATTGATCAGAGTCAAAGAGGAGACAGAAAGTTGAGATATTACCAACACAAATATGAGTTAAAAAAAAAAAAAAAGAAAGGTACTGGCTTAATATTTTTTCTTTTAAACTCAGCTTTTAAGAATTTTAGGAAAAACTGATTTGTGGGCAAGAGCAAAAGGCAAAAGTGACACAGCATGTGATTGCCTGCCGCGGTATTAAAGGCTTCAAAAAGCTTATAAAGGTTCCTACATATTCTTCTGTGCTTCCCTGCTCTTAACATTAAACTTTTCTCTACATAGCTAATCCAAATGCCTAACCTGTAGAACTCCTCCTGTAATTTAACCCTATACCCCCTGACTAGGGGAGACACGTGGTGCCCTTCCACGCTGGCAGGATGCCTGGAGATGCTTGGAGACCACTGTCTCCAGTCGCTGCCTCCTCCTCTCTGGCATGAGCACCCCCAATTCATTTCTGACTTGCTGATGGTTTCCGTCACTCCCGGCTGGACTGACTCCAGCTGTCTGCATACATTTGACAAGTGAGCACCAAACCCAGGCCAGCTCCTCCAGCTGCTGCCTTATCAGGGAAGATCACAAGGATTACTTGGGACACGTTGCTGCCTACCATTGCCTTTGTACATCCCGCTATGGACTTCTGCCCATTCCAAAGCAGCCAGGCATTGTTGATCCCAAACCTTACTCAGGCTTCCCAGTAATCCTTCACAGAACTGCAGCCGAGCAGTGTTTTCCTATGCTGTCCTTGAGCAGTATATTACCTTTTAATGCTTAGAGAACTTACTGTATTTTCTTCATTCATGAGCTTCCAATGATGGAACTCCAAGCCTGACTTACCAAAGTCTCAAGAGACCCTACCAAAATCATATGTTTGGTAAAATTATCATCAGTGCACCAACAGCACAACCTGCTTGATAAATCCTTCCATTAAATCTCCAATAGCTACACACCGAGGGAGGCTCTGCACCCATTCCACAATACTCATTTCAGATTTCATTGCAAAGCTATTTACAAGGCTGTCATAGAAAACAGGACCAAGTTTATTTATTTTTTAATCCTATGCACATTAGTTTCTGCCTATAACACTGTCACGGGGGGGAACTGCAGTGGACTGACAAAGTTTCACACATATAAACTGAAACTCTCCTCTTTAGCATCTTTTCAGTGCTACAAGATAGATTTTTACTTTTTGTTTCAATACCTTTCTGTGATTTGAAATCCAAATTCCTGGCCTATATTTTTCCCCCTATTTTAAGGGCAGAAGTACACTTGCCTTTCACTGGTTTCCTGGCAGGCTGGCAACCATCAGGGGCTTCATCATTCATATTACCTCAGATCTCCTCACCGGCTGAAGTAGCACAAGTACTCTGCAACAAAGTTTGTGAAGTCCAGCCCATTTTAAAGCATTTTTCGGTTTTGAGACAATATTAGCACATCAGAAGATGTTAGAAGCTGATTTGCCTTATGGAATACCTCTTGTACAAGAAGTTGCCTAAAAGTAATGTCTATTTTTAAGTGCTTAAGTAGTATCACTGATGTTAATGGGATTACACAGACACTCTAAGATAGTCATATGCATAAATCTCTTCCTCAGTAGTGGCTACAGTAAAGTAGTGTCAGCATTGATAAAATTGTCCCATTTCCTCATCCTAAACCTTCTCCAGACCTTGCCCAATGACTCAGCTCATCCCAGTGCCTATAAATCACCACTGTCTGGCTCCAAATAGACAGGTGCCCAAGAAATATGCCCGGGTGTCACATCAGCTTTTATTCTACCTTTTCAGTTCCCTCCTCTCATACTTTACCAAGAGCAGAGCTCACAGTGGCAGAGACAGCATTTTCCTTGTTGTTAATCCACTGCCCTGTGATCAGTGATAATGACTGTTTTGATCAAAAATAAAGCTTTCATGACTACATTATTATTGGGTGAGTT